ATCTATCTTGAGTTTACTGAGAAAACAACATGTGTAATACTGGACTTCATTATGGATAACAAAGAGTGAAATCTGGGAATAGGACATTTAGACAAGATTGAAGTAGGCACTCGCGTGGGCACAGATTGTGCTCCCCTCCATAGCTGATTCGTTTCTTTATCCATATAAAGAGACATTATCTGCACGGGAATTTGGTGGAGATGTTTAACTAAATCTTCAGGTATATCAATGTTTTGGTATAATAATTATTCAAAAATGGTCAAATAGGCAATTCCCTTCCAACGTTTTACTCACCTGAACTAGAGCCCAAAGAGACCCGTGATAACACCCCATCGGTTTCATATGTATATGTTTGCACAGAGATTCAGATTGACGAAACATTATCCATAAGACTGTATGACAATTGGTTAGACTTGAACTTTCCAATGGATAACTTTGACTTAACGTTGAGCAATATTCCAGCAGGTCTAGCTTTTGGTTTCTATATTTTCCAACCTTGTGGTCAAACATGATATCTCTTTCACGATTTCAAAGAGCGACATACGACCGTTGCGCAAACGTTGCCTGACCAGGGTTACAACATTCAAGGCTTGTTAGGCTTCCAGTGACCAAATTTATGTCCGCTGCAATTTTCTATTTTGACTTGTCCCACATGTTCCCGTGTTTGTTTTCTTAGGTGAACAATTGACGTGCCCTGTTTGTGACGGATACTACCGATGAGGCAGTATACGCTCACCTTATTGCGAAAATTTGTGACCAAACACAATCTGATTCTTTAACACGTGCTCATGATGTAGTCAGAATCGTGATGTGATTATGGAAATTATTCGTGTTGCTTTTACTTATGTAGGTATGGTCAGTGTCTTTACTATAGTAACTGTATGTGATCAGAGAGACGGAGAAGAAGATAGCATGTTTGTATGCAACAACAACAGCGAGCTGTGATGCCGCCGTCCCGAGAACGACCATCATGTCCAACACAGACAACACTTGCAGTAAGATATCATGTTTCCTTGATACCTGTAGTAAGATTGTCCTTCCTTGTGTCTGATTATGTCCAACACAGACAACACTTGCATTAAGATATCATGTTTCCTTGATCGCTGTCGTAAGACTGTCCTTCCGTGTGTCTGATTATGTCCAACACAGACAACACTTGCAGTAAGACATCATGTTTCCTTGATCCCTGTAGTAAGGCTGTCCTTCCTTGTGTCTGATTATGTCCAACACAGACAACACTTGCAGTTAGACATCATGTTTCCTTGATCCCTGCAGTAAGATATCATGTTTCCTTGATCCCTGTAGTAAGAATGTCCTTCCTTGTGTCTGATTATGTCCAACACAGACAACACTTGCAATAAGATATCATGTTTCCTTGATCCCTGTAGTAAGATTGTCCTTCCTTGTGTCTGATTATGTCCAACACAGACAGCATTAGTGATCAAGTTACATTTCATTCTCTCTATTCATGTACAAAACTGATAATACCTGATAAGTGTTACCTTTATTTTGTCCGATCAAATTCAACGACTTGTGTAACACTGTTTGTCCATAAACAATGTTAGTTTAATGGCACGTATTGTACATATATATGTCATTGTGGAGAGTATTCATTTGTGATTACATATATGCATGTATATCAAAAGCGTTTCGTCGCCGCCACTCCTTAAGGAAGTACATTCAGCGGAAACACTGAGTGTTAGTTATTCACATAAACAGTGGAAGGATAACTGTTTCTGTCTCACGTTGCAGGTAAAACAAGTAGCTGTTCTTGCCAGAGAGCATACGGTATTGACACAACCAGCGCAAATGAGTGCACGTAAGATGTGTTTTGTTATCATACATTTCATCAGTGACTTAAACAGAAAAAAACGTCCTATTTCTCACAACTTGCAAACCATTGGTATTGTAAATATCTCTGCAAGATTAATGTACCTTTAGTACAGAAAAGGAAAGATCAACATCTCACGGTAATACAAATAATTTATGAACATATATATGTCACTGAAATTTAACATGAGAACTTAATTGTCAAAACGAATTAACTAATCTGTGTATTGTCTATTGCACTCAAGTGTATACATATGTTTTAATCATGACAGCGCCCAAAAAGGCGTGGTTACATGTCTGAGGTCGACAACTGACACTGGATGCACAGGAGAGACTGCCTTCACCAAGACAAGAACTCAACTCGGCTCCGGTCTAGAGACGTATCTTCAATCAGGCACATGTAGTACGTTCCTTAGGTTCCTAAAATTCATTTGCAAACCATACATTCTTCAAAATCATATTACTATCTTAACTTGAAGAGAGTCACAACGTAGTAACGGTTCACTCGTTGCAGATGTTACAATAGCCAATATGGTACACGGGCATATTTGGCAGGAGAGTTTCCCATAATGGCTAAAGTGTTTTGTAATGACGTGCACATACGAGTCTGTAAATATATTATTACAGTCCTCGGCTTTTGTGTAAAGAGGATCGTGGCTGAACTAACACATGTTTCAAATGCGGTTACACGACTTGCTGTTTGTATTACAATACTACTGGTTTCACATTATGATGAAAGTAACTATAAAAGTACAATGAGAAATTTGAGTGTTATTCATTTCTATATAATTACTGACAGTGTATAAATTTAAAACTATATGATACAATCAGATGGTAGCGATGTCTAAACTGGTTGATAGTCTGTCATTGTAACCTATCAGAACCAAATCAGCTAATGTTATCAAATACAAGTAAGGATTTAAGTCCACCGTTTAAAATACATACTTTTGATGTTGTCATTGTCTGTATGCAACCACAATTCATTGACTCTCCAATTGTTTGTCAATGTTTAGGTGCGGGTTTGACTGACACCTGTCAGTGCCAGATTGACTACGCCAAGGCATCAGTGGATCCTGCAGCCAACAAATGCACGTAAGTCACGTATTTAGATGGAGTAAAGTGGTCCAGGAAATCAACCAAGTCGTCCAGAGTAGATGTTTCCCCCATTTTCTCTGCATCTTCTGTGCCACAGTTTAGATGATACGTTTCTAACAACTTTACGGTATTGCATTGTTAAGTTAAAATATTACTGATTACTCCACGGGACGCCATTTTTAGTTGCTACACTACGGACTACTTGTCGAGACGACATTGTTTAGTTCATTATTAACTTAACATATTACTGATTACTCCACAGGATGTCATTGTTTAGTTCATTCAACAGGGACTACTAGACGAGAAGCCATTGTTTAGTTGATACACTACGGAGTACTCGACGAGACGCCATTGTTTAGTTTATAAATAACGGACGATGTCACAAGATGCCATTGTTGAACTGATGCTTTACAAACAACTTCACGGGACGTCATTACTTAGGCTCGGTTCCTTACAAAGGCGGGGTGTGTGGTTTGCGTAAGTGAAATACTGCTAACTCCTGTGTGATCTGCCCTGTGTACAATGTTCATTTGGGATAAGTGTACGAATTCTGTCCTGCGAAATTCTGCGCCATTCTGCACCATTCTGCTTGTAACGCGTTGGCCAGTTGTTGGAGTGTCCGCGGCATATTCCGACGTTGACGTACCCGTCGATCGAGTTCTTCCGAGAAGTTTTGTTTGTTTGTTTGTTGTTTGACGCCGCAATATACCAGATATATAACTGCGGTCTGTAAATAATCGAGTCTGGACCAGACAATCCAGTGATTGACATCATGAGCATCGATCCACTCAATTGGAATACGATGACATGCATCAACCAAATCAGCGAGCCTGAGTGTTCCATTGGGTTGCGATCTGGAGATCTCGACGGCAAGGGCAAGGCGTTGATGTTAGGATTATGAAGGTAGTCTACCATGACACGAGCTGTGTGCGGTGGAATGTTGTCCTGTTGAAACAGCTCCCTCTTGCGGTCAATGATTGGAAGAAGGTGAGGTGGAAGAATTTGATTCATGTAGCGATTTGCAGTCAAATTTCCCTGAACCACAACCAAGTCAGATCTCGTGGTGTAGGATATGGCCCCCTCACCATGACACAACCGCCACCGAATTTGTCGAATTCACGTTTAAAATGCTCATTTTGACGACGATAAACACGTTGTATTCCATCTCACCGGTAAAGAAGAAATCCAATTCCAATTCTGTAAGGCATTGCACCAAACGCAAGCCTCGCTGTCGATGGATCGGTTGCAAAACAGGAACGATAAGTGGTCTTCTCGGTCGGATTCCAGCCTTGCGAAGATGGTTCCTGACAGTCTGGTCCGATATCCTCACTAAACCAGGGATGCGTCCTGCAGTCTCCATAGCTGTGGCATTGCGATGACGTAGGTGGAACAGTCGAATGTAGCGATCCTGTGCAGGGCTGTTAACTCTTAATCGGCTGGTTCTCGGACGGACTGCATCGGAATTGAACTATGTGTATCGGTCCCAAAGGAGGCAAATGGTGATGTGGTGGACGTTGAAGTGGCGTACAACAGAAGACTGCGATTCCCCTCTTTGGATACGTCCTATGGCGATGTTCCGATCGGCAGTGCTGAGTCTCGGCATTTTCGAACTTGAACAATGTTGACAACTGAATGACACATTATTGCCTTTTTATAGCCACTGCCACGCTGTACTGTTTTCCTCCATGATATGTTTGAACAAGTGTGAAATCAATGCCGTTTAAGACACTGCAATCGTTTGTCGAATATCAGGCCACCAACAATTTCCAATAACATATATCCAAAGTATATACCTGATTTTTTTGTATAGTCAGGTTCAATGAACTACATTCTACATGTGTTTCTTTTTTGAAGAGTGTAAAAACACGCCCAACTCTATTGTGCGGCTCTTTATTTAGCAATCACCAATCTGGATAGTTTGGGGGTATTCATTACACAGAACACAATTAATGCTTTCTATACTTTGTATGAACATTTGTGTTCACAGGGCTCTGAAGGCCCTCATTGTGTGTTTGGCTGACAAGACAGCCGCGGCTTGTGATGGATCCACGTTACCTTCAGCGTTGGCGGATGCTGCACACACAGACATAAAGGCCGACACTGCTTGTGGTAAGAACCTGTCCGTGACAACATCCGGCACACTGGTATTTCGGGTTTTAAGTCTGATGTTAAAAGCCTTTCAATCCTGTGAATAGAATGATAAATGTTAAATGGTGCATTGCAAGAAGTCAGATGCGGTGTTAAAACCCCTTGTGTTCACCTAACCCTGAGTGTAACTATGAACACTGTCAATGCCAATCCCTGCCAATCTTATCACCAGCGGTTGCAACTGCATTCGGGATTACGATTTGGAAAAAGCGTGAAAGAGGCCGTGATAAAATATTCTAATGCTTGAATCCTTTGACAACATTTTTTATCGGTGTAGGTTAGTTCATTGTTTATGCTTTCTGCCAATTCTATGAATATTCTATAATAACTGAGCATAATACACGGATGAAAGACATTGGGGGTCATGATACAGAAAAAATGCAAATGGCCATCATCTGTTTTTGAACCATTCCTCGCTTCAGGCTGGTCCAAATTTGTTCTGCAATATGTTCGTTAATGTGGTTCCTGGATTGATTTTGGAGACTATTTTACTATCACACCTTGAAAACTAGCACGAGCAGTTGCAAATGTATAACTGTGATGCCCAAAATGATATGGCATAATGTCTATAAACATGACTTTTGAAAACTTGTTTAAAAATGATATTTGTTTGGGATAATGAACTAAGTATTTATTCAGTCCTTTCAAAAGTTAACACTAAGGGTTGTTATTGGAACCCCTAGAGTTCATATGGTGACAGTAGGGGTCACATTTGTAACTGCTCGTGTTCGTGTGCCAAAGATGACCTAAACTATCTTTTTTAGAAAGTTGTATAATTGTGTTTTTGAAAACATGTTTGAAAATGATATTGGTTTGTGAAAATAAACGAAGTAAATATACGTTTATTTAAAACAACTAACGCTTATGGTTGGTAATACAACCACTGTTTTCTATATGGTGACTCTTGGGATTCCACCTTTTAGTGATCTCAGAAATATAGGTTTGAAATTATTTTGCCTTAGCCAAGCATTATGCTTACTTATCATGCTTATGGTAACAAAATAACAAAATTCCTAACAGATTATTAGCCTTAGCCATCTTTATGGCAACACATAATTTTTACTTGCCCTATTTCTCAATGGTGTCCTCTCAAACATTTCCATATCTCAACTATTTTAACAAGGTAGAAAGACAAAAATATGCACAGAAGTACTCATAATATATCCTTACTTATTCCTTACACATATATATTCAAAAAGTTGAAAAGTATTTATTTGACTCGTGACCTTGGTCTGAAAAGTAGGGCAAGATGACCTTCTTCTTGATGATAGTTGTTGACTAAGATACATGTACTCACTACATTTTATCGTTCTAGCACAGAAATTTAAATAAAGCGACAAAACCCTTCCCATATCCAATAGAAATCTCTGCAAAGAGCAGAGTCGAAAATGTCACAGAAAATGTCCCTGATATGCCAAAGAGAAAGCCCTCTAGTAACCTTGACCTTGAGTGCTCAATGGGGGCACGGGTAGCCCAATCGTCTAAATCGCCGCGATTCGCTGTGCAAAGTTGCGTCCCTTGGGCACGCCAGAAACCTATGATTGTGGGTTCGAATCCCGGTTCGACACGTGAAGGTTTTTAGGTTTGTCAGCACCATACCCATGCTCGTGGGTTTCACCGAAGTGCTAAACGTCTGAGACCTGCATCACTTCGGGCTTTCGTTCCTCTTTAAGCCAACACGCCGGGATATAACTGGAATACTGTTGAAAGCGGCGTTAAACCCAAGTCACTCACTCACTCGCTCACTCAATTGAATGCTCAAATAATTAAGACTAATTACACTAAGACCTTTACTTTCAGGCCAAATATGCCAAGTATTCAAACAATATATTTATTGACTTGTGTAAGTATTATTTGACCCACGATGTAATAATTTAAGTGTAATCCTCATTTGGAAGTTAGTGTTTTTGCAGCGTATTAACGTTTAAGTGAAAATAATGAGGAAGTTAGAGCAATTATCAGCTTTGACACACCAACACAGCTGGAGCATGTAATGTTGGTCAAGGTGACCTACTTTTCATATCAATGACATGTTTTACAAAGATAAATGAATTCAACAAACTTCATTTATTGAGGGCTAAAATATAAGAGTTATAAATATAAAAGGTCCCTTAATGTCAAACTGAAAGCTTTTTAGTGACCTTGACCTTGTGCCATTGTATGCCCAAAACTAATCAATCCGACTCCCCTGGTTTACACATATCATGCACAAAGCTTTAATGCTAGGATCCATTGCTTGAAGAAGCTACAGCAAAAACAAAAGCGGCAACTGGACGAGTCAGGAAAAGACAAATTCATTAAAAAAGCAGTCCGTTGAAGCTTTGTTCAAACACAAAAACTTTCACATAAACTGTGTACACACGAAACCCCACACCGTTCTCCAACCCCAACCCCAATCCCACGAACGCTGCCAACCCCCCTCCAACTAACCGCCTCCCTCCAACCCATCTCGCATCCACCGCCCTCCAGCCGCGGTCCCGCACCCCCATCCACACACACTCCATCTCACTACAACCTGATCAGGATCCACTCTCTTCCTGCACCGGTTACTGTTAGGGTTTATCTTGCATAGAATATGGACAACGTCAACCCCGAGCGTAACTTTCAAGAAATGAAAACTCGGGGTTGCAGTTGCAACCGTTAGTCTTCACAGTTACACAAATAGGTTCGGTTAACACTAGTGCAGGCAATCAACTTCAAAACAAGCGATGCCTCAGTGCAGAACATGGTTCATGGGAATACATCGAAGGCATAGTTTTTCTTTTTACACTGAGGTTGAGTCAAACAGCTGGTCATAACAAAACCAGCATTAAACATGTTGTTACCATCTTAAAGTTATGTGTGTGAAAGTTAATAATAATCCAGATAGATATTGTGTTTCTGACAAGTACGTATGATCATATCTGTTTGCAGTTGTTTCAAGCACATGCGAATGTGAAATCGCTTATGCAAAGACAGACATATCCTCCAATAAATGCACGTAAGTACAAACATGTTCATAATAATTCTACTTCTGTTCCGTTCCTATAATCGGGGCAGTTAACGCAATAATTACCCATTCCGACTGGGGGTTGTCAGTACGAGGTAACACTTGAAGAATAGGTCCCAATTGTGTCGATTGATGCTCATATCAATCACTGGATTGTCTGGTCCAGACACGATTATTTACAGACCGCCGTCATTATGAAACTTGATATTTTCTGAATGATGTCTTACTTTATTTAATTTGTTCAGTGTACACGTATGAGAAAGACCAACCTGTACAAGCTTGTGTGCAGAACAACAAAATGAAGACGCACACAAATTCATACGGTGAAACTAATTACCTGATTTCTTTGTCTCTGCCAGCGCTCAGCGAACCAAGATGGAGTGCCTGTACAAATCTGAAACCCTGGGCTGTGATGGAACAACTAAGAGGAATGCTTTGGTTGATGGTTTCAAGGCTGATTTGGTATCAGGAGCTTGTGCTGCTGAAAGTAGGTAGACTCGTGTGTTCCGCTTACGAGTACATAGTATATTTGCTAATAAAAAGATTGCACAGGAAACCTAGACAATTGCCTAAAATGTGAAGAATTTGTATAACTTTTCCAAAGTGGTCTATGATTTGGAAGAATATAGGTATATATATTATATATACGTATAAATGGGTTATTATGGACCTTTTTTAAAGTTACAAGACTTTGAAATTGTCTCTTTCTCCGTAGCGTCCGATGTCTGCAAACTCTGTATGATCCCTTATGCAGCAGTAGACCCCGCTGGAGATAAATGCGGGTAGGTGTCTTACAAAATAAAACATGTTTGAACATAACTACAATTAACATTCAGAATGAAACGGAAAGGTCTTTCGATGCTGGTATTTTAAGAAACGTGTTTTCATGAATTCATTCGTGAAATTTGAAATGTGTTATCTAATGCTGCAATTGTGTTGACAATCAATATAAGAACAGCCCAACACGTATGTTGAAGGTGTGAAGTTTCAAAACATAATTTGCTCTCAGTATATTCAGATTAAGTCTTGAAGCCTTTGAGAAATGTTACATCTTCAAATATTGATGTGTCGTGTGACAAATGTACTTTATGGTGTAAATGACAGCGCCCTGAAGACATTTCTTGGTTGTTTGGACACGAAGACAGCATCTTTAACAAGCTGTGACGTTTCACAAACCATCATTCAGCTTGCTACAGCTGCTAACCAAGCGGTGACGGACACGGCATCCTGTAGTAAGTCGGATTTTGGTTTTCATGTTGTCCTGAAGAATAAAACAACTTACTTACATTATTCCTCCGACTCATTCTGTGTCTACATCTTTAACTGTTTTGTGTTTACAATATCAACTCATGGCACTTGTGAAGCCCGACATACATGTTATGGATGTCATGAGCCATTCAGAAGTGTTGTTTATATCCTTTTATTAAAGCCGCTACGGACACTTGCAGCTGTACAGTTGTCTACTTGAAAACTGCAAGAGCTGATGATACTGCGGAATGCAGGTATGTGTGACAGCTACTCTTCAGTCATGTACTGATTAAACGGACTAGATGGTCTCATATGTATCAATAACAATTCAAAGGCAATCTCAAAATCTCCCGACTGCAACAATTTCTTACAAGGTGCCTGTGAGGTCCTATTTGTCCGTCGTCTAAGTTTGAAGTGAATGGTGAAATTGGCGTTTACTGCTAACAACACAACCCTTAACAAAACTACATCCAGTTCACTGCATCATCAACACCTTACACAAGTGTACACCACAACCAGGCCAGGCCAGGCCACGCTACGCCACGCCATGCCACGCAACGCCCCGCCACGCAACGCCACGCCAGGCCAGGCCAGGCCACGCTAGGCAATGCCAGGCCACGCCACGCCACCACACCGCACCGCACCGCACCGCACCGCACCGCACCGCACCGCACCGCACACACCAAAGCGCACCACACAGTGCAACACAACACAAAAACAACACAAGATATAGATATATCTCATTTATCATGTATTTGAAATATCTGTTTTGCGATTAAGCATTTATTATATGATGTATATGATGTGTGAACATCGCATTGTCAGTGCTTTAAAGACCAAGATGGACTGCCTTGTGACGACAACTGGTATTGCATGTGATGGAACAGCCCGCCACACCTATGCGGGTACTGTTAGTACAGCCATGGATGGTGTCACGTCCTGCCCTTCCAGTAAGTTGTAAATAGCTGAGAACAGAGTTAGTTCGATCAGTGTTAACATCCAATTGAAAACGCAAAATGGATAACTTTTTTTCTGCAGCTATATTCAAGTATTCAATAGTTATTACATTCACAAATTATATCTTTATTATCCAATTGAAAATCCAAAATGAATAAATTCTGTAGCTGCATCATAACAGAAATATATTCAGCCAATCACCGAGAGCGTAACACAAGTCTTGTTGTGCATCATCTTAAGACATGCCGTGTCATCAGTATCAATTATTTTTTTATTTTGAATATTCTTGTTTCTTCTATTCTGTATTAAACAATTATTGATCACAATTTAGGCAATATCATCTTTTATGGACCCAAGAAGCTGGACTCAATATCAGTTTCTTGGGTCCATAAAACATTTATATTGCCCCCATGAATGGTCAATAATTGATAAATATGTAATGTCCATCATAAAACCATGTCTTGCGTCTCACATTTTAAACGTCATCTTGTAGCCTATCCTTCTGGGTCTATATGCAAGGAATGTGTGATTCCAATGGCAACAACAGCTGCAACATGCGCGTAAGTCTTTGAATACTTAAACTGACAATGCCAAAAGTGTCCTTTATTGTGACCTTGTTATGACGTTTGTGAAGTCTAGGTCTGGATGAAGTAAGCAGTGTCATGTGGCATTAGCATATCAATGAAATGGGTTTAAATTGATTTAAATAAATCTTCGTAGTTTCCGATTGGTAGATAGATTTACGATGCTATATATTCAACACCCAATTTCTAATAGCTCTATTTTAAGGTTCCATCTTTTATTTTTTTAACTAGTTTACAAGTTCTTAGAAAACGGACCCGTGTATGTGTAAACGATGAATGTTTTGGGGTCAAAATATTTTTCCAAAGGAAAGAATATTCATGGGGGAAATATTGCAGTGGCAGTAGGATACTAGCTGTGGAAATAATATCCTTGGCGAACATTTCCACTTGAAACTTTAAGATATTACTTCTCCAGGAGACAATCTCCAGGGGGAATAAATATCCTATTACATGTGTACTGAGTTACTTTGCATTACGTACGTACTGAGTTACTTTGCATTACTGTCATAGCTGGCGTATGGCGCATTGGCTTTTTACCTTAACACAAGTTATTTACTCACTCCAGTAAGCAAAGAAACCACTTCTTATATGACAGACTTCCCACATGACTGATTCACATCTCTGCTTACATGGTTTTGTCTTTCCTGTCACAGGGCCTTGGAGACATACTACCACTGTTTGTACACGGCGGCAGGCACTACCAGCTGTGATGGTTCTAAAAATATAAAAACACTCGCCGATGACCAAGCCACGCAAGATAACTCTTTATCATGCAGTAAGTTGATAGCCCTGATGAAAGTACCAACCATTCACATCATTGGATCGTTTGACAAATTTAGGCTCTAATGCTAAAAGCCCTTGACTCTAAACTCAATGTGTGAACATGGGTCTGGATTATCAGCGGGTGTTATGTGCAGATGTTGCTGAAACGAAGTCTTGCGGTGTATATAGTTAGCCCTAAAATGCAGTCTTGGGCTGTATATAGTCAACACTGAAATACACTGTTGGGCTTTCAAGTAGAGATATTCCCCGAATTCATTCTTTAATACAAAATTGCTCGGTTTTCAGCAAAAATGTTCCCGAAATTCATTCTTTGTTTTGTGAAGATATTGCGAAAAATGCATTGCCATGACGATATTTTTGAAATCATTAGCATAGGCTATTCCTGATATGTATTCTTGTGTTTCAAATACTGAATGCTGAAATGCAATTTTAGGTTTTAAGTTCAGAATGCCACTGGTGAAGGACTCACCCTTGTCGCAAACATCTTTCACCCTATTGTAGCTTTTACGCCAATTGAAATCTCTTTCGATGGATAATCGAGACTGGTTATTCTCTGGTTATGGACGTGATGTATTTATTAAAAGGAATCGTGCTGGTCATATGTACTTCGACATTTTTCAGTTTCACCTCGCCGGGACGTGTGCACCTGTCAGGTCGCCTTCTTGAAATCCACAGCTGCACTATGCGAGTGAGTGTTCTGCACGGTTGACACTGGACTCGTAGTGTGATTTTCTGTTTTCTGAATCAATATCACGTTTATTACGTTTGATTAACACATGTCATTTTGTCATCTATACAAGAATCTAACCGATCTCTAAACCATTTTTGTAGAAATTAACTAAATGTGAAATGCATTTGATATATCATGACCTGTTTGTCCGTCCTTTCCCATTTGAGGTAAGTATGTTATTTTTCCACCCTTAACGGGTCAGTAATAACAACTGCATTTTCGAACTAATGAAAAGAAAGTGTTGTTCTGAAAGAAACTGCTATTATAATATTTATACAGCTCTCTAAAAGTTCTGATGAACTGTCTGTGGGCTGGAACAGCTACTGGTTGTGATAATACTGCTACGAGAAATGCTGTGGCGACAACAGCTGATGGGAAAATAGATACTACATGTAGAGGCAGTAAGTAGTACTTACATATTACACAAATGTCTAACGTTCAATTAATCAGGTCGATACTAAATGAACGAGAACGAACAAATAACGTTGAAGTAGCGTTATGGGTAAAGACTGACTAACTGAGGGTAGCCTCTGAGCGCCCTGAATATTCTTTCTGCACATAACCTACAGTCCGTGTGATGGAAATAAACAACTGATTTTGTTGTACGTGTACAGTGGAAATATACTTTCAATAATAATCATATTTATATAAAGATATGAATGTTTCAATATTATAACATATATTTTAACTATTTTTCAGCATTAAGTGATGTTTGTGTATGCCAGGTCGCCTACGCCAAAGCGGACATGACCACTGGTCACTGCGCGTATGTATGACTTTATCATCTGGTCAGCATGTTCGAAGTTTTTACGCCTGTATTCAGTTGCACGTCCGAAAATGAAAATAAGAATGAATTTAGTATTAATAAAAGTGTCCTCAATAACTTTCCCCTTTCTATCATTAATTGTCTGAAATGCAATACTCTGTAATCTGTTATATTTGTGACTTCTATGCATGTAACAAAGCACTCATCTTTCCTGACATTCGTTTAGCGCTCTGATTGCACAGTTTGCATGTCTGGAGAGCAAAACTGGAACAGGTTGTGAAGCAAGCAGAACCCTGAAACAGGTGGCTGAAGAAGGGAACACAAAGTTTGGAAGTGGAACGTGTTGTAAGATATATACTCATCAATGTATATTGCTGTATCTTGTCTACTGGTCTATTAATGTAAAACGTGGCTATAAATACATATAGACGTGAATGGCAAATTGACATCGTGTATACCGGCCATATACACTGTTGTATCAACATCAGGTTTATTTAATTTCATTATTGCTATATGTTGTGGTCACATACTTATAGTGAAGATCAGAACACACTCACAAATGTCTGATGTGTCAGCTACTGCTGTATGCATTGTATGATGAACACAAGCATATATTCGACGTCGGTCGTCATATGAACGTATGCAAGCTATGTAATCTAAAGTCAGTCTTAGTATTTGTTTAGCTAACTCAATTCAATGTTTAGAATCTAACATGCATGTACGGTTCACATTATTATAGTGTACCCTGCCATATCAGATAAATCCCAGCATCTAAAATTTAGAATTCCAACACTGATGGAACTATGGTGCTAAGTAAGGATTATAATACAGTTTCCAAGTTCAATATGGATTTTTAATCACGTGTAGATAACCTTGTGAGACCCGGGGCTGCAGTAGATCCCAAACACACTACTGCTTATTGTAATTATATAAGAGACGACTAACGGCATTCACTCACCTCTTGTTAGCACATCTGCCGGGGTCCCTCAAGGTTGCGTCATCACACTCATTATCTCACAACAGCGCTTGTATATGTATTTCCTTCGACGTTTAAGAATTTTCAAATTTACTCTACCACCATCTCAATGTTTTATAGAACATATGCTTTTAACTTCACCAGTTGGGACAGAAACCTGTCTGTTCGAAACAAAAGCAAACTCTTCAAATACTGTAACACGGCAAAATAGATTATTGGCGTCACTCTTCAGGACATCGACAGTATTTATGGGCAACAAAATTAATAGTTAATAAAGTAAATACAATATAAGATCCTGTTTTACATTCGGAGCATCAACTTCTTTCTGGCCGTTGTTGGGATCAAACAGGGCTAGGAATCCATCCATACACACTTGTATCAAGTTTTCTAATATACTTTGTGATAATAATCGTTGAGCATTTATTCGCTAGTGCTACTTGAAACGTTTATGACGTTCGTATTTATTTGTATGCGTGTTTAGAAAAAAGGTGAGACCTTGTGTCTGTAACCTAAATGTCCTTTGGGATAATCGTATCTTATCTCAAAGTGCACGTTGTGGTCTGACTCGTTTACTATTTATCTTCATATCAACCGCTGGTTTGGCGGTGTGTACATATTTGATTGACCGATTGTGATTTATGTTTCCGTCACGCTGGAAATGCAATCAAACCCGCCATAGAGGAAAACAAATCTCTGTAATATTACTTTTAATGAAGAAATATTTAGCCGAAAAAATATTATATTTCTTATTTTCTTTGTCATCACATGCAAATGCAGCTGATAATCTCTTTCAATGAACGACAGTTTGCCAGTTTAGGAGTGAGTGAGTGTGTTTGTTTTACGCTGCTTTTAGCAATATTCCAGCAATATCAGGGCGGGGGACACCAGAAATAGCCTTCACACATTGAACCCATGTCGGTAATCGAACCCGGGTCTTCGGCGTGACGAGAGAAACGCATTAACCACTAGGCTACCCGACAAACCCCAGTTTAGGATTATCGATGAAATGCGGAAGTCTATTAATATAATCTCAACTGAGGAAATACTGGTTTCAAAACTGGTTTCAAAATAGGAAACCAAATTCTCTCCTAAAATGTTCCAAGTCCACTCGCAGATGTGAGCTCATGTGCATGATCTGCGATAGATCCACTATTAAAAGTTAAACATTTACGCTGAATGTATAGCACCAAATTACCTTTCCGATTAACAACATTGCCTGGTCCTTAAAACATCGAAGCATTTAGCTACACTCATAGCTGGCTATGTAGCGTGAAACACATCGAGGTTGTCATCGTCAGAATCTGGAGCCGCCTCGAGATTTCAACCATACCATAAAGACGAAGTAATCAGTCAGTTATCTTTTAGAACATCAGCTGTACTGTCTGTAGACATTTCCGACAGACAATATGACGATCGAAACATTGTGTTTTCACCAGGCTTCACTGTGTTCAGCAGATATACTTGCAGACCTCTCAAAAGGGACGAAATTATGGGGCTATATCAGCGAGGCATTACTGTCCTATTTTTCAGTTGAATCAGCGTTTTCCCAGTAATGATAAGGTATTACTGCGCTGGGAAAAATCTAATGTGTTTTTTCAATTTGGTTTTCCTCTTAGTTAAGAATCAATATACAACATACTTGTTTTACAGCGCAGTTACATCGATGACTTCCCTTGTAATCAGCTGGGGCGGTCGGTAGCCTAGTGGTTAAAGCGTTCGCTCGTTACGCCGAAGACCCGGGTTCGATTCCCGACATGGATACAATGTGTGAAGCCGATTTCTGGTGTCCCCCGCCGTGATATTGCTGGAATATTGCTAAACGCGGCGTAAAACCATACTCACTCACTTGTAATCAGCTCCACGCACGTTGTAACTCAGTTGCAAGTTTCAATTGCAAACTCAATGTTTTGGACGAGGGACATAACTAACTTGAAATTATATTGAAGCATGTAATATCAATTGTAGATTGTATATATTACGTTTATACATTGCGGGTACATGTATGTGATGTGTGATAACCTGGAGAGATAACCTGATATATAGAGGTTATCACGCTTGTGTGTTTGGGGATGGTAAATATCCTGCATTAGAAGTAAACATTGTATTTAGCGAAGCTACTCTAACCCGAATCTATGAGACGTCACGGCCACGTTCAAACGTTGTTGACAGTCAGCCCGTCCTGTCATAACATTAAGAAGTGCAATCAGATGTACACACAGCGACAAAACGAAACAAGGTAACAATTCAACATATTTCGGCCAAATCCAACTCATTTAATTTGTGGATAAGGTTTCAAGCCGCAGAGGTCTACAAGCACAGATATGGCTTCTGATCCCGCTTGGCTAGACCAAGTGCCCTCGCAAAACTGTTTCGAAATTTATATCTCCAAAGTTGCCAAAACTTATAAAATGCCTTAGGTACTTCACAGTTAGACACTGATTTTAAGTATATTAGACTGTTCTTTTGATAGTGATAGTAATTATCCCTGTAGTTTATCCAGATTCCCGATGGTTATTTCTGACTCGATTGCCGACTGACAAGGGCGGATATCGTCTTTATCCGTTGGCTTTATCCTGCCGAGAAACCTACCCATTATATGGTAAATCACAATATATACATGTAGGCTTCTTTTTCAGCAACGACAGACACATGCGTATGTCAAAAGGCTTATTTGATTGCCGACGTTAGCGGGGCAAACAAATGCACGTATGTATAACGATAAATCGCATCATTTATATATAGATGTATCACTGATGTGGGGATGCGTTATTATACGCCCAAAAGCAAGTTATATATAATTGTATTATTGTTAGGAATTCTGAACATAATTTGTGGAGAAATATGCAGTTACGTGTCAAACCGCATTTGAGCAGATACTTGTACCTGAATACCTGCGGTGTATATAGGCATAATATAAATGCATAATATAAATATATTTATCCAGGTACTAGTATATGCCTAATTGCGGTTTTGACATATTTGGTGTGCATATATGGATACACAACAAATATTTGCAAGGATCTTTATTGGGTTGAAGCATAGCGCACATTATTTAACATAAACTGTACACTGCTCGGACTTCACCTATGGTACAATACGATTTGTTATGTCTTTTTGATCAGTGTCTATGATAAAGTAACTGTATGTGATCAGAGAGACGGAGAAGAAGATAGCCTGTTTGTATGCAACAACAACAGCGAGCTGTGATTCCGCCGTCCCGAGAACGACCATCATGTCCAACACAGACGACACTTGCAGTAAGATATCATGTACCTTGATCCCTGTAGTAAGATTGTCCTTCCTTGTGTCTGATTATGTCCAACACAGACGACACTTGCGGTAAGATATCATGTTTCCTTGATCCCTGTTGTAAGATTGTCCTTCCTTGTGTCTGATGATGTCCAACACAGACAACACTTGCAGTAAGATATCATGTTTCCTTGATCTCTGTAGTAAGAATGTCCTTCCTTGTTTCCCCTCATGTCCAACACAGACAACACTTGCAGTAAGATATCATGTTTCCTTGAGCCCTATAGTACGAATTTCCTTCCTTGTGTCTGATTATGTCCAACACAGACAACACTTGCAGTAAGATATCATGTTTCCTTGATCCCTGTAGTAAGAATGTCCTTCCTTGTTTCCCCTCATGTCCAACACAGACAACACTTGCATTAAGATATCATGTTTCCTTGAGCCCTGTAGTACGAATTTCCTTCCTTGTGTCTGATTATATCCAACACAGACAACACTTGCAGTAAGAAATCATGTTTCCTTGATCCCTGTAGTAAGATTGTCCTTCCTTGTTTCCCCTCATGTCCAACACAGACAACACTTGCAGTAAGATATCATGTTTCCTTGATCCCTGTAGTAAGATTGTCCTTCCTTGTGTCTGATTATGTCCAACACAGACGGCATTAGTGATCAAGTTACATTTCATTTTCTCTATTCATGTACAACACTGATGACACCTGTGAAGTGTTACCTTTATTTTGTCCAGTCAAATCCAACGCAGACAATACACGACTTGTGTAACACTTCTGTATGTCCATAAACAATGTTAGTTTAATGGCATGTATTGTACATATATATGTCATTGAGGAGAGTATTCATTTGTGATGACATATATGCATGTATATCAAAAGCGTTTCGTCGCCGCCACTACTTCAAGAAGTACATTCAGCGGAAACACTGAGTGCTAGTTATTCACATAAACAGTGGAAGGATAACTGTATCTGTCTCACGTTGCAGGTAAAACAAGTAGCTGCTCCTGCCAGAGAGCATACGGTATTGACACAACCAGCGCCGACGAGTGCGCGTAAGATGTGTTTTGTTATCATATATTTCATCAGTGACTTAAACAGAAAAAACCCCGTCCTATTTCTCACAACTTGCAAACCATTGGTATTGTAAATATACTCTGCAAGATTAATGTACCTTTAGTACAGAAAAGGAAAGATCAACATCGCGCGGAAATACAAATAATTTATGAACATATATATATGTCACTGAAATTTAACATGAGAACATAAGTATCCAAACGAATTAACTAATCTGTGTATTATCTAATGCACTCAAGTGTATACATTAAACATATGTTTTAATCATGACAGCGCCCAAAAAGGCGTGGTTACATGTCTGAGGTCGACAACTGACACTGGATGCACAGGAGAGACTGCCTTCACCAAGACAAGAGCTCAACTCGGCACAGATCTAGAGACGTATCTTCAATCAGGCACATGTAGTACGTTCTTTTGGTTCCTAAAATTCCATTGCAAACCATACATTCATCCAAATCATATTACTATCTTAACTTGAAGAGAGTCACAACGTAGTAACGGTTCACTCGTTGCAGATGTTACAATAGCCAATATGGTACACGGGCATATTTGGCAGGAGAGTTTCCCATAATGGCTAAAGTGTTTTGTAATGACGTGCACATACGAGTCTGTAAATATATTATTACAGTCCTCGGCTTTTGTGTAAAGAGGATCGTGGCTGAACTAACACATGTTTCAAATGCGGTTACACGACTTGCTGTTTGTATTACAATACTACTGGTTTCACATTATTATGAAAGTAACTATAAAAGTACAATGAGAAATTTGAGTGTTATTCATTTCTATATAATTACTGACAGTGTATAAATGTAAAACTATATGATACAATCAGATGGTAGCGATGTCTAAACTGGTTGATAGTCTGTCATTGTAACCTATCAGAACCAAATCAGCTAATGTTATCAAATACAAGTAAGGATTTAAGTCCACCGTTTAAAATACATACTTTTGGTGTTGTCATTGTCTGTATGCAACCACAATTCATTGACTCTCCAATTGTTTGTCAATGTTTAGGTGCGGGCTTGACTGACACCTGTCAGTGCCAGATTGACTACGCCAAGGCATCAGTGGATCCTGCAGCCAACAAATGCACGTAAGTCACGTATTTAGATGGAGTAAAGTGGTCCAGGAAATTAACCAAGTCGTCCAGAGTAGATGTTTCCCCCATTTTCTCTGCATCTTCTGTGCCACAGTTTAGATGATACGTTTCTAACAACTTTACGGTATTGCATTGTTAAGTTAAAATATTACTGATTTCTCCACGGGACGCCATTTTTAGTTGCTACACTACGGACTACTTGACGAGACGACATTGTTTAGTTCATTATTAACTTAACATATTACTGATTACTCCACAGGATGTCATTGTTTAGTTCATTCAACAGGGACAACTCGACGAGAAGCCATTGTTTAGTTGATACACTACGGACTACTCGACGAGACGCCATTGTTTAGTTGATACACTACGGAGTACTCGACGAGACGCCATTGTTTAGTTTATAAATAACGGACGATGTCACAAGATGCCATTGTTGAACTGATGCTTTACAAACAACTTCACTGGACGTCATTACTTAGGCTCGGTTCCTTACAAAGGCGGGGTGTGTGGTTTGCGAAAGTGAAATACTGCTAACTCCTGTGTGATCTGCCCTGTGTACAATGTTCATTTTGGATAAGTGTACGAATTCTGTCCTGCGAAATTCTGCGCCATTCTGCACCATTCTGCTTGTAACGCGTTGGTCAGTTGTTGGAGTGTCTGCGGCATATTCCGACGTTGACGTACCCGTCGATCGAGTTCTTCCGAGAAGTTTTGTTTGTTTGTTTGTTGTTCAACGCCGCAATATAACTGCGGTCTGTAAATAATCGAGTCTGGACCAGACAATCCAGTGATTGGCATCATGAGCATCGATCCACTCAATTGGAATACGATGACATGCATCAACCAAATCAGCGAGCCTGAGTGTTCCATTGGGTTGCGATCTGGAGATCTCGACGGCAAGGGCAAGGCGTTGATGTTAGGATTATGAAGGTAGTCTACCATGACACGAGCTGTGTGCGGTGGAATGTTGTCCTGTTGAAACAACTCCCTCTTGCGGTCAATGATTGGAAGAAGGTGAGGTGGAAGAATTTGATTCATGTAGCGGTTTGCAGTCAAATTTCCCTGAACCACAACAAAGTCAGATCTCGTGGTGTAGTATATGGCCCCCTCACTATGACACTACCGCCACCGAATTGTTTCGAATTCACGTATTAAACGCTCATTTCGACGACGATAAACACGTTGTATTCCATCTCACCGGTAAAGAAGAAATCGTGATTCATCGCTAAAACACACTCGTCTCCAGTTTCTCAAATTCCAATTCTGTAAGGCATTGCACCAAACGCAAGCCTCGCTGTCGATGGATCGGTTGCAAAACAGGGACGATAAGTGGTCTTCTCGGTCGGATTCCGGCCTTGCGAAGATGGTTCCTGACCGTCTGGTCCGATATCCTCACTAAACCAGGGATGCGTCCTGCAGTCTCCATAGCTGTGGCATTGCAATGACGTAGGTGGAACAGTCGAATGTTGCGATCCTGTGCAGAGCTGTTAACTCTTAGTCGGCTGGTTCTCGGACGGACTGCAGTGGAATTGAACTATGTGTATCGGTCTCAAAGGAGGCAAATGTTGATGTGGTGGACGTTGAAGTGGCGTGCAACAGAAGACTGCGATTCCCCTCTTTGGATATGTCATATGGCGATGTTCCGATCGGCAGTGCTGAGTCTCGGCATTTTCGAACTTGAACAATGTTGACAACTGAATGACACATTATTGCCTTTTTATAGCCACTGCCACGCTGTACTGTTTTCCTCCATGATATGTTTGAACAAGTGTGAAATCAATGCCGTTTAAGACACTGCAATCGTTTGTCGAATATCAGGCCACCAACATTTTCCAATAACATATATCCAATGTATATACCGGATTTTTTGTGAAGTCAGGTTCAATATACTACATACTACATGTGAGTTTCTTTTTTGAAGAGTGTAAAAACACGCCCAACTCTATTGTGCGGCTCTTTATTTAGCAATCACCAATCTGGATAGTTTGGGGGTATTCATTACACAGAACACAATTAATGCTTTCTATACTTTGTATGAACATTTGTGTTCACAGGGCTCTGAAGGCCCTCATTGTGTGTTTGGCTGACAAGACAGCCGCGGCTTGTGATGGATCCACGTTACCTTCAGCGTTGGCGGATGCTGCACACACAGACATAAAGGCCGACACTGCTTGTGGTAAGAACCTGTCCGTGACAACATCCGGCACACTGGTATTTCGGGTTTTAAGTCTGATGTTAAAAGCCTTTCAATCCTGTGAATAGAATGATAAATGTTAAATGGTGCATTGCAAGAAGTCAGATGCGGTGTTAAAACCCCTTGTGTTCACCTAACCCTGAGTGTAACTATGAACACTGTCAATGCCAATCTCTGCCAATCTTATCAACAGCGGTTGCAACTGCTTTCGGGATTATGATTTGGGTACAGCGTGAAAGAGTCCGTGATAAAATATTCTAATGCTTGAATCCTTTGACAACATTTTTTATCGGTGTAGGTTAGTTCACTGTTTATGCTTTCTGTCAAATCTATGAATATTCTATAATAACTGAGCATAATACACGGATGAAAGACATTGGCGGTGTCTATATACATGACTTTTGAAAACTTGTTTAAAAATGATATTTGTTTGGGAATATAAACTAAGTATTTATTCAGTCCTTTCAAAAGTTAACACTAAGGGTTGTTATTGCAACCCCTAGAGTTCATATGGTGTTGTAGGGGTTACATTTGCAACTGCTCGTGTTCGTGTGCCAAAGATGACCTAAACTATCTTTTTTAGAAAGTTGTATAATTGTGGTTTTGAAAATATGTTTGAAAATAATACTGGTTTGTGAAAATAAACGAAGTAAATATGCGTTTATTTAAAACAACTAACGCTTATGGTTGGTAATACAACCACTGTTTTCTATATGGTGACTCTTGGGATTCCACCTTTTAGTGATCTCAGAAATATAGGTTTGAAATTATTTTGCCTTAGCCAAGCATTATGCTTACTTATCATGCTTATGGTAACAAAATAACAAAATTCCTAACAGATTATTAGCCTTAGCCATCTTTATGGCAACACATAATTTTTACTTGCCCCATTTCACAATGGTGTCCACTCAAACATTTCCATATCTCAACCTTTTTTAACAAGGTAGAAAGAAAAAGATATGCACAGAAGTACTCATAAAATATCCTTACTTATTCCTTACACATATCTATTCTGAATATATTTATATCTTGGTCTGAAAAGTAGGGCAAGGTGACCTTCTTCTTGATGATAGTTGTTGACTAAGAAACATGTACTCACTATATTTTATCGTTCTAGCACAGAAATATAAATAAAGCGACAAAACCCTTCCCATATCAAACAGAAATCTCTGCAAAAAGCAGAGTCGAAAATGTCACAGAAAATGTCCCTGATATGCCAAAGAGAAAGCCCTCTAGTAACCTTGACCTTGAGTGCTCAAGTGGGGCACGGGTAGCCCAATCGTCTAAGGCGCCGCGATTCGCTGTGCAGAGTTTGGAAGTTAGTGTTTTTGCAGCGTATGAACGTTTAAGTGAAAATAATGATGACTAACCGCCTCACACCAACCCAACCCGCATCCACCGCCCTCCAGCCGCGGTCCCGCACCCCCCTTCACACACACTCCATCTCACTACAACCTGATCAGGATCCACTCTCTTCCTGCACCGGTTACTGTTAGGGTTTATCTTGCATAGAATATGGACAACGTCAACCCCGAGCGTAACTTTCAAGTAATGAAAACTCGGGGTTGCAGTTGCAACCGTTAGTCTTCACAGTTACACAAATAGGTTCGGTTAACACTAGTGCAGGCAATCAACTTCAAAACAAGCGATGCCTCAGTGCAGAACATGGTTCATGGGAATACATCGAAGGCATAGTTTTTCTCTTTACACTGAGGTTGAGTCAAACAGCTGGTCATAATAAAACCAGCATTAAACATGTTGTTACCATCTTAAAGTTATGTGTGTGAAAATGAATAATAATCCAAATAAATATTGTGTTTCTGACAAGTACGTATGATCATATCTGTTTGCAGTTGTTTCAAGTACATGCGAATGTGAAATCGCTTATGCAAAGACAGACATATCCTCCAATAAATGCACGTAAGTACAAACATGTTCATACTTATTCTACTACTGTTCCGTTCCTATAATGGGGGCAGTTAACGCAATAATTACCCATTCCGACTGGGGGTTGTCAGTACGAAGTAACACGTAAAGAATAGGTCCCAATTGTGTCGATTGATGCTCATATCAATCACTGGATTGTCTGGTCCAGACACGATTATTTACAGACCGCCGTCATTATGAAACTTGATATTTTCTGAATGATGTCTTACTTTATTTAATTTGTTCAGTGTACACGTATGAGAAAGACCAACCTGTACAAGCTTGTGTGCAGAACAACAAAATGAAGACGCACACAAATTCATACGGTGAAACTAATTACCTGATTTCTTTGTCTCTGCCAGCGCTCAGCGAACCAAGATGGAGTGCCTGTACAAATCTGAAACCCTGGGCTGTGATGGAACAACTAAGAGGAATGCTTTGGTTGATGGTTTCAAGGCTGATTTGGTATCAGGAGCTTGTGCTGCTGAAAGTAGGTAGACTCGTGTGTTCCGCTTACGAGTACATAGTATATTTGTTAATGAAAAGATTGCACAGGAAACCTAGACAATTGCCTAAAATGTGAAGAATTTGTATAACTTTTCCAAAGTGGTCTATGATTTGGAAGAATATAGGTATATATATTATATATACTTATAAATAGGTTATCATGGACCTTTTTTAAAGTTACAAGACTTTGAAATTGTCTCTTTCTCCGTAGCGTCCGATGTCTGCAAACTCTGTATGATCCCTTATGCAGCAGTAGACCCCGCTGGAGATAAATGCGGGTAGGTGTCTTACAAAATAAAACATGTTTGAACATAACTACAATTAACATTCAGAATGAAACGGAAAGGTCTTTAGACGCTGGTATTTTAAGAAACGTTTTTTCATGAATTCATTTGTGAAATGTGAAATGTGTTTTCTAATGATGCAAGTGTGTTGACAATCAATATAAGAACAGCCCAACACGTATGTTGAAGGTGTGAAGTTTCAAAACATAATTTGCTCTCAGTATATTCAGATTAAGTCTTGAAGCCTTTGAGAAATGTTACATCTTCAAAATTGATGTGTCGTGTGACAAATGTACTTTATGGTGTAAATAACAGCGCCCTGAAGACATTTCTTGGTTGTTTGGACACGAAGACAGCATCTTTAACAAGCTGTGACGGTTCACAAACCATCATTCAGCTTGCTACAGCTGCTGACCAAGCGGTGACGGACACGGCATCCTGTAGTAAGTCGGATTTTGGTTTTCATGTTGTCCTGAAGAATAAAACAACTTACTTACATTATTCCTCCGACTCATTCTGTGTCTACATCTTTAACTGTTTTGTGTTTACAATATCAACTCATGGCACTTGTGAAGCCCGACATACATGTTATGGATGTCATGAGCCATTCAGAAGTGTTGTTTATATCCTTCTATTAAAGCCGCTACGGACACTTGCAGCTGTACAGTTGTCTACTTGAAAACTGCAAGAGCTGATGAAACTGCGGAATGCAGGTATGTGTGACAGCTACTCTTCGGTCATGTACTGATTAAACGGACTAGATGGTATCATATGTATCAATAACAATTCAAAGGCAATCTCAAAATCTCCCGACTGCAACAATTTCTTACAAGGTGCCTGTGAGGTCCTATTTGTCCGTCGTCTAAGTTTGAAGTGAATGGTGAAATTGGCGTTTACTGCTAACAACACAACCCTTAACAAAACTACATCCAGCTCACTGCATCATCAACACCTTACACATGTGTACACCACAACCAGGCCAGGCCAAGCCAAGATACGCCACGCCAGGCCACGCCACGCCACGCCACGCCAGGCCAGGCCAGGCCAGGCCAGGCCACGCTAGGCCACGCCACGCAACGCCAGGCCAGGCCAGGCCAGGCCAGGCCACGCCACGCCACGCCATGCCACGCCACGCCACCGCACCGCACCGCACACACCAAAGCGCACCACACAGTGCAACACAACACAAAAACAACACAAGATATAGATATATCTCATTTATCATGTATTTGAAATATCTGTTTTGCGATTAAGCATTTATTATATGATGTATATGATGTGTGAACATCGCATTGTCAGTGCTTTAAAGACCAAGATGGACTGCCTTGTAACGACAACTGGTATTGCATGTGATGGAACAGCCCGCCACACCTATGCGGGTACTGTCAGTACAGCCATGGATGGTGTCACGTCCTGCCCTTCCAGTAAGTTGTAAATAGCTGAGAACAGAGTTAGTTCGATCAGTGTTAACATCCAATTGAAAACGCAAAATGGATAACTTTTTTTCTGCAGCTATATTCAAGTATTCAATAGTTATTACATTCACAAATTATATCTTTATTATCCAATTGAAAATCCAAAATGAATAAATTCTGTAGCTGCATCATAACAGAAATATATTCAGCCAATCACCGAGAGCGTAACACAAGTCTTGTTGTGCATCATCTTAAGACATGCCGTGTCATCAGTATCAATTATTTTTTTATTTTGAATATTCTTTTTTTTTTCTATTCTGTATTAAACAATTATTGATCACAATTTAGGCAATATCATCTTTTATGGACCCAAGAAGCTGGACTCAATATCAGTTTCTTGGGTCCATAAAACATTTATATTGCCCCCATGAATGGTCAATAATTGATAAATATGTAATGTCCATCATAAAACCATGTCTTGCGTCTCACATTTTAAACGTCATCTTGTAGCCTATCCTTCTGGGTCTATATGCAAGGATTGTGTGATTCCAATGGCAACAACAGCTGCAACATGCGCGTAAGTCTTTGAATACTTAAACTGACAATGCCAAAAGTGTCCTTTATTGTGAACTTGGTATGACGTTTGTTGAAATCAGTGAAGTCTAGGTCTGGATGAAGTAATCAGTGTCATGTGTCATGAGCATATCAATGAAATGGGTTTAAATTGATTTAAATAAATCTTCGTAGTTTCCGATTGGTAGATAGATTTACGATGCTATATATTCAACACGTAATTTCTAATAGCTCTTTTTTAAGGTTCCATCTTTTATTTTTTTAACTAGTTTACAAGTTTATTCCTATCTTAGAAAACGGACCCGTGTATGTGTAAACGATGAATGTTTTGGGGTCAAAATATTATTCCAAAGGAAAGAATATTCATGGGGGAAATATTGCAGTGGCAGTAGGATACTAGCTGTGGAAATAATATCCTTGGCGAACATTTCCTCTTGAAACTTTAAGATATTACTTCTCCAGGAGACAATCTCCAGGGGGAATAAATTATTACATGTGTACTGAGTTACTTTGCATTACGTACGTACTGAGTTACTTTGCACTACTGTCATAGCTGGCGTATGGCGCATTGGCTTTTTACCTTAACACAAGTTATTTACTCACTCCAGTAAGCAAAGAAACCACTTCTTATATGACAGACTTCCCACATGACTGATTCACATCTCTGCTTACATGGTTTTGTCTTTCCTGTCACAGGGCCTTGGAGACATACTACCACTGTTTGTACACGGCGGCAGGCACTACCAGCTGTGATGGTTCTAAAAATATAAAAACACTCGCCGATGACCAAGCCACGCAAGATAACTCTTTATCATGCAGTAAGTTGATAGCCCTGATGAAAGTACCAACCATTCACATCATTGGATCGTTTGACAAATTTAGGCTCTAATGCTTAAAGCCCTTGACTCTAAACTCAATGTGTGAACATGGGTCTGGATTATCAGTTTGCGAGCGGGTGTTATGTGCATATGTTGCTGAAACGAAGTCTTGCGGTGTATATAGTTAGCCCTAAAATGCAGTCTTGGGCTGTACATAGTCAACACTGAAATACACTGTTGGGCTTTCAAGTAGAGATATTCCCCGAATTCATTCTTTAATACAAAATTGCTCGGTTTTCAGCAAAAATGTTCCCGAAATTCATTCTTTGTTTTGTGAAGATATTGCGAAAAATGCATTGCCATGACGATATTTTTGAAATCATTAGCATAGGCTATTCCTGATATGTATTCTTGTGTTTCAAATACTGAATGCTGAAATGCAATTTTAGGTTTTAAGTTCAGAATGTCACTGTTGAAGGACTCACCCTTTTCGCAAACATCTTTCACCCTATTGTAGCTTTTACGCCAATTGAAATCTCTTTCGATGGATAATCGAGACTGGTTATTCTCTGGTTATGGACGTGATATATTTATTAAAAGGAATCGTGCTGGTCATATGTACTTCGACATTTTTCAGTTTCACCTCGCCGGGACGTGTGCACCTGTCAGGTCGCCTTCTTGAAATCCACAGCTGCACTATGCGAGTGAGTGTTCTGCACGGTTGACACTGGACTCGTAGTGTGTATTCTGTTTTCTGAATCAATATCACGTTTATTACGTTTGATTAACACATGTCATTTTGTCATCTATACAAGAATCTAACTGATCTCTAAACCATTTTTGTACAAATTAACTAAATGTGAAATGCATTTGATATATCATGACCTGTTTGTCCGTCCTTTCCCATTTGAGGTAAGTATGTTATTTTTCCACCCTTAACGGGTCAGTAATAACAACTGCATTTTCGAACTAATGAAAAGAAAGTGTTTTTCTGAAAGAAACTGCTATTATAATATTTATACAGCTCTCTAAAAGTTCTGATGAACTGTCTGTGGGCTGGAACAGCTAATGGTTGTGATAATACTGCCACGAGAAATGCTGTGGCGACAACAGCTGATGGGAAAATAGATACTTCATGTAGAGGCAGTAAGTAGTACTTACATATTACACAAATGTCTAACGTTCAATTAATCAGGTCGATACTAAATGAACGAGAACGAACAAATAACGTTGAAGTAGCGTTATGGGTAAAGACTGACTAACTGAGGGTAGCCTCTGAGCGCCCTGAATATTCTTTCTGCACATAACCTACAGTCCGTGTGATGGAAATAAACAACTGATTTTGTTGTACGTGTACAGTGGAAATATACTTTCAATAATAATCATATTTATATAAAGATATGAATGTTTCAATATTATAACATATATTTTAACTATTTTTCAGCATTAAGTGATGTTTGTGTATGCCAGGTCGCCTACGCCAAAGCGGACATGACCTGCGAGTATGTATGACTTTATCATCTGGTCAGCATGTTCGAAGTTTTTACGCCTGTATTCAGTTGCACGTCCGAAAATGAAAATAAGAATGAATTTAGTATTAATAAAAGTGTCCTCAATAACTTTCCCCTTTCTATCATTAATTGTCTGAAATGCAATACTCTGTAATCTGTTATATTTGTGACTTTGTAACAAAGCACTCATCTTTTTCGACATTCGTTTAGCGCCCTGATTGCACAGTTTGCATGTCTGGAGAGCAAAACTGGAACAGGTTGTGAAGCAAGCAGAACCCTGAAACAGGTGGCTGAAGAAGGGAACACAAAGTTTGGAAGTGGAACGTGTTGTAAGATATATACTCATCAATGTATATTGCTGTATCTTGTCTACTGGTCTATTAATGTAAAACGTGGCTATAAATACATATAGACGTGAATGGCAAATGGACATCGTGTATACCGGCCATATACACTGTTGTATCAACATCAGGTTTATTTAATTTCATTATTGCTATATTTTGTGGTCACATACTTATAGTGAAGATCAGAACACACTCACAAATATCTGATGTGTCAGCTACTGCTGTATGCATTGTATGATGATCACAAGCATATATTCGACGTCGGTCGTCAAATGAACGTATGCAAACTATGTAATCTAATTACAGTCTTAGTATGTGTTTAGCTAACGCAATCCAATGTTAAGAATCTAACACATGTGAGGTTCACATTATTACAGTGTATCCTGCGATTTCAGATAAATCCCAGCATCTAAAATTTAGAATTCCAACACTGATGGAACTATGGTGCTAAGTAAGGACTATAATACAGTTTCCAAGTTCAATGTGGATTTTTAATCACGTGTAGATAACCTTGTGAGACCCGGGGCTGCAGTAGATCCCAAACACACTACTGCTTATTGTAATTATATAAGAGACGACTAACGGCATTCACTCACCTCTTGTTAGCACATCTGCCGGGGTCCCTCAAGGTTGCGTCATCTCACCCATTATCTCACAACAGCGCTTGTATATGTATTTCCTTCGACGTTTAAGAATTTTCAAATTTACTCTACCACCATCTCAATGTTTTATAGAACATATGCTTTTAACTTCACCAGTTGGGACAGAAACCTGTCTGTTCGAAACAAAAGCAAACTCTTCAAATACTGTAACTCGGCAAAATAGATTATTGGCGTCACTCTTCAGGACATCGACAGTATTTATGGGCAACAAAATTAATAGTTAATATAAAGTAAATAAAATATTAAGATCCTGTTTTAAATTCGGAGCATCAACTTCTTTCTGGCCGATGTTGGGATCAAACAGGGCTAGGAATCCATCCCAACGCATTTGTATCAAGTTTTCTAATATACTTTGTGATAATAATCGTTGAGCATTTATTCGCTAGTGCCACTTGAAACGTTTATGACGTTCGTATTTATTTGTATGCGTGTTTAGAAAAAAAGGTGAGACCTTGTGCCTGTAACCTAAATGTCAATCATATCTTATCTCAAAGTGCACGTCGTGGTCTGACTCGTTTACTATTTATCTTCATATCAACAGCTGGTTTGGCGGTGTGTACATATTTGTTTGACTGATTGTGATTTATGTTTCTGTCACGCTTGAAATGCAATCAAACCCGCCACAGAGGAAAACAAATCTCTGTAATATTACTTTTAATGAAGAAATATTTAGCCGAAAAAATATTATATTTCTTATTTTCTTTGTCATCACATGCTAATGCAGCTGATAATCTCTTTCAATGAACGAAAGTTTGCCAGTTTAGGAGTGAGTGAGTGAGTTCGTTTTACGCCGCTTTTAGCAATATTCCAGCGGGGGACACCAGAAATGGGCTTCACACATTGTACCCATGTCGGTAATCGAACCCGGGTCTTCGGCGTGACGAGCGAACGCTTTAACCACTAGGCTACCCGACAGCCCCCAGTTCAGGATTATCTATGAAATGCGGAAGTCTAATGATATAATCTCAACTGAGGAAATACTGGTTTCTAAACTGGTTTCAAAATAGGAAACCAAATTCTCTCCTAAAATGTTCCAAGTCCACTCGCAGATGTGAGCTCATGTGCATGATCTGCGATAGATCCACTATTAAAAGTTAAACATTTACGCTGAATGTATAGCACCAAATTACCTTTCCGATTAACAACATTGCCTAGTCCTTAAAACATCGTAGCATTTAGCTACACTCATAGCTGGCTATGTAGCGTGAAACACATCGCGGTTGTCATCGTCAGAATCTGGAGCCGCCTCGAGATTTCAACCATACCATAAAGACGAAGTTATCAGTCAGTTATCTTTTAGAACATCAGCTGTACTGTCTGTAGACATTTCCGACAGACAATTTGACGTTTGAAACATTGTGTTTTCACCAGCCTTCACTGTGTTCAGCAGATATACTTGCAGACCTCTCAAAAGGGACGAAATTATGGGGCTATATCAGCGAGGCATTACTGTCCTATTTTTCAGTTGAATCAGCGTTTTCCCAGTAATGATAAGGTATTACTGCGCTGGGAAAAATCTAATGTGGTTTTTCAATATGGTTTTCCCTTTAGTTAAGAATCAATATACAACATACTTGTTTTACAGCGCAGTTACATCGATGGCTTCTCTTGTAAACAGCTGGGGCGGTCGGGTAGCCTAGTGGTTAAAGCGTTCGCTCGTTACGCCGAAGACCCGGGTTCGATTCCCGACATGGGTACAATGTGTGAAGCCAAATTCTGGTGTCCCCCGCCGTGATATTGCCGGAATATTGCTCAAAGCGGCGTAAAACCATACTCACTCACTTGTAATCAGCTCCACAAACGTTGTAACTCAGTTGCAAGTTTCAATTGCAAACTCAATGTTTTGGACGAGGGACATAATTAACTTGAAATTATATTGAAGCATGTAATATCAATTGTAGATTGTATATATTACGTTTATACATTGCGGGTACATGTATGTGATGTGTGATAACCTGGAGAGATAACCCGATATATAGAGGTTATCACGCTTGTGTGTTTTGGGGTTGGTAAATATCCTGCATTAGGAGTAAACATTGTATTTAGCGAAGATACTCTACAAAACGAAACAAGGTAACAATTCAACTTATTTCGGCCAAATCCAACTATTTTAATTTGTGGAAAAGGTTTCAAGCCGCAGAGGTCTACAAGCACAGATACTGATCCCGCTTGGCTAGGCCAAGTGCCCTCGCAAAACTGTTTCGAAATTAATATCTCCAAAGTTGCCAAAACTTATAAAATGCCTTAGGTACTTCACAGTAAGACACTGATTTTAAGTATATTAGACTGTTCTTTTGATAATGATAGCAATTATCCCTGTAGTTTATCCAGATTCCCGACGGTTATTTCTGACTCGATTGCCGACTGACAAGGGCGACGCCATGTTTGTTTATAAACACTGAAAGTAGTCCCTACTTGACCTTTGGTATTTGAATCTATATCCGCATATGACCCCAACGGATATCATTTTTATCCGTTGGCTTTATCCTGCCGAGAAACCTACCCATTATATGATAAATCACAATATATACATGTAGGCTTCTTTTTCAGCAACGACAGACACATGCGTATGTCAGAAGGCGTATTTGATTGCCGACGTTAGCGGGGCAAACAAATGCACGTATGTATAACGATAAATCGCATCATTATATATAAATGTGTCACTGATGTGGGGATGCGTTATTATACGCCCAAAAGCAAGTTATATATAATTGTATTATTGTTATGAATTCTGAACATAATTTGTGGAGAAATATGCAGTTACGTGTCAAACCGCATTTGAGCAGACACTTGTACCTGAATACCTGCGGTGTATATAGGAATAATATAAATGCATAATATTAAATTTTTTATCCAGGTACTAGTATATGCTCAATTGCGGTTTTGACATATTTGGTGTGCATATATGGATACACAACAAATATTTGCAAGGATCTTTATTGGGTTGAAGCATTGCGGACATTATTTTACATGAACTGTACACTGCTCGGACTTCACCTATGTTACAATACGATTTGTTATGTCATTTTGGTCAGTGTCTATGATAAAGTAACTGTATGTGATCAGAGAGACGGAGAAGAAGATAGCCTGTTTGTATGCAACAACATCAGCGAGCTGTGATTCCGCCGTCCCGAGAACGACCATCATGGCCAACACAGACAACACTTGCAGTAAGATATCGTGTACCTTGATCCCTGTAGTAAGATTGTCCTTCCTTGTGTCTGATTATGTCCAACACAGACAACACTTGCATTAAGATATCATGTTTCCTTGATCCCTGTAGTAAGATTGTCCTTCCTTGTTTCCCCTCATGTGCAACACAGACAACACTTGCAGCAAGATATCATGTTTCCTTGATCCCTGTAGTAAGATTGTCCTTCCTTGTGTCTGATTATGTCCAACACAAACAACACATGCAGTAACATATCATGTTTCCTTGATCCCTGTAGTACGACTGTCCTTCCTTGTTGCCCCTCATGTCCAACGCAAACAACACATGCAGTAACATTTCATGTTTCCTTGATCCCTGCAGTAAGATTGTCCTTCCTTGTGTCTGATTATGTCCAACGCAAACAACACATGCAGTCATATATAATGTTTCCTTGATCCCTGTAGTACGACTGTCCTTCCTCGTTTCCCCTCATGTCCAACACGGACAACACATGCAGTAACATATCATGTTTCCTTGATCCCTGCAGTACGACAGTTCTTCCTTGTTTCCCCTCATGTCCAACGCAAACAACACATGCAGTTTTAATCATGTTTCCTTGATCCCTGCAGTACGACAGTTCTTCCTCGTTTCCCCTCATGTCCAACAGGGACAACACATGCAGTAACATATCATGTTTCCTTGATCCCTGTAGTACGACAGTTTTTCCTCGTTTCCCCTCATGTCCAACGCAAACAACACATGCAGTAACATATCATGTTTCCTTGATCCCTGTAGTACGACTGTCCTTCCTCGTTTCCCCTCATGTCCAACACGGACAACACATGCAGTAACATATCATGTTTCCTTGATCCCTGCAGTACGACAGTTCTTCCTCGTTTCCCCTCATGTCCAACGCAAACAACACATGCAGTAACATATCATGTTTCCTTGATCCCTGCAGTACGACAGTTCTTCCTCGTTTCCCCTCATGTCCAACGCAAACAACACATGCAGTAACATATCATGTTTCCTTGATCCCTGCAGTAAGATTATCCCTCCTTGTTTCCCCTCATGACCAACGCAAACAACACATGCAGTAACATATCATGTTTCCTTGATCCCTGCAGTACGACAGTTCTTCCTCGTTTCCCCTCATGTCCAACGCAAACAACACATGCAGTAACATATCATGTTTCCTTGATCCCTGCAGTACGACAGTTCTTCCTCGTTTCCCCTCATGTCCAACGCAAACAACACATGCAGTAACATATCATGTTTCCTTGATCCCTGTAGTACGACAGTTCTTCCTCGTTTCCCCTCATGTCCAACACGGACAACACATGCAGTAACATATCATGTTTCCTTGATCCCTGTAGTACGACAGTTCTTCCTCGTTTCCCCTCATGTCCAACGCAAACAACACATGCAGTAACATATCATGTTTCCTTGATCCCTGTAGTACGACAGTTCTTCCTCGTTTCCCCTCATGTCCAACGCAAACAACACATGGAGTAACATATCATGTTTCCTTGATCCCTGCAGTACGACAGTTCTTCCTCGTTTCCCCTCATGTCCAACGCAAACAACACATGCAGTAACATATCATGTTTCCTTGATCCCTGTAGTACGACAGTTCTTCCTTGTTTCCCCTCATGTCCAACGCAAACAACACATGCAGTAACATATCATGTTTCCTTGATCCCTGCAGTAAGATTATCCCTCCTTGTTTCCCCTCATGTCCAACACGGACAACAAGTGCAGCAAGAAATCATGTTTCCTTGAGTAAGAATGTCCGTCCTTGTGTTTTATTGTGTCCAACAGAAACGGAAATTGTGATCAAGTTACAAGTTCTTCAATTCTCAACACCAACAGTACATGTAAAGTATTACCTTTCTTTTGTTCGATATATATAGTGTCACTATGGAGAGTATACACTTAAGGATTGACTGTGGATTTTTTTCGGTCCATTGAGGTATGAATCGAAAAACCGATGTGCAAATTGTATGAATCCGACAACGAAAACATTTGTTATCTACAATAGTTTTACCAGCAACAGTTTCATATATCAAAGCAGACAGAAATGACGACATTGATTAACATTCCAGGTGTAGGAATACATACTGTTTGGTGACATGAGCTGAATGCTAAATGTATCCACATAACTTGACACGGACACAAAGTTAGTAGGCAATCACCGGAGAGTAGGATCAAAACATTTCATAGGACCTGTCAATCAAGACAAGAGGTGAGAAGAACCGCAACGGTCAGGTTGTACCAACACATGTGTACTATAGACATGTGGCCTGTCAGTATGTCTGCAATAAAGACTGAAGTAAGAATGTCCTTCCTTGAGTCCGATTATGTCGGAAGGTATTTGTGGTCAAGTTACATCCTTTTCTTTAATCGAGTCTAGTCCCACAAAAACCTGCAGAAGTGTGTATTACCCTTACCTTTGCCCGATCAAGTCCAACACAGGTAATACCTGCAGTAGCTGAACCCATTCCTTTGTCCGATGATGTACAACACAGACATACCTTTGTCCAACACAGAAAATACTTACAGTTTCGTAATCCTTCCCTTTGTCTGACAAAGTCCAACACAGACATACCTTTGCCTAACAAAGAAAATACTTACAGTTTCGTAACCCTTCCCTTTGTCCCATCAAGTCCAACACAGACATACCTTTGTCCGATCAAGTCAAACACAGGTAATACCTGCAGTAGCTGAACCCATTCCTTTGTCCGACGATGTACAACACAGACATACCTTTGTCCAACACAGAAAATACTTACAGTTTCGTAACCCTTCCCTTTGTCCCATCATGTCCAACACAGACATACCTTTGTCCGAGTCCAACACAGACATACCTATGCCCGAGTCCAACACAGATAGTACCTGAAATAGTATGCCCCTCCTTTCCTTTGATCGAGTGTGACACACACAACCCCTATATTAGTATAACCGTTACCTTTTCTCCATAGAAACCATTATCTGTAGTATGTGTCTTTATAATTATGTGTAACTCTGGGGAATGTACTCTTGTGATTACATGTACGTATGGACATGTTATGATATATCAAAGGTCACGTTTCGTCAGCGCCACTGCTTCATTGAGGGTAAGTTATTCACACGTGAACAGTGGAAGGATAACTGTTTCTGTCTCACGTTGCAGGTAAAACAAGTAGCTGTTCCTGCCAGAGAGCATACGGTATTGACACAACCAGCGCCAATGAGTGCACGTAAGATGTGTTTTGTTATCATATATTTCATCAGTAACTTGGATATCTTAAACAGAACATAGTTTCTACTTCTCACAACCTGCAAACCAGACGTATTTCAGTATACTCGTGCAAGTTCTGCTTACCCACAGTATTGTGAAGGAAAGGTCACTGAAATTGGACATGAGAACATGTAATTGTCATAATACATTAACGAAACTGTTTATTTGATGTGCCACTTAAGTGTATACATTGACAATATGTTTGAATCATGCCAGCGCCCAAAAAGGCGTGGTAACATGTCTGAGGTCGACAACTGACACGGGATGTACAGGAGAGGCTGCTTTCACCAAGACAAGAACTCAACTCGGCACAGATCTAGAGACGTATCTTACATCATCCACATGTTGTAAGTCTTTAAGAAAGTTCCCATCGCAAAACAAAGTGGCTATACATACTGGTGAAACTAAAGTGAGTGAGTGAGTATGTTTTTACGCCGCTTGTAGCATTATTCCAGCAATATCACGGCGGGGGACACCAGAAATGGGCTTCACACATTGTGCCCATGTCAGGAATCGGACCCGGGTCTTTGACGTGACGAAACTAAAGAATAAACAAATGTGGGTTCATTCCTTTCTAAGTTAATACTGAACTACTGGCCATATATACAAATCATGTTATTGTCCTTAAATGCAAGCGGGCTACCAAGCATAAAAGGTTTACTCTCTGCATCTACATTTTGTAAGTATTAACTGAAGTTCCCATCGCAAAAACATGCTAAATTTTAATATCTTTAATTAACGTTCCAATCGCAAAACCATACGTCTATAGTATTACCATTTCATGTTCACTGGAAGCGAGTCACAGAGTATAAAATGGCTGGCCCTTTTTTAACATATTGTAATATTCGATCGCAAAATCAGAAAGTAAAAAATATAGTTTTATGAGTTTCCATTCCTTGTTATTGCAGCTTAATTTGGCGAATCCCTTGTGTCATCACTGATTTTCATTGATCCATTCATGTAATTTTCATCACTATGTAATAGATAGAAACTAGATAGTACATTTATATCCAGACAAAATACTGGTACAACTTCCGAATCTACTTCAGAGCACAGGGAAATATTCGAGTTCCACAAACTATACACTGCAGATCGCAAAACCTCCACCATTCACACTCGAAGCAGATCTCACGATTTCATATAAAGTGTAGCGTTCGTGCAGCCAGTTTGTTCTTTTAAGTTTCACGAAGCAGGAGAGTGTCAGGCCTCTATAAGCTGTAGACTTTACAGTACTTTATCAACATATAAATGTACTCCTACTGAACACAAAAGTGACCAGAATTACGAAAGTAATTGCCTGTGCTTGAGTTTGACTTTAACGCCCCGTGGAATCTGTTTCGGCAGATATTCAAGACTGATTATTCACTGGCGTTGAAATTTTGAATATAATTACTGCAATTGGCATCAACAACCGGCAATACATATAGATAAAGCTAATGAATAGGTCCAATACGGTTCCATTCCCCTCTGTATAACTACTTACATCTGAAATGGTTTCCACACATTGTATCCAACTGAACGCTTCTATCTCTTCGCTTCCCCACCTCCCCCTATCATTAGTACATACCGTATTCGACGTAATAAGCGCCCCGCTCTAATAAACGCCCACGGTGATATTTGCTAATATATTGGCTAGTGAACAATCCCAATTAGCACCCCTTCCGATTGATTAATGTACACAAGACTTATTTATTCGCGTATAATACGCACTCGTTATATGCACACTTAATTATGGGCAATTAAATTCGGGAAAAATATATCTGTCGTACATAAACATTTCAGGCTGTCAGCATAAACCACGAAATTTATCTTTCAACTCAACTTTTTTTTTCCACCAAAATAATATTCTAATTTTGAGTGCGTCCTGGGCGCTTATTACGTCGAATACGGTACATGGTATTGGCAAGTATGTGCAGGTGTATGCTTTTGTATAACGTTGTTAGTGTGACGTGAATAAAGATTCAGATACTTGTCTGTTTTTCAAAGACCTAATGACAAATCCTTGGCCGACAATGTATATCCCATTGTGTGCACTCCCTGATCTTGTGCTGGTATTGTTTGTATGTTTAAATGGTTGTCTGGTCTGGATGTGGTAATTTCCAGACCATCGGTATACAGGCGTTGGTGTTGTTGTTTTGTCTCTACATAGCAACGTTATGGATATCTTATCGTTTGTCATTTGTTTTAGCTGCGGGCTTGACTGACACCTGTCAATGCCAGATTGACTACGCCAAGGCATCAGTGGATCCAGCAGCCAACAAATGCACGTAAGTCCACCCTCCTTCAACATGTTTAATCGATTAAGAAAATATATCTGTCGAGTAAGGTAATGCATGTTTATACTGGTTTGTCAACAGAGCACTTGGGGCACTTATTTTATGTTTGGCGGGCAAGACTGCAATGGCTTGTGATGGAACCACGAAGCCTTCTGCGCTTGCCACAACAGCTCACAACGACATGCAGACAGGAAGCTGCCGTAAGTACCCCAGAATCTTACCATCTGTAGTAAGTATCCCAGCTCTTTATCTTCTGTAGTGTCCAACCCATAGTACATCCGCTTGTTTTGGTCACATTCAGTCAGGAAACTGTAGTAAGTACCCCAACTCTTTGAAGTCTGAATGACCCTTCCATAGTACATCAGCTTGAAGCCACATGCAGACAGGAGACTGTAGTAAGTACCCCAACTCTTTGACGTCTGAATGACCCGCCCATAGTACATCTGCTTGTAGCCACATGCAAACAGGAAACCGTAGTAAGTACCCCAACTCTTTGACGTCTGAATGACCCACCCATAGTACACCAGCTTGTAGCCACATGCAGACAGGAAACTGTAGTAAGTACCCCAACTCTTTGAAGTCTGAATGACCCACCCATAGTACATCATCTTGTAGCAAAATGCAGGGAGGAAACTGTAGTAAGTACCCCAACTCTTTGAAGTCTGAATGACCCACCCATAGTACATCATCTTGTAGCAAAATGCGGGGAGGAAACTGTAGTAAGTACCCCAACTCTTTGTCGTCTGCTGTGACCAACCATCCATAGTACATCAGCTTGTAGCCACATGCAGACAAGAAACTGTAGTAAGTACCGAAGCTCTTTACCGTCTGTGGTGACCCACCCATAGTACATCAGCTTGTTTTGGCCACATGCAGACAGGAAACTGTAGTAAGTACCCCAGCTCTTTGACGTCTGAATGACCCACCCGTAGTACATCAGCTTGTAGCAACAAGCAAACAGGAAACTGTAGTAAGTACCAAAGCTCTTTACCGTCTGTGGTGACCCACCCATAGTACATCAGTTTGTAGCCACATGCAGACAGGGCGCTGCAGTAAGTACCCCAGCTCTTTACCTTCTGTAGTGCCTGTAGTGCCTCGACCGTAGTACATCAGCTTGTTTTGGTCACATTCAGTCAGGGAATTTTTTGTTTGGATGGTGGTAGACGATACGATAAACAAATGTGGCTTCATTCTATATATAAGGTCTACATGTATATTTAATTCTTGAATATAACTATCCCGAAAAGCTTCATGTTCCAACGATATGAACTTACATACACCTTCCACTGCTCACGCTGGTTGCTAAAAATATCCTCTAAACTTGACTTCGAGGTGAATGATGATAAAACTGTTGACTATTTTAAACTGTTAACACGACATTGAGGATTAGAACACATTTTTATGGAATACTGTAAGGGACATTCTCGCGATCTCGCATTCTCGTGTTTTGGGCATATTTACCTCGTTTCCAAAGGTCGAGATCGCGAGAATGCGAGATCGCGAGAATGTCCCTTACAGTATTGCATACATTTGTTATATACACTTATTTTGATTGCAGCAATCACGGACACGTGTTTGTGTCAGATCACCTACGCTAAGGTGGATGTCTCTATCACAGCGAACAAGTGCCTGTGAGTAGATTTTGCACATGTATCATTTTTTATCATGTAACATTTGAAAGTTAATTCTACCACGAACTTTATAATTATGATGATAATTAAAAACGACAAAACCCTTTCTATATTTATTAGAAATCTCTGCCAAAAGCGGTGTCGATTGTACGCTTCCGACTATATCATGAACATGTGTTTATGAATCACTAACAAATAGCGATGATAGCTACCCGTCACAAACACATGCAAAGTCAAGTCAATTGACAAAAACTGGAACATATGGTACAATTCAAAATTAGGAATTGCATCGGACATAATTTTGTCACTGATGTGGAAATGTCATGTCTTCCATAAAACTTCACTCGATTCTGTTTGGTCAATGAGAGGTTTGAATCCACAATAACAATTTAAATAATATGAATTACCATTGAATACATACTAGTAGTCCACTAGCATTGTGTAGAACTTGATGGGTCCAGAAGTATTCTTTGCTATTCACAAGAAACAAAATGTTCTACATGACATCTATTTGTTTGTATCAATAATTGTTACCGCGTGAAGATCCATGTTAGCATTGGTCTTCAGCAGCCCATGCTTGTCTAAAGAGGCGACTTACGGGATCGAGTGGTCAGACTTGGTTGATGCATGTCATTGTATCCCAGTTGTGTAGATCGATGCTCATGATGTCAACTACTGGATTGTCTGGTCCAGACTTGATTATTTACAGACCGTCGTCATATATTGGAATATTGCTGAGTGCGGCGTTAAACGACAAACAAACAAACCAAATTAATAATTGTTTGAGAAATATTCTAAAATCCATGAAAAAAAACCCTTCAAATTATATCTTACATCAGCCATCCGCATGTGACATGGTAAGTGTCCAATTTTGTTCACCGTACTTCGAATTTAGACGTATTCCGATATATTGGCTAAAGAAGGCACATAAAACGGACATTAATCAAGACCCGTGGAGTCGGACCTCGAGTGTTTACAGTCCGCCGTCATATGGCTGGAATATTGCGGAGTGCGGAATTAGACAACAAACGAACAAACCCACAGCAGTAAAAAACAACAGGAATATTTAGATCATACCATGTGCAAATTGTGACTGAATTTTATCAAAGACGTATATTATTTTGTTTTTGTTTGTCTTCACTTCAAGGAAAGTAAAGTACCATTCAACCATCAATACTACTATGTCTACTACAATCATGTTATCAACGACTTTTCCAACATTAAAATACCTTTAATTATTAGATAGTAGATCCATTATGATAAAGTCGCAATCGTACCATGAGGTTTCTTAGGATAATAATTATGGAAAGGGTCTTCTCGCTTTTATAGACATTTTACAACAACAACAACATTAACAACAACAACAACACAACAACAACACACACACATACACACACACACAAGTTTATAATACTAGGTTAGTTTATCTACAAATTGTGCTCTCTCCTGTGCCTTCAGGAATGTCTTCTCCTTCAGTATTGTGATTTCAGTACACATTTCTTGGCAGGGGCCTCTTCGATCAGATGGAGTGCGTGTTCAAATCGATTGCAGTGGGATGTGACGGAACTACGAAACGCAAGGCGGTTGGGGAGGGGTTGGTTACTGCCCTAGGAACCTGTTCCACTAGTAAGTTAGAGGCGGTCCATTTACTGTTCTGGTGATGACGATGGGGTTGCTTGTGGTGGTGGTGTTTTTTGGGATGTTTCTGTGTTTTGTTTTTAAAAAGGTACTATTGTTCCACAAACAACGGTAATCAAATGAATACATAAATTGTTTAACCCAAAGAATGCACTTTTCCCAGGACATGATAATATTGTTCGGCGTCTCCTTTCACAGTGAAACCGAAACATATACTATCTCCGAAAACATCACAGTCGTTTTTAACTGTAGTGAGTGAGTGAGTGAGTGAGTGAGTGAGTGAGTTAGTGAGTTGGGTTTAACGCCGCTTTTAACAGTATTCCAGTTATATCACGGCGTGTCAGCTTAATGTGGGAGGAAATCCCGAAGTGAGGCAGGTCTCAGACGTTTACCACTTCGGTGAAACACCCACGAGCACGGGTATGGTGCTGACAAACATAATCGTGTCGAACCGGGATTCGAACCCACTTTTAATTGTCTAGTCTAGATCTAGACTTGAAATGGGCTCCAGACGGTAGACAATAGTATCTCTTTAGCAAACACAATTAATCTGGTTATTTGGTGTATATATTATAGACCCGTAGCAGTTGCGTTTTGTGACTTGATTCCATACATGTACTACAATACTGAAAACCAAAGTTACTTGTTTGAAAAATACACTAAAATATTGGTGTCACGGGAACTTTTGTTGTTGAGTATATATTATAGTCAATAATAGGACGTTTCAGTCATTGATGTTCTGTTACAGCTTCGGATGTGTGTTCATCCTGTATCTACGCCTATGCACGAGTGGATGTAGAAGTTTCGTCTGACAAGTGCAGGTAGGTATAGGGTTCTGTCCCGAAGACATCACATAACAGCAAGTTACAGACACCATCATTGCAGCGGGCTTTTATAGTTTTGTGATTTGGTCAAGTTACCTGATGCACAAGTATTTGTTTTGCTAAACAAAATTCAACATTTTAGTAGTCTCGAGAGGAGATACAGAATGACCGCACTGTTTTAGTTGAGAAACCATCTTGAGTGTTCGGAAGGAACTCGTGGTTGATGAGGTCGTTGTGTTTCATTCGTATGTTGTTACTTAATATCTGTGATATATACTTGCATGATACCATACCATAGGGACGGTAGGGTAACCTAGTTGTCACAGTGTTCGCTAGTCACTCAGAAGATCGGATTCGATTTCCATATGGGTGCAAAGTGTGTATCCCATTTCTGGAGTCCTTGCCGTGGTATTACGGGAATATTGCTAAAAGCGGTATAAAATCATATGGGTACAACGTGTGAATCCCATTTCTGTTGTTCCATCATATTCACTCACTAACCGTGAAAGAATTGTGCTACTTAACTGGTTTTATTGCAGTGGTTTGGGCGCATTCCTCCATTGTCTAGACGGGAAGACGGCCGCGAGCTGCAAGTCTACGAGTCCAGATTCAATCGCTACATTAGCGACCTATGCCAAGACCGAAATCACTAAAACTGGATCCACTTGTGGTAACATGATACTGTTTTTATTGGCTAACCAGATGGGGTTCATTCTAACTATATGAGATACGTTAATGTCCAGACTGATTAACTAAAGTTATCAACATCAGCAGTGCAATTTGTGGAGACAAGGACATCTGTCTGGATTAAGTTTATTGGAATTCAAGCCAAATTGTATGTTTGAAAAGAGTTTTTTAAAAGTGATTTTTATATTATTCATTAGTTGGAGTTTGTTTTTTGTTTTTGTTATTGTTTGTTTGTTTTTGCTGGGGTTTTGGGGGTTGATTTTTTTGGGGGGTGGGTGGGGGTGGGGGATGGGTTATATTGATATGTGTCCCGGCCTTGATGGTGCTGGAAAATTGCTAAAAGTGGCGTAAAGCCATACCCTTTGACGTGTATGTATTTTCCTCTGACAGCCGCATTAACAGACACATGTGAGTGCCAGTACACTTTCCTCACCACCGCCAATTCTGCTACAACTTGCAGGTAAGTGCCACATTGTCACACTTCCGGGTTAGAATACGTCTTCAGCAACCCATTCTTGTCCTAAGGGACGACTTACGGGATCGGGTGGTCAGGCTCGCCAACTTGGTTGATGGAAGTCATCGTATCCCAGTTGCATGGATCGATACTCTTCCGTGTGGATCATTGCTCATTATATCAATCACTGGATTGTCTGGTCCAGACTCGATTATATAAAGACCGCCGTCACATAGCTGGATTATTGCGGCGGTTAATCAACAAAAAAACAATTACTCATATACCCAGCAGGGACGTGCATGTATTTCGAAAAAATAAATCTCCCAAGATATTACCAGTCATATATATCTATTTACACGATTGAATAATAACCTTCGAATGTTTATGTACGGAAAGTGAGGAAGGGAATTTATGGATGTCAACTTCTTTCGATGATGGAGGAGTAAGTATATGCTCCGACACGTTTTGTTCCTCATAATAAAGAAGTTGACATCCATTAATTCTCCTCCTTGTGTGTATTACTTCTAAATGCCTTTCACAGGCTTGGTACGTGAAGTGATTTATACATTCAACACTGCCTCACAACACTATAAAATATCCCGCTTGTTATGAGTTGCATCATATACTTTTGTCACCATCAGTGAACATGCCAAGAGAATGGAATGCATTGTGAAAGCAACTGGGATGGCTTGTGATGGGTCAAGCCCGCGTTCAGTCTATGCCACGAATATTGCCGAACCAAAACTACAAGATGTCAGTGGTTGCAAACCCAGTAAGTATTTACAATGATTCTGAGGTGAAGTTGTCTACTGCTTCTTACTTCAGAAATAGAGGTCTGTTTAAATAACTGAATGTGAACATTCTTGTTCCAACCAAATTGTCAAAGGTAGCTACAGTACATTTAATTATTTGGATGTTTAAACATATACGACACCTATACCCAAGACATTTGTCCCTGTGTAACATGCTGTCCAACTACCTTTTGACAAATAAGTCAAAATAAGTTGGAGTTGTAATTACCATTTGTAACCTAAATGCAACCTGTAACATTTGGTTGAATGATAAACCAAGGTTGTTATTTGTTAATAATTCTTGAACCTTATAGCCCTGTTGAAACTTTATGTTGAACTTTTTAACTAAAAATGCAATTTCATGTTGAGTCTAATAGACAATTTTTTAACCAACATTTTGCGTTTTGCTGAAACGTAAATCCAGGCTGTAACTGTGAATATTATAGTTAGGCTGTAACTGTGAATATCATAGCTAGGCTGTAACTGTGAATATCATAGCTAGGCTGTAACTGTGAATATTATAGCTAGGCTGTAACTGTGAATATCATAGCTAGGCTGTAACTGTGAATATCATAGCTAGGCTGTAACTGTGAATATCATAGCTAGGCTGTAACTGTGAATATCATAGCTAGGCTGTAACTGTGAATATTATGGCTAGGCTGTAACTGTGAATATTATAGCTAGGCTGTAACTGTGAATATTATAGCTAGGCTGTAACTGTGAATATTATAGTTAGGCTGTAACTGTGAATATCATAGCTAGGCTGTAACGCTATCCTGAACATTAGAACCAGGCTGAAACTCCTTGTTGAAACTTAACGCCTTGTGTTGTCTGAATGACTACTTAATTGGAATTACCACAAAAGGTCTGTTACACTGTCGAGTAAGTGTCCAACTTAGATGTTTACTGATTCTGGTTTGTTTGGGTTGGAAATACTAAAACAATCTTGTAAATGTTACAGGTTTGACTGATACGTGCACAGCGTGCCAGGTCGTGTACGCTAAGGGAGCGAGTGATACTCAGGCAAACAGATGCGCGTAAGCAAACAAGCACATTGTAACACAACAACACCATTGAAGTTTAATCGAATATCGTTTCTAATTTCTTTTTCACTTGTTTTCATTATGTTTATGCGGTGTTTTAATGTGTGTTTCACCTGTTTTCATTATGTTGAAAAGTTTAATGTGTTTCACCTGTTTTCATTATGGTGAGGGGCGGTCGGGTAGCCTAGTGGTTAAAGCTCGTCACACCGAGGACCCAGGTTCGATTCCCGACATGGGTACTATGTGTGAAGCCCATTTCTGGTGTCCCCCGCCGTGATATTGCTGGAATATTGCTAAAAGCGGCTAAAAGTTTAATGTGTCACCTGTTTTCATTATATTGGAAAAGTTTAATGTGTTTCACCTGTTTTCATTATGTTGAAAAAGTTAAATGTGTTTCACTGTTTTCATTATGTTGAAAAAGTTTCATGTGTTTCATCTGTTTCATTATGTTGAAAAAGTTTAATGTGGTTCATCTGTTTTCATTATGTTGGAAAAGTTTAATGTGTTTCATCTGTTTCATTATGTTGGAAAAGTTTAATGTGTTTCACTGTTACATTATGTTGAAAAAGTTTAATGTGTTTCACCTGTTTTCATTATGTTGGAAAAGTTAAATGTGTTTCACTGTTTTCATTATGTTGAAAAAGTTTAATGTGTTTCATCTGTTTCATTATGTTGGAAAAGTTAAATGTGGTTCACCCGTTTTCATTATGTTGGAAAAGTTTAATGTGTTTCACCTGTTTCATTATGTTGATGTGTTATTTAAAGTGTGTTTTACTTGATTTCATTATGTTGATAATGTATATTAATGTGTTTCATGAAATTTATGACTCTTTGTTTCAGTGCATTGAAATTGTACTTCCACTGCTTAGACTCCAAGACTGCCCTTAGTTGTTTCGGCTCCAAGTCTGTAACAACTCTTGCCGTTGAAGCCAACACACGTGCGACCAGCGACACCTGTAGTAAGTACTGCGTTGAAGTGCTCTTCTTCATAAATAGGCGCGGATGGCCCAGTCGTCCAGAGTTACGTCTCTTAGGCGTGCCAGAAATCGTGGGTTCAAATCCCCTTGATAACATTTCTTGGTTTGAAAGCACAATACCCCGTGCTCATGAGTTTCACCAAAGCGGTAACCATCTAAGATCTGCATCCCTATCCTTCCACATGAAGATGGCGGGGCATGATATAATTGAAATACTGTTCAGAGAAGCGTTAATTAAATCCTTTCCATAATCATAACAAATCTCCAGCGATTACGACCGTATCCTTAGCATGTGTTTATAAACGACTATCAAATAGTGATGATACCAGGTATTGGAAAAAATGTAAGACGTGCATTTTCCCCATCGGTGCCACCCATCACAATCACTTGCAAATGCACGTCATTTGTTGATCTGAAAAACAAACATTGGAACACATGGCTCAAGTCAAACTAACGAATTACGACAGACATCAGTTTGGTCATGGATGCATCGAATTTGGAAATGTCCTCAACATGTATCATTAAAACCTTTTGGAAATGGTGTGAGGTCTTGAATGTTGTAGCCTTGATCAAACAATGAACACATCATGCCATTTACACTTGTCATGGGGGCCAGAAAGAACGTGATCTAGACTACCAGTTGTCGGCCATTAATGTTTGTGGCAGCCTGGGTTCTAATGCGAGATATGCCCTGATTATGTTTCTAGGTTTGTCAGCACCATACCTGTGCTCGTAGGTTTCACCTAAGTGGAACATGTATTATTGCTGCATCACTTCGGCTTTCCTCCCTTTCAAAGCTGACACACCGCGTGATGTAACTGAAATGCTGTTCCAAACAACTTTATACAACAATCACTTTCTATTGCTTGTCTGTTTGACCTTCCAGCTCTAGGCGCAACATGCCAATGTCAAGCAACTTTCCTCATGGCAGACAAAGCTACTACGGCAAAAACATGCACGTACGTATTCCCATATTAAATTTTAAATGATCTTATTTATTCCAAATCGGTTGTCGTATATATTCTGTTCCTATCTTTGCATTTAATGGTTCTAATAGTCACACATTTGTAAATATGTAAAAACATATATAACAAACAAGATCATTACATATTTCGTTAGGGGCACGGTTGGTCCAGTCGTCTAAGGCGCCGCAATTCTCTGTGCAGATTTGCGTCCCTTGGGCACGCCAGAAACCTATGAGTGTGGTTCGAATCACGGTTCGCCCCGATTATGTTTCTAGGTTTGTCAGCACCTTACCCGTGCTCGTGGGTTTCACCGAAGTGGTAAACGCCTGAGACCTGAATCACTTCGGGCTTTCCTCCCACTTTAAGCTGACACGCCGTGATATAACTGGAAAACTGTTAAAAGCGGCGTTAAATCCAACTTACTCACTCATATTCCGTTAATTTCAAGATTAACTTATTTTCTCCTTAAACAGTGCGAACAAGGACAAGTTGAGTTGTTTGGCAGTCAGTTTTGACGATGCTTGTGATGGTACAGCAACAAGGGACTCTGTAGCAGTTACAACAAATACAGCTCTTGGAACGTGCGGAAGTAAGAAATGTTTTGTTTGTTTGTTGTTTAACGCCGTTCCCAGCAATATCCCACTACATATCCCAGACGGCAGTTTGTAAATAATCGTGTCTGGTCAAGACAATCCAGTGACTGACATCGTGTACAACCAAGTCAGCGAATCTGACTACCTGATTTCATTAGTCTCCTCTAACGTGAGTGAGTGAGTGAGGTTTTATGCCGCTTTTAGCAATATTCCAGCAATATCACGGCGGGGGTCACCACAGATGGGCTTCATTCGACAAGCATGGGTTGCTGAAGACCAATTCTAACCCGGATCTTTATGGGTAAAAGAAAAAACATAAGAATGCTAATTGAATGTGTGATGTGTAGACATGTTGTAATGTCTATTTTCCGTCAAGGTTTTTCATCTTATTTCAACCCGTCAACCCGTGAAGATCCGGGTTAGACTAGGTCTTCAGCAACCTGTACTTGCCGTAGAAGGCGACTATGCTTGTCATAAGACGCGACTAACGGGATCGGGTGATCAGGTTTGCTGACTTGGTTGATGCATGTCATAGTATCCCAATTGCGTGGATCAATGGTCATGACGTCAATCACTGGATTGTCTGGTCCAGACTCGATTATTTACAGACCACCTTCATATAGCTGGAATATTGCTGAGTGCGGCGTTAAACAACAAACAAACAAACAAACAAACATCTCATCTCTCCTTTAAATTGTGATTGTCGTAAGAGCCAACATTATGGATACAACTAAAACGGGGGCTTCGTAATGACACAAACATGAGGCCAAACCGACTTTGTGTGTCTGTTTGCCCAAAGACATGGGTCAGTGTTCATACTATTGACCACTGGTTGGATCCCAGGTCCTTTTCATGTGGTGGCATATCTTCCCAGGCGTACTGCACGTTACGGTTTGGTTGACATATTACGGCTATTTTTCATTGCTTTCAGGTTTAAACACAATCTGCACTTGTGAGAAAACCTATGCTGTTGAAGCTTTTACTGACGACACAGTGCATTGCACGTAAGTTTAAGAATTTAATGTGTATTGTTTTTGGGTTGTCATATCGGTCTGTCTTGTCCGGAGACAGCTCCCGTAGTGTTGTGGATATAGCTTTAAGAAATAGCATCATTCATAATTTGACAGTTTGGGAAACAATGACCAAATATATATACTATGCTAGAAAAGTAGGGGATATTTTGTCTTGAGGTGAAGCTACAGAAGAATACACATAATGTCTGGCAATGAAAGTAAGTGGTTTATATTATGTGACAAGAAAGTTTCCCAAGAAATCAAGCTCCCGATCACAGCATTGTGGCAGCAATGAAGCACGTGCAAGGGGCGGTATGCCAGATTTATCATTGTCACTCAGACTCGGTGGTCAGCAGACACATTGTTTTCGTAGGTGAACCTCTACGGGCGAGTAGGGCACATTTCGGTGGCTTGGTTGGCTACTTACTTCAATATGTTGCAATTGTACAAGAATGCGTAGCTGTACAAAAAGATTTTGTATTGAGACTTGGATTTTGTATTGGGCCTTGGGTCAATATATCACTGTGTGATGAAATGGCTGAAATGGCTGAAATGCCGATGCGACGTTAAATTTTAACTCACACAATGTGTGCGTGCGTGCGTGCGTGCGTGCGTTTACAACCGACTCGTTGGATATATTGGTCAACTATGTTGTCTCTGTGTGCGTGCGTGCGTGTGCATGTTTGTGTGTAAATTTGACTCGTTATGTTGTATGTGTGTGTGCATGTGTGTGCGCGCGCACATGTGTGCGTTTACAACAGACTCGTTGGATACATGGGTCAATTGTGTTGTTTGTGCGTGCGTTTGCGTGTGTGTTTGTGTGTAAATTTGACTCGTTATGTTGTATGTGTGTGTGCATGTGTGTGCGTGATTGTGTGCGCGTGCGTGCGTGCGTGCGTGCGGGTGCAGGTGCGGGTGCGGGTGCGGGTGCGGGTGCGGGTGCGGATAACAATGATATAATGCAATTTCCCTACTCAAGTAACGAACCTGTGAATATTCGGGTTAGAATTAGCAACCCAAACTTCCCGTTAGAGGTGACTTACGGGATCGGGTGGTCAGGCGGGGTTGATGCATGCCATCATTTATTGACCGCCGTCAAGGAGCTGGAATTTTGCTGACTGCGTCGTTAACTTTCCCGCCTTAACCCCCTGGATGCCAGAGGGACATATATGTCCTTCCTCTACAACCCTCACTTTGAAGTCGAATAAAATTCAAAATACATCACCAACACAAATACACTTCACAATTTTGAATAAGGTGGGACATTTCCTGTTCTGTGATATCATCCACTGGCATTTTAGGCCAAGCAAAAGTACTGAAAATGACCTCTGAAAATTAGGTACATTGTAAATGTCGCCATTTTTTACACATTACTAAATCACCGCGCACGGCGTTATTTACAGCATGTTTTGAAATCTATATTTAGGATATCTACTCGGAGAAATGAATTTCAAAAATAGCATATTAGTGATCACGGGTATCTGTCTTTTATGAAAACACCAATGATCATTCCAAAACGTCTCCCATAACCCGAGAATCGTTTAGAATGTTTTGGAAAATACGCAAACACGAACGCCGAAGTGAACTTTCCGCCATATTGGATAGTGTTTACAAAATCACGTTTCAGGTACACCGGTTATGAGGCGCCTGTAACATCGCGTATATGTCAAACTTAGCTGCATCCAGAGGGTTAAACAACAAACAAACAAAGTAATGCGTAGGATATTTTGTTGCTACTGGAATGGACCGGTGTGTTGGAATTGTTGTCACTGTGGGGTATCTGTGTCAGTCAGCACAATCGCCAGAATTATCCTTTTTTAACGTTTCAACATTTCAAATCTGTGATTGTTTATCCAGATGATATATAGAGGATAATATATGAGTGTTCATGTCATACTATGTTTACGACACAAGTCTCTAAATACCGGAACATAGTATGACATGAACATGAATACAATGCTCTATTTTTACCGAAGAAGATGTTTACATACAGAGACGAATGTTAGTGTTTACCTATAAGGACAGCAAGACGCAACAGCAGTGGACCCACAATTTGACGAATGACGTCAACAATTTTCAGCTATGAGGTCGTTTATTGTGTGACGTCATTCCGACGTCACGTCACAATAAGATTCGAATGACGTCTACAATGCCGCCCGGGTGACAGAAACAATACACTGTTGTCTCGTGACGTGATATGACCTGAGGACACATATGATTTTTTTATGAACCCCGATTTATCATCCAAAACTGGCCCCTACAGGAGATATCGCTTGGATTAGATTAAGCGATATCTGCACTGTAGATATCGCTGCAATGAAATTACATCATAATGCTTTGCAGACCATTGTGACGTCACTGGTTACCATGACGTCACAATCAAATTACATAAATGATGGCTCTGCTACTGAAGCTGTTAGCAGTACTTTTTACACTGAAGACACTGCTAATTACTGTCTACAAATTGAAAAAGTAGGAAGAATGATGTTGGATGATAAATAAAATCTCACCCTCGTGTCTTTTGATATCAAATATATCAACACTCGTTGATAAAAGTGGCAAAAATCCTCGGCAAGCCTCAGAATTTTTCCACTTTTATCAACTCGTGTTGATATATTTGATATCAAAAGACACTCGAGTGAGATTCTCTATATGTTTGCCCTCGTGGGTAATTAACAAGCATCTTCATCATTCCTGCCATCTGTTGCTGATGTGCAATGAACTAAACTGCCGGGCAAAGGAAAATATACACCCATGTATGATGGTGGCTAAAAATAAAACAAAAAAGAAATATTTATTCGATGGTGATATATTTTACATGGATATTTCGATGGTGATATATTTTACATGGATATTTCTGATTTTGACCATACGTTACAGTGTTTCGGTGACTGTTTTCAGCCTAAAAACGTTTTGATAAAGTTTGTAATTTTCTTGTAAAGAGCAATGTATGCTTTCTTTTGTCCGGCAGTTTATATCCTTCTAGGAGATGTTGATTGAATTATTTACCCAGGGACAATGTCTAAAGTTCATACATGGCACCGATTACAAGTTCTAGGCCTAGGCTGAACACAGTGGAACACAATTCTCCTTTTAATGGTGCCAACTCTAGATTGGTCTCCAGATTGAATTTGTTTATTTTTTTCTTCAAATCCAATTTTCGAGTGTCTTCTTTCTATTGCCCGTGAAAGTTTCTGTCAGTTGAGGACAAAGTGACTTCCTGGCTGAATGAATGCTCTTTTCCCCATGCTAGTTTTCAGTCCACACTGCCTAAGCGCCACATAGGTAGTCGTGTTATTGTTTCTTTCCATGTTTTAGTAACCTAAAGACTGCTGCAGACTGCTTGGAAGGTTTGTCCGGAGGAGGGTGTGGCACCACTGCCACTGCAGGCACATTTGCTACAAGTGTTCTCGCGAAGATAAACGCTATATCATCATGCGGTGAGTATCCGTACCCTTCGGAAGCCTTAAGGGCCATTTGTTTTTATTATTTTTTCTTGAAATTTCAAGATACCGTTGAAATTTCGTGATGCTATGCTGAAATTTCAAGATACATATAAGATAGTTTCTTGAAATTTCAAGATAATAATTTGAGATTTGATGATTATAACTTGAAATTTCAAGATTCTATGTTGAAATTTCAAGAGGCTAACTTGACATTTATACTAAGTTGAAATTTTAAGATACTTTGTTGAAATTTCAAGATGTTATGTTACAATTTCAAGATGCTAAGTTAATATTTATACCAAGTTGAAATTTCAAGATATTAACTTGAAATCTCAACGAATGTATCGTGAAATTTCAACATAGCATCTTGAAAGTTCCACTTACTATCTTGAGATTTCAGGAAAAAAGTAAATAAAATAAATTGCCCTAAAAGGCTTCCGTGGTTCCCAATCACACTCAATGTTTTGATTCGTGGATAACGGAAAATCGGTAGTTCGATCCCCTGGCCACGTCACACCAAGATAGCGTAAAAGATTTAACTTGATGTTACCCTGTGCTCGGCTGAAAGCGATGAAACAAGGACTAGACGGCTCCGAGTATAATAAACGTGAGTGCGGTGCCCATGTTAAACTGTGGCATGTATCTCAGAGGACTATCACTAGCACCTGTTTGCATGAGTCTGCATACAAAGTGTATGCACGTCGCTATGTACGTTCTTGAACGCGCCGTTAAACCCAATTTAATATGTGGCCCTCTATGCAATGTTGGTCATGGGAGTACAAGGTTGTTTCTACGCCCATACATGACCATACAGTTGTCTATATTCCGCTGGAATTTTGGGTAACAATATAGGTCCTCCGCAACCTATGCTAAGGAGCAACCAAATGGATTGGGTGGTCACACTCGCTGACTTGCTTGATAGCATGGCATCGTACCCCGAATACGTGGATCGGTGTCACAATATCAATCACTGGATTGTCTGGTCCAGACTGTCATATAGCTGGAATCGTGCTGGGTTCGGAGTTAAACAACAAGAAGCAACTAATATTCATACCTGCCTTCAATTTCAGTACTTTCCGACACATGTACGTGCCAAATAGGTTTCATCGCCTCTGATGTCAGCACGCCTGTTTTGAAATGCACGTGAGTAAAAATGCCTTGTTTTCTTATTGCATTTTGAAATCATCTCCGAGGCAGCTTCATTCGCAGACACGACAAGTCGGCATACATAACTTGCCAAAGAGGTTAAACAAATTGGTTGCATATAACGAAAGTAATTGTTCCAGTGCATCTTTGCCTCTAGGGCAGACTGGATTCCCGACATTAAACATTACGCTTGCAAAGCTTATCGTCTCATAGTTTTCTAGTTCTCCTGACATCAGTTCTGTCAATATTTAAACTACAAATAAGACATTTGTAACAATGTTCATTCAAATACAACGCCACCACCGGAGAATAAAGGCTCGATTATTCGCCGAAACATTGGGCATAAAGGGAAAATTAGTGGTGAAAATTGTATGAATAGTGCACAGTCCTTGCCATCTGCCCCACGTCATTGGACGGTTATCATATCGTTTCAGGGCTCTTGAGAAGGAGGCAGGATGTGTGTACGAGGCTACTGGTGCCTCTTGTGTCGCAACCGTCCCTAAAACAACCACGTTGGCATCTGTTGGGTCATCCATCACCACAGCCTCTTGCAGTGAGTATACATATATAACGATGATTTTCCAAACTTAGTACCAATAGGTGCCCTTTTCAACATGATTACAATTACCTACAAAGCCATGCCATAATGATGATACATTTCACGATTCCATTGTATGGTTCCGATAGGTAGGGATGTCACGATTCACCAATCGATGAATCGATAATCTTCTCAAACGATACGATACGCGATACACACTCACCTGTGTCGATTCATAGTTTAATCCCGTACCGTTTCAAACATGGACCTGTTCACTCATATTTAATGTATGTAATTTCGGATGCACACCTGTCCTGTTTCGCGAAAGGGGAATTTCCTATTGAATTTAATAATAGAAAATACTTATGTTGCCACTCAAGTTTTATCTGAAATATATTATTGATTGAAATGAGACATTTATATTCAAATATGAGACCAGATATTCAGGAAGTTTCAAACCTTTTTGATAGTGTATATGCCCTACGCAAAATTGCCACTAATTAAGTATCTCGATCGATACCTATCGCATCGTGTACACTGTCGGGAGACACTCGCATCGTGACATCCCTCATATCCATCAGCTTCCACCCAACTACCATCAGTTCGTACAGCTTTTGTTTTGCTAAATATCTCATTATATATATAACCATTCATAACATAAAAGTTATACATTAATACAACTCCTAAAACAGCCTTACAGGCTAAGATTGAAACAAAAGTACGCCTGTATGAATTTATAATTATACAATTGTTTTTATCCTCAATACTTATAATGAGTATATATTTGAGAGGGCCTTGTCCGAATATACATTGGCAAGGCTCGAACCTGGTACAAAAGACCTACATTGAAGCATTGTCAGGGGATGGTGTCGTACCCCTGTTTATATTACTACTAAATTATGATGCCTGGCACCACATACTATTTATCTGCTCAAATGGCAAACGAACAGACTATGAATTAGAAAAACTGACATAAACTGCCGGGCAAAAGAAAGTATAAAATTAGATTTAACCGAAAAATTACAAAATTACAAAAAATAGTCGCCGAAACACTGCAAACTTTAGGTTCAAACACAGCCATGATACCCATATCAAATACAACACCACCGAAAAACCATTTATGGTTAGTTTAATTTTTAGCCACCATTAAACATGGGTGTATACTTTCTTTTGCCTGGCAGTGTATTTCATTTGCATCCGTATGATGTTTTTGACATAGTTTCTAAATGCAGCTACACTGCTTTAAAACATGCTCTTTCTCACATTTCAGCTGTGCCCAGCACATGCTCATGCCAGATTACTTATGGAAGTTCAACAGATGCTGATTGCACGTAGGTGTTACATGATAAAACAATTTTTATAGACATCAAATTTTGGAAGAGGCGAATATGGCGATAACAGATGTGTTTGTTTGTTGTTTAACGCCGCACTCAGCAATATTACAGCTTTTTGACGGCGGTCTGTAAATAATCGAGTCTGGACCAGACAATCAAGTGATTGATATCGTGAGCATCGATCCACGCATTTGGGATAAGATGACATGCATCAACCAAGTCAGCGAGCCTGACCACCCGATCCCGTTAGTTGCTAAGACCTGTTCTACTCCGGATCTTCACTGGTCAGATATGTAATATGTATAACGATGCCTTTTGTATGCTGAAACACGGTATACTGTTTGAAATGTTAGATTAATAAGTACAGTTTTCATCATTTAAGAATATTCTGGTTTGCTTTTATGGAGGCATAAACGTAAAAGCAGGTATGCACACTGTGGAAGTCCATAAACACAATCCATATTGAAGACAATACTCCAAAGCAGTCTATGTTGCTATGGTTACGCAGGAAGAAGTTTCAGCTGATTGGATGTCTACAAACGACAGCGGATGATGGATGTAGGGGGCACACCACCGTACAGACGCGAACCCTTCTAGCTACAAGTGTTGAGAATGCTGGCGCCTGTGGTACGACACTTTGTATCTTCTACTACAGTCTACTAAATAGTACATAGTATTGAGTTTTGCGTTCGTCGCTACCCGAGTCCAATTCCTACTAGATGACACCATTTCCGTTAAATGATGAGAACAAAGAATACGTAGTTTATTGAGTATATGCTGCCTCTGTGGAATCATTTTCCTTCAGTTACACAAAGTACCTAATATTTGCGATGTTCGGATGAACTCCAGGGCCCGCTTGCACAAAGCGATCTTTGCGCTGGGATGATTGTAACTCCCATACTTTAACATAGGCTTACAATAGTCGTAGCACTAAGATTGCTTTGTGCAAGTGGGCCTAGGTGGTCGAAAGCGTAAGTTGTGAAAACTCGTTTTGCAGTGCTGCTCGCGTTCGCTGTCAAGATCCGATTATTGTGGGTTCGTCCCTATTGGGGTTCTCGATTGATATGTTGTGACGAACATTGCACTAAGACTGTTTATTACTTTGGTGAAACCCACATACACGAGTATCATCATTAGCAAGAAGAATCGCGGATCCTGGAACTGTTACAGGAAACAATTCTGCTCAGTTCCCCACTCATATACAATTTAACAAATGATTTTGCCATCCTGCCATATGTGTAGAGTTACCAGAAACCTAGTCCTTTTATATATATTTAAATGTCCTGAACTACGATCATTTGGGAAGGAATGTAGTATGCATTGTGTGTCTTCTTGCAGTTAAAACCGCCGCATGCACGTGTCAAATCAATTATGCCAAGGCTGATGTGACTGGAGCCAACAAGTGCACGTAAGTTGTATTTTTAGGAATCCAGAAGATGTCGTCTTCACAGTAGACTGAGATTCACTGTATTGATTGCATGATGGGGCTCAGTCATGATTGCATGATGTAGGCCATGAGCACAGGTATGTAAGGTGAGAAGCACATTTTCAAAATGTTTCAAAATTCGTTATATCTGTGTTTTGAGAGAGGAAGTTGTGTTTAGTATTTCAGTTATATCGCGGCGTGTCAGCTTAATGTGTGAGGAAAGCTCGAAGTGATGCAGGTCTCAGGCGTTTACCACTTCGGTGAAACACACGAGCACGGGTATTGTGCTGACAAACCTAGAAACATAATCGGGGCGAACCGGGACTCGAACCCACAATCATAGGTTTCTGGCGTGCCCAAGGGACGCAACTCTGCGAATCGCGGCGCCCTTAGACGACGTGTTTTGGGTCCTATAAAATAATTTTTCCCATGTTATATACTTGTGGAAGAATACTTCACACACATCAATCTATTTCATGTTAAGTTCATGTTTAAAATATATGAAAACCTTTACAACAATATAGTTGTGTAAAATATATAGCGCGTGCTTGCCTTTTTATCACAATGGGAAGTCGTGTTGCCTCAGAGATGAATATTACCAAAAAGTAGCAGAATGTAGAATTCATCCTCCAATTCAAACTTGTCACAAACTTGTGTATGCATGTATTACATTGAAAATGACAACTTTACAAAACGTCTTCTCGTTTTCTCGGTGAGCCAAATATCTTTTTAATTCATTCAGATCATTTGGTACAAGTGGGTCACATTTACAATATTACATAGTTTGACAAAAGAGTGGGTGTTCATATGAGTAACATGGGCATGTTCGTTGTGGCTGCGTGTAAGTTGGACACAGTTAGTTTAAACTCGTAAACAACAATAGTGGCATTGTTCAGGCAACTCTTCCATTAAAATCCGAACTTCCATAACTTGTAGAAACTAAAAGTTGAGGTCTGACTGGAGAAAACTTATTTACCGCTCTAAAGAACATCGTTTACGCGCCATATTTATATTGACATATTCATTTTTTTTCATGGCAGTATGACTTGTGTGCTCACTCCTCGATAGTGTACAAATGTGCTTAACTCATTAATGATCAGGACAACGTCATAGCAAATGTACTTCATACACTGGTGATGATAAATTAGGAAACGGGTTTAATGATAACACTCTGACCATACACAATGGAATATGTTCCCTTCCAGCGAACAGAAGAAGCTTGCTGTATGTTTGGGAGCAACAACAACCGATGGCTGCAATGGAGGCAATACTCACACCCTAGCTGCCACAGCGGTGGCGGTCATCAATGGCATAGCTAGCTGTGCTCCTGGTAAGTAGTCAACAGCATATCTGTTATTTGTAAATGATATCTCAAATCACGGATGCCAATCTCCACATTCAAATCACTTTATTTCCTTGCAGCTGCCATGGAGACGTGTAAATGTGAACTGGAGTTTGCTGTTGCAGACAGGAGTAACAGCGCTGGCATGTGCAGGTGAGGGTGTGGATGTGGGTGTGGGTGTGGGTGTGGGTGTGGGTGTGGGTGTGGATGTTGGTGGGCAGTCGTGAGAATGTGGGTCGGGGATGGGCCGTGTTGTGTATGGGGTTAGGGATGGGGTTGGATGGTGGTGAGGGTGTGGCAAGGGGGTGAGCTGTGGCAAGGGGGTCGGTGATGGGATGGGCGTTTGTGAAGGTTTGACTGATGGTGTTGCTGAAGGTGTGAGTGACGGTGGTGGTGGTGTAGATAAAGTGACAGTTTGCTGTCACAATGGTCGACATGAATTAAACTAGACTACCGGGCAAAAGAAAATATACATACATCTTTGATGGTGGCTAAAATTGAACAATAAATGGTTATTTCTTTGGGGTGGGGTGTGGATGTGGGTTTTGGTAGGGATGGGTATCTGCCCAAACATTTCTTTTGTTCTTGTCTTAGCATAGGTGATAACTGCTTAGAATATTTGCTTATCATGAAACTCGAGAACTTCAGTCCACCAGCTGACTCATCGACCCAGTTCGAGTCAATATCAAACGTCATTTCCCTTTAGCGTCTATTTTAAAGTGTGTGAATTTGGCGCGGAAGTTAACAATTGAGACAAGCGCAATATAACTCAGAAAAGGGTGCCTATTTTTCTATTTTAGAATATTTTACCAAATATTTCAATTCTAAAAATACTTGTCTGAGAAAAAGTGAGATTCTCTTACGAAAGGTCAGCGGTCATTGTGTACCTGTATTTGTTTCAGTGCGGCTAAGAATCTCCTGCATTGTCTGACGTTTACCACTGATGCTGGATGTACCCAAACTAGAACTGCCGTAGCTAATGCTGCAAAGGCTGCTATCGCTGCCCTTGAAAGTGCTTCCTCGGGATCTTGTCGTATGAAACATTCCCATAACTCTTCACTTAGACAGTCATCATTGTAGTCTTAACTGCACCTCAACTACAAGCAATAAATTAAGTGGAAGATCGATGCTGACGGTGTATATCACTGGGTTTTCTGGTCCAGAATCTGTTATTTACAGACCACCGTCATATAGCCGGAATGTTGCTTAATGTGGCGTTAAACCAAAAACCAATTCAGGCGCATATGTGGCCCAGTCGCATAATGGACCTGGAATCTCTGTGCAGAGTTGCGCCCTTAGACTTGCCAGAAACCTATGATCATGGGTTCGAATCCCAGATTCGCCCATATTATGTTTCTAGGTTTGTCAGCACCATACTCGTTGATTCATCGAACTGGTCAACGTGACAAACCTGCATCACCTCGGATGTTCCTTCTGAATCCATCTGTCAGCCGAAATAATGTTCTGAACGAGCTAAAGCCAAACTCACCGATTTACTGCCATAAGCACCCGTAGACTGCGATCAAAGAATGCAATTCAGTTAATCAGGTACTCATCTAAACGTTCATCGTAGGAAGTCCCATGTGTAAAACTGAGACCGGATAATGTGTGTAAACAATTTCCGTTAGATTGAACTGGACTTGGTTTGGGTAACCGACTATCCCATTACTTGATTCATGTCATTTAGAACGTTGTCGTGTCTGGGAACTGACATTTCATGGGTATGTCAATCTGGCAGTTAAATATTTACCTGGATTATTTGTGGGTGTGTGTGTGAACTCAACATCTTATTTACAAAATGGGGGTCCCCAAAAATGTAAAAAAATGAATAGTGCAGTTGTATTGTAAAACGTGAGATTGCGTTTACTCAGAGGAAATTTAGTTGAAATAGATATGGAGTTCTTCAACTGAGGCGAATCTGCTAGCATAAGATTGTAATGCATTGGACAGTATATTGTATTTTTAAATGACCTACAGTAATTAAATTTAAGTGGTACTAAATTATGAAATAGTAACACTCATTCCTCAACAAACATACATATTTTCTGCGTTCCAGATGATGCACTATGAATTTTTATACGTATAGGATGCAGGGTTTCGTATCCGCGATTATGCCCCAAAACCTGTATGTTGAAGAAGGCGAGAAACCTTGTAACGTCAATTTCCCGAGGCAAGAATGCCCACTAGCCTATATCAAAGCCTAAACTAGACTTTGAAATGGGTGTGTGGACACTCTTGCCTCAGGAAGACGTTAGGGATTATTCATAATTACTATGGTTCAAATACAAGCACGTAGTATCATGACGACTGTGAAATGTAACAACGTCTGGAGTACCATCCGTATCTTCTTTTCAGCTTTAACATCGAGCTGTACATGTCAACAGACGTTTGTGACGGCCACCCCCTTCAGCAGCGAAAGCGAGAGATGCTTGTAAGTAACTCCTTAAACTTGTAGGAACCGTATTCCGAAAAGCCAGTGACCTCTGTTATTGTCATTGTCTTTGGTGCATCTTTGATCTCATATATTACCAGGGGACATCCCGTAGGCGTGCCAGAAACCTATGATTGTGGGTTCGAATCCTGGTTCGCCCTGATCATATTTCTAGGTTTCTCACCACAATACCCCTGCTGGTGGGTTTCACCAAAACTATAAACGACCAAGAGCTGCTTCCCTGTATGAACTGATATACTGTTCAAAGATATGTGAGTTACGATCACCTTAGCGCTAAGATCGCTCTGTACAACGGCACCCAGATAATATACTTCTTATATCACTGAAGATCGGGTTATTACAATGTGTGTTGCTGATTGCGGGTGTGGATCGTGGCTCATTTAACCCTCCATAGATTTTGAATTTAGACTTTATGTGATCTGTTTAGCCCTGTTGTAACATAGCTGTAGTCTTGCTTTAATGACGTAAACAACGATCACTCTTGTAGTCGTTTAAAGAATAATTCGGGTCAATGTTTACGTTGTCATTTAAAAAAAATAATAATACATGTATGCTTATTCTGATTGGTTGAGAAACCATTTCAAGGTGTATGGATAATTTCATTCACCAAAAATATTTGTTCTGCCTCAATTTAGAGCAAAACGAAGTAACAGACAGAGCGACCTGCATAACGTATTCAGTATACATAGTTAGTACACTGTCGTTGCAATGTTGATAACATTACATGGTTTTAGATCTGCGGGCGTTTGTGATATTTTTAATGCGCGGAATGTTTAACGTTTGAAGTTTGCTTCCGATTCGTATGATAATGATGAACTGTGTGACATTTCCCAGGGAGTACAAGACGCTGGCTGTTTGTCTGGGGAACAACAACGATGCGGCATGTGATGGTTCCACAAGCAAGAATGCCCTTGTTACGTCGGTTGAAGCTAAAGCTAAAGCAATCTCCAGCTGCAGCACAGGTATTTGTCGAGTGTCAAGTGTCCAATGTCGAGTATCGAGTGTTGAGTGTTGAGTGTCGAGTGTCGAGTGTCGATTGTCGAGTGTCAAGTGTCGAATGTCGAGTCTCAAGTGTCGATTGTCGAAAGTCGAGCGTCAAGGGCAAACTATCGATTGTCGAGTGTTGAAAGTCGAGTGTTGAATGTTGAGTGTCGAATGTCGAGTGTCGAATGTCGAGCGTCAAGTGTCCAATGTCCAATGTCCAATGTCGATTGTCGAGTGTCAAGTGTCGAGTGTCGAATGTCGAGTGTCTAGTGTCGAGTGTCATGTGTCGAATGTTGAATGTCGAGTGTCGGCTGTCGATGTCGAATGTCGAATATTGATTGTTGAATGTCGAGTGTCGAATGCCGAGTGTCGAATGTCGAGTGTCGAATGTGTGTTTAATGGAAACCAATAGTAAAAACCGGGTACCAAAATGGTGGTTGGCGGACACTAAGTATAGATGGTTGATTTGCAGGTACCATTTAGATTCCAAATTTTTGCGATACGTAATACATGCTAGTACATGCTAATTGATATCAGTTGATCCAAGTGTGTGTGTACATGTATAACCATGTGTACGGTATAAATGATATTGATGCCTATTCTCAAGGGCTCAGCGCATCTACCTGTCAGTGTGAAATCAACTACGCCAAAACTGATACCAGTGACAATCCCAAGAAGTGCAGGTATGTTTTCCCACATTCATAAAATATATCAAGTTTGTTATATAAGTATTTATGTCATACCTCATTAAAGTTATTGTACCTGAATTCTGACAATTTTGACATACATCAAACATTTATAGACACGCATGTAATAACCCGTTCACTTATGCTATCCGCTCCTTCGTGACGTTAGAGAAGATTGTTTGTCTGTGTTTGTTGGTTATCTCAGCACTGACATTATTCCACGTATATGATAGCGGTCTTTATCATATAATGGATAGGTTTCTCGGCAGGATAAAGCCAACGGATAAAAACGATATCCGTTGGGGTCATATGCGGATAGAGATGCAAATATCAAAGGTCAAGTAGGGACTACTTTCACTGTTTATAAACAAACATGGCGTCGCCCTCGTCATTCGGCGATCGAACCAGAATTAACCATCGGGAATCTGGATAAACTACAGGGATAATTGCTATCATTATCAAAAGAACAGTCTGATATACTGAAAACCAGTGTCTAACTGTGACGTAGCTAAGGCATTTTATAAGTTTTGGCAACTTTGGAGATTTAAATTCCGAAACAACTTTGCGAGGGCACGAGGCCTAGCCAAGCGGGATCAGTAGCCATATCTGTGCTTGTAGACCTCTGCGGCTTGAAACCTTCTCCACAAATAATAATAGTTGGATTTGGCCGAAATATGTTTGAATTGTTACCTTGTTTCGTTTTGTCGCTGTGTGTACATCTGACTACACTTCTTAACGTTATGACAGGACAGACCGACTGTCAGCAACGTCTGACCGTGGCCGTGACGTCTCATAGACTAGGGTTAGAGTAGCTTCCCTTTGACAAAGGGCAGTTACTCTAGCGGACAGACCGATGGATTGCCGCGAAAGGCAATTAATAACAATTGTTGTTTTGCGTATATGTTGCTTCGCCACTGTTTAAGAAACAGATTTCAGTTGGAACTATATTGCAATTGGCTACTGTTACTGTCCGACTGACACATCGCTTACCCTGTGACGTAAAAAATATTAATGCGCGCATTCCAGGAAAACTCGCAATGTTTCCGTAATGATTGTGAGAGAGGGAAAGCGATTTTGAAGCACAGAATTAAAGAATGACATTAAATGATAAAGAGGTTATCACGCTTGTGTGTTTGGGGATGGTAAATATCCTGTATTAGGAATAAACACTATGTATTTAGCTCGCCAAGGCTCGCTAAATACAATGTTTATTCCTAATGCAGGATCTTTACCATCCCCAAACACACTCGCGTGATAACCTCTTTGTAAATAATAATGATCGACCAGGCAATCCAGTGATTGACAACATGCTGATCGATCTGTCCCTGAAGGTATTGCTTCCATTTTCCATCATATTTAACATTTCAATATCATACATAGAGTGTGCATGGATTTATTGTGACATTATTGGCATGTTTGTAGCATGGATAGATCATATATCATAGTTATACAGAGTTTCTAAATAACACATGTAGAGAAGGCCAGAAGGCATGGAAACTTGCATAATTACAATTTGAATATGCAATACATTTTGTAATTTCATAATATCGAAGTATGTCTTTTTGAATTAGTAAAAAGATTTGACTTTTTTTCTATTATACGTGTGCAGCATAGATTTTGTTACTATACTTACTGCATTGAATGAATTGTTATTCTTCTCTTTAAATCCGAACAGTATGTGTTCATTACTAAAATTAACTCTGCCTTCTGTGTAGTTTCCAAGCCAACCTGAAAGTTTCGTCCATACATCAACAGCATAGTGACAATTACATAATACATGAGTAATTGTTTCAGATGATTCATTACATAATGAACAAACTGGCGATTCAACATATCCAGTTTTAAATAAATAACAGTTAGTACTCAAAATGTTGTGTATAACTTTAAACTGAAACCATCTTAATTCAGAACTTTGTGTACATCTTTTTGCCATAAGGTTAATGTTTGTACACTCTGAATCGGTATACTTTTTTTCAAGAAACTCTTCCCATTTACTGTAGCACTTATGTTTTATAAATTTAGGGTTTAATAGGGTTTCATAAAATACCTTGCTTCCCTATTTATTTTTTATTTTTGATACATTATATGGCAGTACAGGTCTTTGGAAAACTTTGGCACAATGTATTATTTTGTTATTCTGTAAATACCTGACTATTGATAGTTTTACTCCTTTGTAGGTCAAAAAGTCTGTCTTCAAACTGTATTTTTGTACAAATTCATCAAAATCATGTGTCATGAATGAAGTCATTGATATAGTCTATATCCTTTTGTATATCATGTTGCCATTGGGATGATCTGCATCAACCAAGTCAGCGAGCCTGACAACCCGGTCCCGTTCGTCGAATTAATCGAAGAAATATTGAGTATGACGGCATAATCTATTCTGACGTCACTAAAATATTGTCAACAATGCTGTATGTGTTAACGGATCAGAAATGAAAATTTTGATAAAACTTAATTGCATATGTCCACGCATGTTGAAACATGAAACTAACACACGTTAAAGGTAAATATATTCATTCTTCACCAGCGCCTACAACACAATGCTGACCTGCATGTTCAGCTCTACCGGTGCCTCTTGTATTGGAACGGCAAAGACCACGTTCGTGACGACAACCGATGATGCTGTGAAATCAGGAGCACTGAGCTGTCCAGGTATAAACAAAACGACATCATCCTACTCCACGAGGAACATCGTGTTCCTCAATCTCTAGTTTTAACTCTGTCAAATCCATAGTATGAACCTCCTCCCTTCTACCACAATTGTACGTAAGACATACACGTCATAAATGTTGATTTTGAGGTGTGAGTTTTATTGTATAAGGGGGGTAATATTTAAGCAATCGATCAAGACGGTAGCACGAACACTCTTCACAGAATTAATGATGCGTCTCTATTCTTTCCAGCTCAAACAGGAGAATGTACCTGCACTGTGGCATACGCCAAAATAGACATTGGCGCCGCCAGTAACGCTGACAAATGCAGGTAACGCTGATTCTATTACTCCAAGATATACATTAACGCCGCCGGTAACGCTGACAAATGGAGGAAACGCTGATCCGTTACTCCAAGATATACATTAGCGCCATCAATAACGCTGACAAATGCAGATAACACTGCTCCGTTACTCCAAGATATACATTAACGCCATCAATAGCGCTGACAAATGGAGGAAACGCTGATCCGTTACGAAAAGATATACATTAGCGCCGCCAATAACGCTGATGAATGCGGGTAATGCTGTTCCGTTACTCCAAGATATACATTAGCGCCATCAATAACGCTGACAAATGCAGGTAACGCTGATTCTATTACTCCAAGATATACATTAGTGTCATTAATAACGCTGACAAATGCAGGTTACGCTGATTCTATTACTCTAAGATATACATTAGTGCCATCAATAACGCTGACAAATGCAGGTTACGCTGATTCTATTACTCTAAGATATACATTAACGCCATCAATAACGCTGACAAATGGAGGTAACGCTGCTCCGTAACTCCAAGATATGCATTAGCGCCATCAATAACGCTGACAAATGCAGGTTACGCTGATTCTATTACTCCAAGATATACATTAGTGTCATTAATAACGCTGACAAATGCAGGTTACGCTGATTCTATTACTCTAAGATATACATTAGCGCCATCAATAACGCTGACAAATGCAGGTAACGCTGCTCAGTAACTCCAAGATATGCATTAGCGCCGCCAGTAACGCTGACAAATGCAGGTAACGCTGCTCAGTAACTCCAAGACATGCATTAGCGCCGCCAGTAACGCTGACAAATGGAGGTCACGCTGCTCCGTAACTCCAAGACATGCATTAGCGCCGACAGTTACGCTGACAAATGGAGATAACGCTGCTCCGTAACTCCAAGACATGCATTAGCGCCGCCAGTAACGCTGACAAATGCAGGTAACGCTGCTCCGTAACTCCAAGATATGCATTAGCGCCGCCAATAACGCTGACAAATGGAGGTAACGCTGCTCCGTAACTCCAAGATATGCATTAGCGCCATCAATAACGCTGACAAATGGAGGTAACGCTGATTCTATTACTCTAAGATATACCTTAGCGCCATCAATAACGCTGACAAATGCAGGTAACGCTGATTCTATTACTCTAAGATATACCTTAGCGCCATCAATAACGCTGACAAATGCAGGTAACGCTGCTCCGTAACTCAAAGATATACATTAGCGCCATCAATAACGCTGACAAATGCAGGTAACACTGCTCTGTTACTCCAAGATATACATTAACGCCATCAATAACGCTGACAAATGGAGGAAACGCTGATCCGTTACGACAAGATATACATTAGCGCTATGAGTAACGTTGCCAAATGCAGGTAACGGTGATTCTGTTAACCCCAACAACACAGATCAAGCCATTTGTTCATTTGTCCAGTGCTGCGCAAGACCTCCTGGGATGTATTATTGGAAAGACGGGTACTGGTTGTGACGGAACGCAGGCAGCTGCAACCATCCTGGCCACAGCTGAGAACGGCATTGCACAAACCGTTGCAGCTGGACACAGCTGCGGTAAGTACGATGTTGAAATGTGTTTGTTGTTTTTGTGTTTGTTTTACGCGGCACTCTGCAATATCCCAGCATTGTGACGGAGGCATGTAAATATTCGACCAGAGAAAACCAGTGATTGATATTATGAGCAGCATAATGCAACATGCTAATCAAGTCACCGAGCCTGACCACCTCGTCCATTAAGTCGCCTCTTATAATCAGCATATAAATTGATGAGACTAGGAATGAAATGTGAGATCCCATTGAATAATGCCGCATTTAACGCATAAATTTGTTTCATTTTCTGTTTATTTGAAAAAATCCGAACGCGCTAGTCGTTTCGCTACACAAATATCAGCGGGAACGTATGTTGTTAATGTTATTGACTTGTAATATGTCCTATACATCTTAACTAGTCGGTATCTTGCTAACAATATTCAAAACTGTTCACAGTAATAACACGTCGTCAATTTCCTGTTCTGTTTCTTTCACTAGATTGTTTTTAAAAACCTTGACGTAGCGTTACAAGAGATGCCGAACAGTCGCGCCCTATTGTCCGTGGAAGATAGCACTTTGTTTTGGTATATATTTGAAGGGTTCACGTGAACGGTATTTTGTAAATTTCAATTTTCAGAATTGATCATGCGATGCATATTTGTCTGTCCTGTTATAGGCATTAATGCAGACCACAAACACTTTGTTTTGGGGGCACGTCTTTTAACAGCTGGCTAGAGTGTGGGAGAAATAAGCTGTCAGTTTTACTGACGCTAACTCCACGATATGTAACATTTGGGACCTTGGTCTCAGTCAATCAACCCTTTCACAATGGACATAGTTCGATAGATAAAATGAAGAAAAAAGCTTCTTTGATAAACATCAAACTAGTCCAAGGGGTGTGACTCAAATGAATAGGATCACCAGTGGTTCAGTGGTCTGAGGCGTCGTATTTGCGTCTCTTAGTCGTGTCAGAAACCTATGATTCTAGGTTCGAATTCCAAATTCACCATGATAATGTTTCTATACTGAACAACGAAAGTTCCTGTGACATTGAATAAGATTAAATGCAAAGTTATGTTTTTTACTAAATCTGAAACAATTTCGGTTTGCAACAGATAAAAGACTCCTGTGAGTGTTCAAATGGTTTAATTTGCCATACTGACTTCAGAATATGCGTGATTTCATTAAAAAAAAAACCATGAACATGCCAAAATGTCAATTTACAAATCAATAGCGTGTGTGTCCACCTCTGGTTGCGATGCAAGCAACACAGTCATCTTCGTCTCATGGAATGGAACAGGCGTCGCCCAAAGTCCTGTGGGATACCTGTCCATATCTGCTGGAGCAGATAAGTTCCTGGAGTGTCTGTGGTTGACACCTGGTTGACGTCGAAGGCGCCGATCAAACTCATCCCACATGAGCTCGATTGGTGAGAGATCAGGGGAGCGAACCGGCCAGTGGATGACATTTACGTTGTTTTGTTGAAGGGGATCCTGAACAAGTCGAGCAATATGAGGCCGGGCGTTGTCATGTTGAAAGGTAATGGCTGGGCCATGACGACGCAAAAACGGTAGAACAACAGGGACGATGATCTCGTCGCGGTAGCGCTGTCCATTGAGATTTCCCTATACCACTACCAAACGGGTCCTCTGTCTTGTTGTAATCCCACCCGATACCATAACGCTGCCGCCCCAGAACCGATCTTCTTCCATGACACAATGATTGAAGTAACGTTCACCTCGACGTCGGTACAGTCGAATCCGTCCATCGCTGTGGCTGAGGTGAAAACGAGACTCGTCAGTGAATAGAACTTGTACCTACTGCATGGCCGTCCAGCGTAGACACTGTCTGCACCACTGTAGACGTGCTTGACGGTGGTTTCCTGTCAAAATGGGACGTCTGGCGGGTCTTCTGGTGACAATCCCTGCACATCTGAGGCGGCGACGTACGGTTTGTGAATATATTCGTCGAAAGCCAGGGATGCTTCTTGCAGTCACTGATGCTGGCTGGAATCAATTCGTAGGTGTGTTGTTCGAATCCAGTTGTCTTGTCGATTATTGGTTACGCGTGGCCTGCCACTCCGAGGATGGTCTCTGACTGCATTCGTCTGTAGCCAACGTTGCCATAAACACCAAATGGTGTTTCTGTGGACGTTAAATTGTCTTGCAACATCACGTTGACTCGGTCCTGCTTCAAGCATACCAATGGCTCGCAGACGCTCATTTTCGGACAGGCGTGGCATTTCGTAATGTTGAATAATTGCGTAATTTTGTTGTTTTTCTGAGTGGTTGTTGTCAGCACGATGCAAAACAATGCATATGGAATCCGCCCATTCTTGGGTCGTGAAATGCATGGGGCTTGCATAAAAGTCAACTTTTGCATGGAATGTATGCTTTTCTGTAGCAGTTGCGTTTTTGTGACTTGATTCCATACATGTACTACAATATTGAAAACCAAACTTTACTTGTTTGAATAATACACTAAAATATTGGTGTCACAGGAAATTTTGTTGTTGAGTATATATATCTTCAGCACCATACCATTGTTCCTAGGTTTCACCACATCAAGCTGACATATCGCGATGTAACTGAAATACTGTTCAAAGCGGCTTTGATACAAACTCAACCCCACACAACTGAAAAGTTTCAAATCGTTGGAGACAAGTTAACTGAAGTGATGTATTTACGTTTCCAGCGCTGAGCGAGAGTTGCAAGTGTGAAGTGACATTCGGCAAAGCTGACACAACGAATGATGCTGCTAAGTGCTCGTAAGTTATATTAGTTGTCATGGTATTTCATACTTGGATCACTAATCCGTTCCAAGGTTGTCCAGCCATTGAGTAACGGAAACAACCAATACTACCAACAATTAAATCATTGTCCGAGCATTGTCCAGCCATTGAGTAACGGAAACAACAAATATCACCCACAATTAAATCATCGTCCCAGCGTTGTCCAGCCATTGAGTAGCGGAAACAACCAATACTGGCCACAATTAAATCATCGTCCCAGCGTTGTCCAGCCATTGAGTAACGGAAACAACCAATACTAGCCACAATTAAATCATCGTCCCAGCGTTGTCAAGCCATTGAGTAACGGAAACAATTAATACTGGTCACAATTAAATCATTATCCCAGCGTTGTCTAGCCATTGAGTAACGGAAACAACCAATACTGGTCACAATTAAATCATCGTTCCAGCGTTGTCCAGCCATTGAGTAACGGAAACAACCAATATCACCCACAATTAAATCATCGTCCCAGCGTTGTCCAGCCATTGAGTAGCGGAAACAACCATATTGGCCACAATTAAATCATTGTCCCAGCGTTGTCTAGCCATTGAGTAATGGAGACAACCAATACTGGTCACAATTAAATCATCGTCCCAGCGTTGTCTAGAAATTGAGTAACGGAAACAACCAATACTACCCACAATTAAATCATCGTCCCAGCGTTGTCCAGCCATTGAGTAGCGGAAACAACCATATTGGCCACAATTAAATCATTGTCCCAGCGTTGTCTAGCCATTGAGTAATGGAGACAACCAATACTGGCCACAATTAAATCATCGTCCAAGCGTTGTCAAGCCATTGAGGAACGGAAACAATCAATGCTGGCCACAATTAAATCATCGTCCCGGCGTTGTCCAGCCATTGAGTAACGGAAACAACCAATACTACCCACAATCAAATCATCGTCCAAGCGTTGTCCAGCCATTGAGTAATGGTTCTAATAGTCACACATTTGTAAATATGTAGAAACATATATAACAAACAAGATCATTACATATTTCGTTAGGGGCACGGGTGGCCCAGTTGTCTAAGGCGCCGCAATTCTCTGTGCAGATTTGCGTCCCTCGGGCATGCCAGAAACCTATGAGTGTGGTTCGAATCCCGGTTCGCCCCGATTATGTTTCTAGGTTTGTCAGCACCATGCCCGTGCTCGTGGGTTTCACCGAAGTGGTAAACGTCTGAGACCTGCATCACTTCGGGCTTTCCTCACACATTAAGCTGACACGGCGTGATATAACTGTAAAACTGTTAAAAGCGGCGTTAAATCAAACTTACTCACTCATATTCCGTTAATTTCAAGATTAACTTATTTTCTCCTTAAACAGTGCGAACAAGGACAAGTTGAGTTGTTTGGCAGTCAGTTTTGACGATGCTTGTGATGGTACAACAACAAGGGACTCTGTAGCAGTTACAACCAATGCAGCTCTTGGAACATGCGGAAGTAAGAAATGTTTTGTTTGCTTGTTGTTTAACGCCGTTCCCAGCAATATCCCAGCTACATACCCCAGACGGCAGTTTGTAAATAACCGTGTCTGGTCAAGACAATCCAGTGACTGACATCGTGTACAACCAAGTCAGCGAATCTGACTACCTGATTCATTAGTCTTCTCTAACGTGAATGAGTGAGTGAGGTTAGCAATATTCCAACAATATCACGGCGGGGGTCACCACAGATGGGCTTCATTCGACAAGCATTGGTTGCTGAAGACCAATTCTAACCCGGATCTTTATGGGTAAAAGAAAAAACATAAGAATGCTAATTGAGTGTCTGATGTGAAGACATGTTGTAATAGCTGGAATATTGCTGAGTGCAGCGTTAAACAACAAACAAACAAACAAACATCTCATCTCTCCTTTAATTTGTGATTGTCGTAAGAGCCAACATTATGGATACAACTAAAACGGGGGCTTCGTAATGACACAAACATGAGGCCAAACCGACTTTGTGTGTCTGCTTGCCCATAGACATGGGTCAGTGTTCATACTATTGACCACTGGTTGGATCCCAGGTCCTTTTCATGTGGTGGCATATCTTCCCAGGCGTACTGCACGTTACGGTTTGGTTGACATATTACGGCTACTTTTCATTGCTTTCAGGTTTAAACACAATCTGCACTTGTGAGAAAAACTATGCTGTTGAAGCTTTTACTGACGACACAGTGCATTGCAAGTAAGTTTAAGAATTTAATGTGTATTGTTTGGGGGTTGTCATATCGGTCTGTCTTGTCCGGAAACAGCTCCCGTAGTGTTGTGGATATAGCTTTAAGAAATAGCATCATTCATAATTTGACAGTTTTGGAAACAATGACCAAATATATATACTATGCTAGAAAAGTAGGGGATATTTTGTCTTGAGGTGAAGCTACAGAAGAATACACATAATGTCTGGCAATGAAAGTAAGTGGTTTATATTATGTGACAAGAAAGTTTCCCAAGAAATTAAGCTCCCAAACACAGCATTGTGGCAGCAATGAAGCACGTGCAAGGGGCGGTATGCCAGATTTATCATTGTCACTCAGACTCGGTGGTCAGCAGACACATTGTTTTCGTAGGTGAACCTCTACGGGCCATAGGCATATTGCGAGTAGGGCACATTTCGGTGGCTTGGTTGGCTACTTACATCAAAACAAAGAGTTCATCTGAGCATTGTTAAGAATATGTTGCAATTGTACAAGAATGCGAAGCTGTACAAAAAGATTTTGTATTGAGACTTGGATTTTGTATTGGGCCTTGGGTCAATATATCACTGTGTGATGAAATGGCTGAAATGGCTGAAATGCCGATGCGACGTTAAATTTTAACTCACACAATGTGTGCGTGCGTGCGTGCGTGCGTTTACAACCGACTCGTTGGATATATTGGTCAACTATGTTGTCTCTGTGTGCGTGCGTGCGTGCGTGCGTGCGTGCGTGCGTGCGTGTGCATGTTTGTGTGTAAATTTGACTCGTTATGTTGTATGTGTGTGTGCATGTGTGTGCGCGCGCACACGTGTGCGTTTACAACAGACTCGTTGGATACATGGGTCAATTGTGTTGTTTGTGCGTGCGTTTGCGTGTGTGTTTGTGTGTAAATTTGACTCGTTATGTTGTATGTGTGTGTGTTTGTGTGTGTGATTGTGTGCGCGTGCGGATAACAATGATACAATGCAATTTCCCTACTCAAGTAACGAACCTGTGAATATTCCGGTTAGAATTAGCAACCCAAGCTTCCCGTTAGAGATGACTTACGGGATCGGGTGGTCAGGCGGGGTTGATGCATGTCATCGCATCCCAATTGCGTAGGCAGATGTCAATCACTGACTCCATTGCCTCAGTCATTTATTGACCGCCGTCAATAGGTAGTCGTGTTATTGTTTCTTTCCATGTTTTAGTAAACTAAAGACTGCTGCAGACTGCTTGGAAGGTTTGTCCGGAGGAGGGTGTGGCACCACTGCCACTGCAGGCACATTTGCTACAAGTGTTCTCGCGAAGATAAACGCTATATCATCATGCGGTGAGTATCCGTTCCCTTCGGAAGCCTTAAGGGCCATTTGTTTTTATTATTTTTTCTTGAAATTTCAAGATACCGTTGAAATTTCGTGATGCTATGCTGAAATTTCAAGATATATACAAGATAGTTTCTTGAAATTTCAAGATAATAATTTGAAATTTTATGATTATAACTTGAAATTTCAAGATGCTTTGTTGAAATTTCAAGATGTTATGTTACAATTTCAAGCTGCTAAGTTAATATTTATACCAAGTTGAAATTTCAAGATATTAACTTGAAATTTCAACGAATGTATCTTGAAATTTCAACATAGCATCTTGAAAGTTCCACTTACTATCTTTAGATTTTAGGAAAAAAGTAAATAAAACAAATTGCCCTAAAAGGCTTCCGTAGTTCCCAATCACACTCAATGTTTTGATTCGTGGATAACGGAAAATCGGTAGTTCGATCCCCGGGCCACGTCACACCAAGATAGCGTAAAAGATTTACCTTGTTGTTACCCTGCGCTCGGCTGAAAGCGATGAAACAAGGACTAGACGGCTCCGAGTATAATAAACGTGAGTGCGGTGCCCATGTTAAACTGTGGCATGTATCTCAGAGGACTATCACTAGCACCTGTGCTAAGTACAAAGTGAATGCACGTCGCTATGTACGTTCTTGAACGCGCCGTTAAACCCAATTTAATATGTGGCCCTCTATTCAATGTTGGTCATGGGAGTACAAGGTTGTTTCTACGCCCATACATGACCATACAGTTGTCTATATTCCGCTGGAATTTTGGGTAACAATATAGGTCCTCCGCAACCTATGCTAAGGAGCAACCAAATGGATTGGGTGGTCACACTCGCTGACTTGCTTGATAGCATAGCATCGTACCCCGAATACGTGGATCGGTGTCACAATATCAATCACTGGATTGTCTGGTCCAGACTGTCCTATAGCTGGAATCGTGCTGGGTTCGGAGTTAAACAACAAGAAGCAACTAATATTCATATCTGCCTTCAATTTCAGTACTTTCCGACACATGTACGTGCCAAATAGGTTTCATCGCCGCTGATGTCAGCACGCCTGCTTTGAAATGCACGTGAGTAAAAATGCCTTGTTTTCTTATTGCATTTTGAAATCATATCCGAGGCAGCTTCATTCGCAGACACGACAAGTCGGCATACATAACTTGCTAAAGAGGTCAAACAAATTGGTTGCATATAACGAAAGTAATTGTTCCAGTGCATCTTTGCCTCTAAGCAGACTGGATTCCCGACATGGGTACAATGTGTGAAGCCCATTTCTGGTGTCCCCCGCCGTGATATTGCTGGAATACTGCCAAAAGCGGCGTTAAACCATACTCACTCACTCACTCTAAGCAGACTGAACAGCTTTCGATGATGCCGTTTGTTGCTTCAATGACTGTAATGAAATCAGTGAATGATTTGGTGAAATTAAACATTACGCTTGCAAAGCTTATCGTTTCATAGTTTTCTAGTTCTCCTGACATCAGTTCTGTCAATATTTAATCTACAAATAAGACATTTGTAACAATGTTCATTCAAATACAACGCCACCACCGGAGAATAAAGGCTCGATTATACGCCGAAACATTGGGCATAAAGGGAAATTAGTGGTGAAAATTGTATGAATGGATCACTGAAAATCAGTGATGACAGCAGGTGTTCGCGAAAAGGGTTTACAATCATGTCCTACCATCCTTCCAAAAATTCGAATGCATAGTGCACAGTCCTTGCCATCTGCCCCACGTCATTGGACGTTGATCATATTGTTTCAGGGCTCTTGAGAAGGAGGCAGGATGTGTGTACGAGGCTACTGGTGCCTCTTGTGTCGCAACCGTCCCTAAAACAACCACGTTGGCATCTGTTGGGTCATCCATCACCACAGCCTCTTGCAGTGAGTATACATATATAACGATGTTTTTCCAAACTTAGTACCAATAGGTGCCCTTTTCAACATGGTTACAATTACTTACAAAACCATGCCATAATGATGATACATTTCACGATTCCATTGAATTTAATAAATAGAAAATACCTATGTTGCCACTCAAGTTTTATCTGAAATATATTACTGATTGAAATGAGACATTTATATGCAAATATGAGACCAGATATTCAGGAAGTTTCAAACCTTTTTGATAGTGTATATGCCCTACGCAAAATTGCCACTGATAAAGTATCTCGATCGATACTTATCGCATCGTGTACACTGTCGGGAGAAAGTCGCATCGTGACATCCCTCATATCCATCAGCTTCCAACCCAACTACCATCAGTTCGTACAGCTTTTGTTTTGCCAAATATCTCATTATATATATATAACCATTCATAACATGAAAGTTATACATTAATACAACTCGTAAAAAACAGCCTTACAGGCTAAGATTGAAACAAAAGTACGCCTGTATGAATTTATAATTATACAATTGTTTTTATCCTCAATACTTATAATGAGTATATATTTGAGAGGGCCTTGTCCGAATATACATTGGCAAGGCTCGAACCTGGTACAAAAGACCTACATTGAAGCATTGTCAGGGGGGGGGGGGGGGGGGGGGGGGGGTCGTACCCCTGTTTATATTACTACTAAATTATGATGCCTGGCACCACATACTATTTATCTGCTCAAATGGCAAACGAACAGACTATGAATTAGAAAAACTGACATAAACTGCCGGGCAAAAGAAAGTATAACATTAGATTTAACCGAAAAATTACAAAATTACAAAAAATAGTCGCCGAAACACTGCAAACTTTAGGTTCAAACACAGCCATGATACCCATATCAAATACAACATCATCGAAAAACCATTTATGGTTAGTTTAATTTTTAGCCACCATTAAACATGGGTGTATACTTTCTTTTGCCCGGCAGTGTATTTTATTTGCATCCGTATGATGTTTTTGACATAGTTGCAGCTACACTGCTCCAAAACATGTTCTTTCTCACATTTCAGCTGTGCCCAGCACATGCACATGTCAGATTACTTATGGAAGTTCAACAGATCCTGATTGCACGTAGGTGTTACATGATAAAACAATTTTTATATACATCAAATTTTGGAAGAGGCGAATATTGCGATAACAGATGTGTTTGTTTGTTGTTTAACGCCGCACTCAGCAATATTACAGCTATTTGACGGCGGTCTGTAAATAATCGAGTCTGGACCAGACCATCAAGTGATTGATATCATGAGCATCGATCCACGCATTTGGGATACGATGACATGCATCAACCAAGTCAGCGAGCCTGACCACCCGATCCCGTAAGTTGCTAAGACCTGTTCTACTCCGGATCTTCACTGGTCAGATATGTAATATGTATAACGATGCCTTTTGTATGCTGAAACACGGTATACTGTTTGAAATGTTAGATTAATAAGTACAGTTTTCATCATTTAAGAATATTCTGGTTTGCTTTTATGGAGGCATAAACGTAAAAGCAGGTATGCACACTGTGGAAGTCCATAAACACAATCCATATTGAAGACAATACTCCAAAGCAGTCTATGTTGCTATGGTTACGCAGGAAGAAGTTTCAGCTGATTGGATGTCTACAAACGACAGCGGATGATGGATGTAGGGGGCACACCACCGTACAGACGCGAACCCTTCTGGCTACAAGTGTTGAGAATGCTGGCGCCTGTGGTACGACACTTTGTATCTTCTACTACAGTCTACTAAATAGTACAAAGTATAGAGTTTTGCGTTCGTCGCTACCCGAGTCCAATTCCTACTAGATGACACCATTTCCGTTAAATGATGAGAACAAAGAATACGTAGTTTATTGAGTATATGCTGTGTTTGTCGAATCATTTTCCTTCAGTTACACAAAGTACCTAATATTTGCGATGTTCGGATGAACTCCAGGTGGCCGAAAGCGTAAGTTGTGAAAACTCGTTTTGCAGTGCTGCTCACGTTCGCTGTCAAGATCCGATTATTGTGGGTTCGTCCCTATTGGGGTTCACGATTGATATGTTGTGACGAACATTGCACTAAGAGTGTCTATTACTTTGGTGAAACCCACATGCACGTGTATCATCATTAGCAAGAAGAATCGCGGATCCTGGAACTGTTACAGGAAACAATTCTGCTCAGTTCCCCACTCATATACAATTTAAGAAATGATTTTGCCATCCTGCCATATGTGTAGAGTTACCAGAAACCTAGTGCTTTTATATATATTAAAATGTCCTGAACTACGATCATTTGGGAAGGAATGTAGTATGCATTGTGTGTCTTCTTGCAGTTAAAACCGACGCATGCACGTGTCAAATCAATTATGCCAAGGCTGATGTGACTGGAGCCAACAAGTGCACGTAAGTTGTATTTTTTAGGAATCCAGAAGATGTCGTCTACACAGTAGACTGAGATGCACTGTATTGATTGCATGATGGGGCTCAGTCATGATTGCATGATGTAGGCCATGAACACAGGTGTGTAAGGTGAGAAGCACATTTTCAAAATGTTTCAAAATTCGTTATATCTGTGTTTTGAGAGAGGAAGTTGTGTTTAGTATTTCAGTTATATCGCGGCGTGTCAGCTTAATGTGTGAGGAAAGCTCGAAGTGATGCAGGTCTCAGGCGTTTACCACTTCGGTGAAACACACGAGCACGGGTATTGTGCTGACAAACCTAGAAACATAATCGGGGCGAACCGGGACTCGAACCCACAATCATAGGTTTCTGGCGTGCCCAAGGGACGCAACTCTGCGAATCGCGGCGCCTTAGACGACGTGTTTTGGGTCCTATAAAATAATTTTTCCCATGTTATATACTTGTGGAAGAATACTTCACACACATCAATCTATTTCATGTTAAGGTCATGTTTAAAATATATGAAAACCTTTATAACAATATAGTTGTGTAAAATATATAGCGCGTGCTTGCCTTTTTATCACAATGGGAAGTCGTGTTGCCTCAGAGATGAATATTACCAAAAAGTAGCAGAATGTAGAATTCATCCTCCAATTCAAACTTGTCACAAACTTGTGTATGCATGTATTACATTGAAAATGACAACTTTACAAAACGTCTTCTCGTTTTCTCGGTGAGCCAAATATCTTTTTAATTCATTCAGATCATTTGGTACAAGTGGGTCACATTTACAATATTACATAGTTTGACAAAAGAGTGGGTGTTCATATGAGTAACATGGGCATGTTCGTTGTGGCTGCGTGTATGTTGGACACAGTTAGTTTAAACTCGTAAACAACAATAGTGGCATTGTTCAGGCAACTCTTCCATTAAAATCCGAACTTCCATAACTTGTAGAAACTAAAAGTTGAGTTCTGACTGGAGAAAACTTATTTACCGCTCTAAAGAACATCGTTTACGCGCCATATTTATATTGACATATTCATTTTTTTTCATGGCAGTATGACTTGTGTGCTCACTCCTCGATAGTGTACAAATGTGCTTAACTCATTAATGATCAGGACAACGTCATAGCAAATGTACTTCATACACTGGTGATGATAAATTAGGAAACGGGTTTAATGATAACACTCTGACCATACACAATGGAATATGTTCCCTTCCAGCGAACAGAAGAAGCTTGCTGTATGTTTGGGAGCAACAACAACCGATGGCTGCAATGGAGGCAATGCTCACACCCTAGCTGCCACAGCGGTGGCGGTCATCAATGGCATAGCTAGCTGTGCTCCTGGTAAGTAGTCAATAGCATATCTGTTATTTGTAAATGATATCTCAAATCACGGATGCCAATCTCCACATTCAAATCACTTTATTTCCTTGCAGCTGCCATGGAGACGTGTAAATGTGAACTGGAGTTTGCTGTTGCAGACAGGAGTAACAGCGCTGGCATGTGCAGGTGAGGGTGTGGATGTGGGTGTGGGTGTGGGTGTGGGTGTGGGTGTGGGTGTGGGTGTGGGTGTGGATGTTGGTGGGCAGTCGTGAGAATGTGGGTCGGGGATGGGCCGTGTTGTGTATGGGGTTAGGGATGGGGTTGGATGGTGGTGAGGGTGTGGCAAGGGGGTGAGCTGTGGCAAGGGGGTCGGTGATGGGATGGGCGTTTGTGAAGGTTTGACTGATGGTGTTGCTGAAGGTGTGAGTGACGGTGGTGGTGGTGTACATAAAGTGACAGTTTGCTGTCACAATGGTCGACATGAATTAAACTAGACTACCGGGCAAAAGAAAATATACATACATCTTTGATGGTGGCTAAAATTGAACAATAAATGGTTATTTCTTTGGGGTGGGGTGTGGATGTGGGTTTTGGTAGGGATGGGTATCTGCCCAAACATTTCTTTTGTTCTTGTCTTAGCATAGGTGATAACTGCTTAGAATATTTGCTTATCATGAAACTCGAGAACTTCAGTCCACCAGCTGACTCATCGACCCAGTTCGAGTCAATATCAAACGTCATTTCCCTTTAGCGTCTATTTTAAAGTGTGTGAATTTGGCGCGGAAGTTAACAATTGAGACAAGCGCAATATAACTCAGAAAAAGGTGCCTATTTTTCTATTTTAGAATATTTTACCAAATATTTCAATTCTAAAAATACTTGTCTGAGAAAAAGTGAGATTCTCTTACGAAAGGTCAGCGGTCATTGTGTACCTGTATTTGTTTCAGTGCGGCTAAGAATCTCCTGCATTGTCTGACGTTTACCACTGATGCTGGATGTACCCAAACTAGAACTGCCGTAGCTGATGCTGCAAAGGCTGCTATCGCTGCCCTTGAAAGTGCTTCCTCAGGATCTTGTCGTATGAAACATTCCCATAACTCTTCACTTAGACAGTCATCATTGTAGTCTTAACTGCACCTCAACTACAAGCAATAAATTCAGTGGAAGATCGATGCTGACGGTGTATATCACTGGGTTTTCTGGTCCAGAATCTGTTATTTACAGACCACCGTCATATAGCCGGAATATTGCTTAATGTGGCGTTAAACAAAAAACCAATTCAGGCGCATATGTGGCCCAGTCGTATAATGGACCTGGAATCTCTGTGCAGAGTTGCGCCCTTAGACTTACCAGAAACCTATGATCATGGGTTCGAATCCCAGATTCGCCCATATTATGTTTCTAGGTTTGTCAGCACCATACTCGTTGATTCATCGAACTGGTCAACGTGACAAACCTGCATCACCTCGGATGTTCCTTCTGAATCCATCTGTCAGCCGAAATAATGTTCTGAACGAGCTAAAGCCAAACTCACCGATTTACTGCCATAAGCACCCGTAGACTGCGATCAAAGAATGCAATTCAGTTAATCAGGTACTCATCTAAACGTCCATCGTAGGAAGTCCCATGTGTAAAACTGAGACCGGATAATGTGTGTAAACAATTTCCGTTTGATTGAACTGGACTTGGTTTGGGTAACCGACTATCCCATTACTTGATTCATGTCATTTAGAACGTTGTTGTGTCTGGGAACTGACATTTCATGGGTATGTCAATCTGGCAGTTAAATATTTACCTGGATTATTTGTGGGTGTGTGTGGGAACTCAACATCTTTTTTACAAAATGGGGGTCCCCAAAAATGTAAAAAAATGAATAGTGCAGTTGTATTGTAAAACGTGAGATTGCGTTTACTCAGAGGAAATTTAGTTGAAATAGATATGGAGTTCTTCAACTGAAGCGAATCTGCTAGCATAAGATTGTAATGCATTGGACAGTATATTGTATTTTTAAATGACCTACAGTAATTAAATTTAAGTGGTACTAAATTATGAAATTCCTCAACAAACATACACATTTTCTGCGTTCCAGATGATGCACTATGAATTTTTATACGTATAGGATGCAGGGTTTCGTATCCGCGATTATGCCCCAAAACCTGTATGTTGAAGAAGGCGAGAAACCTTGTAACGTCAATTTCCCGAGGCAAGAATGCCCACTAGCCTATATCAAAGCCTAAACTAGACTTTGAAATGGGTGTGTGGACACTCTTGCCTCAGGAAGACGTTAGGGATTATTCATAATTACTATGGTTCAAATACAAGCACGTAGTATCATGACGACTGTGAAATGTAACAACGTCTGGAGTACCATCCGTATCTTCTTTTCAGCTTTAACATCGAGCTGTACATGTCAACAGACGTTTGTGACGGCCACCCCCTTCAGCATCGAAAGCGAGAGATGCTTGTAAGTAACTCCTTAAACTTGTAGGAACCGTATTCCGAAAAGCCAGTGACCTCTGTTATTGTTATTGTCTTTGGTGCATATTTGATCTCATATGGTACCAGGGGTACAGGGGACATCCCGTAGGCGTGCCAGAAACCTATGATTGTGGGTTCGAATCCTAATTCGGCCTGATCATATTTCTAGGTTTCTCACCACAATACCCCTGCTGGTAGGTTTCACCAAAACTATAAACGTCCAAGAGCTGCTTCCCTGTATGAACTTATATACTGTTCAAAGATATGTGAGTTACGATCACCTTGGCGCGAAGATCGCTCTGTACAACGGCACCCAGATAATATACTCCTTATATCACTGAGTTTAATGAAGATCGGGTTATTACAATGTGTGTTGCTGATTGCGGATGTGGATCGTGGCTCATTTAACCCTCCATAGATTTTGAATTTAGACTTTATGTGATCTGTTTAGCCCTGTTGTAACATAGCTGTAGTTTTGCTTTAATGACGTAAACAACGATCACTCCTGTAGTCGTTTAAAGAATAATTCGGGTCAATGTTTACGTTGTCATTTAAAAAAAATAATAATACATGTATGCTTATTCTGATTGGTTGAGAAACCATTTCAAGGTGTATGGATAATTTCATTCACCAAAAATATTTGTTCTGCCTCAATTTAGAGCAAAACGAAGTAACAGACAGAGCGACCTGCATAACGTATTCAGTATACATAGTTAGTACACTGTCGTTGCAATGTTGATAACATTACATGGTTTTAGATTTGCGGGCGTTTGTGATAATTTTAATGCGCTGAATGTTTAACGTTTGAAGTTTGCTTCCGATTCGTATGATAATGATGAACTGTGTGACATTTCCCAGGGAGTACAAGACGCTGGCTGTTTGTCTGGGGAACAACAACGATGCGGCATGTGATGGTTCCACAAGCAAGAATGCCCTTGTGACGTCGGTTGAAGCTAAAGCTAAAGCAATCTCCAGCTGCAGCACAGGTATTTGTCGAGTGTCAAGTGTCCAATGTCGAGTATCGAGTGTTGAGTGTTGAGTGTCGAGTGTCGATTGTCGAGTGTCAAGTCTCGAATGTCGAGTGTCAAGTGTCGATTGTCGAAAGTCGAGCGCCAAGGGCAAACTATCGATTATCGAGTGTTGAAAGTCGAGTGTTGAATGTTGAGTGTCGAATGTCGAGTGTTGAATGTCGAGCGTCAAGTGTCCAATGTCCAATGTCGATTGTCGAGTGTCAAGTGTCGAGTGTCGAATGTCGAGTGTCTAGTGTCGAGTGTCATGTGTCGAATGTTGAATGTCGAGTGTCGGCTGTCGATGTCGAATGTCGAATATTGATTGTTGAATGTCGAGTGTCGAATGCCGAGTGTCGAATGTCGAGTGTCGAATGTGTGTTTAATGGAAACCAATAGTAAAAACCGGGTACCAAAATGGTCGTTGGCGGACACTAAGTATAGATGGTTGATTTGCAGGTACCATTTATATTCCAAATTTTTGCGATGCGTAATACATGCTAGTACATGCTAATTGATATCAGTTGATCCAAGTGTGTGTGTACATGTACAACCATGTGTACGGTATAAATGATATTGATGCCTATTCTCTAGGGCTCAGCGCATCTACCTGTCAGTGTGAAATCAACTACGCCAAAACTGATACCAGTGACAATCCCAAGAAGTGCAGGTATGTTTTCCCACATTCATAAAATATATCAAGTTTGTTATATAAGTATTTATGTCATACCTCATTAAAGTTATTGTACCTGAATTCTGACAATTTTGACATACATCAAACATTTATAGACACGCATGTAATAACCCCTTCACTTATGCTATCCGCTCCTTCGTGACGTTAGAGAAGATTTTTAGTCTGTGTTTGTTGTTTATCTCAGCACTGACATTATTCCACGTATATGATAGCGGTCTTTATCATATAATGGATAGGTTTCTCGGCAGGATAAAGCCAACGGATAAAAACGATATCCGTTGGGGTCATATGCGGATAGAGATGCAAATATCAAAGGTCAAGTAGGGACTACTTTCACTGTTTATAAACAAACATGGCGTCGCCCTCGTCATTCGGCGATCGAACCAGAATTAACCATCGGGAATCTGGATAAACTACAGGGATAATTGCTATCATTATCAAAAGAACAGTCTAATATACTGAGAACCAGTGTCTAACTGTGACGTAGCTAAGGCATTTTATAAGTTTTGGCAACTTTGGAGATTTAAATTCCGAAACAATTTTGCGAGGGCACTTGGCCTAGCCAAGCGGGATCAGTAGCCATATCTGTGCTTGTAGACCTCTGCGGCTTGAAACCTTCTCCACAAATTATAATAGTTGGATTTGGCCGAAATATGTTTGAATTGTTACCTTGTTTCGTTTTGTCGCTGTGTGTACATCTGACTACACTTCTTAACGTTATGACAGGACAGACCGACTGTCAGCAACGTCTGACCGTGGCCGTGACGTCTCATAGACTAGGGTTAGAGAAGCTTCCCTTTGACAAAGGGCAGTTACTCTAGCGGACAGACCGATGGATTGCCGCGAAAGGCAATTAATAACAATTGTTGTTTTGCGTATATGTTGCTTCGCCACTGTTTAAGAAACAGATTTCAGTTGGAACTATATTGCAATTGGCCACTGTTACTGTCCGACTGACACATCGCTTACCCTGTGACGTAAAAAATATTAATGCGCGCATTCCAGGAAAACTCGCAATGTTTCCGTAATGATTGTGAGAGAGGGAAAGCGATTTTGAAGCACAGAATTAAAGAATGACATTAAATGATAAAGAGGTTATCACGCTTGTGTGTTTGGGGATGGTAAATATCCTGTATTAGGAATAAACACTATGTATTTAGCTCGCCAAGGCTCGCTAAATACAATGTTTATTCCTAATGCAGGATATTTACCATCCCCAAACACACTCGCGTGATAACCTCTATGTAAATAATAATGATCGACCAGGCAATCCAGTGATTGACAACATGCTGATCGATCTGTCCCTGAAGGTATTGCTTCCATTTTCCATCATATTTAACATTTCAATATCATACATAGAGTGTGCATGGATTTATTGTGACATTATTGGAATGTTTGTAGCATGGATAGATCATATATCATAGTTATACAGAGTTTCTAAATAACACATGTAGAGAAGGCCAGAAGGCATGGAAATTTGCATAATTACAATTTGAATATGCAATACATTTTGTAATTTCATAATATCGAAGTATGTCTTTTTGAATTAGTAAAAAGATTGGTTTGACTTTTTTTCTATTATATGTGTGCAGCATAGATTTTGTTACCATACTTACTGCATTGAATGAATTTTTATTCTTCTCTTTAAATCCAAACAGTATGTGTTCATTACTAAAATTAACTCTGCCTTCTGTGTAGTTTCCAAGCCAATCTGAAAGATTCGTCCATACACCAACAGCATAGTGACAATTACATAATACATGAGTAATTGTTTCAGATGGTTCATTACATAATGAACAAACTGGCGATTCAACATATCCAGTTTTAAATAAATAACAGTTAGTACTCAAAATGTTGTGTATAACTTTAAACTGAAACCATCTTAATTCAGAACTTTGTGTACATCTTTTTGCCATAAGGTTAAAGTTTGTCCGCTCTGTATCGGTATACTGTTTTTCAAGAAAATCTTCCCATTTACTGTAGCACTTATGTTTATAAATTTAGGGTTTAATAGGGCTTCATAAAATACCTTGCTTCCCTTTATATTGTTTTTTTTTGGATACATTATATGGAAGTACAGGTCTTTGGCAAACTTTGGCACAATGTATTATATTGTTATTCTGTAAATACCTGACTATTGATAGTTTTACTCCTTCGGTCAAAAAAAAAGTCCGTCTTCAAACTGTATTTTTGTACAAATTCATCAAAATCATATAATTTCCCTGTGTCATGAATGAAGTCATTTATATATACTATACCCTTTTGTATATTATGTTGCCATTGGGATTTGGTGATATGCATCAACCAAGTCAGCGAGCCTGACAACCCGGTCCCGTTCGTCGAATTAATCGAAGAAGTATTGAGTATGACGACATGATCTATTCTGACGTCACTAAAATATTGTCAACAATGCTGTGTGTGTTTACGGATCAGAAATGAAAATTTTGATAAAACATAATTGCTTAGTTGGTCGGTGGAGATCGAGACAGCGCATGCATATGTCCACGCATGTGGAAACATGAAACTAACACACGTTAAAGGTATATATATTCATGCTTCACCAGCGCCTACAACACAATGCTGACCTGCATGTTCAGCTCTACCGGTGCCTCTTGTATTGGAACGGCAAAGACCACGTTCGTGACGACAACCGATGATGCTGTGAAATCAGGAGCACTGAGCTGTCCAGGTATAAACAAAACGACATCATCCTACTCCACGAGGAACATCGTGTTCCTCAATCTCTAGTTTTAACTCTGTCAAATCCATAGTATGAACCTCCTCCCTTCTACCACAATTGTACGTAAGACATACACGTCATAAATGTTGATTTTTAGGTGTAAGTTTTATTGTGTATGGGGGGTAATATTTAAACAATCGATCAAGACGGTAGCACGAACACTCTTCACAGAATTAATCATGCGGCTCTATTCTTTCCAGCTCAAACAGCAGAATGTATCTGTACTGTGGCATACGCCAAAATAGACATTGGCGCCGCCACTAACGCTGACAAATGCAGGTAACGCTGATTCTATTACTCCAAGATATACATTAGCGCCATCAATACCGCTGACAAATGCGGGTAACGCTGATTCTATTACTCCAAGATATACATTAGCGCCGCCACTAACGCTGACAAATGCAGGTAACGCTGATTCTATTACTCCAAGATATACATTAGCGCCGCCAGTAACGCTGACAAATGCAGATAACGCTGATTCTATTACTCCAAGATATACATTAGCGCCGCCACTAACGCTGACAAATGCAGGTTACGCTGATTCTATTACTCCAAGATATACATTAGCGCCGCCACTAACGCTGACAAATGCAGGTTACGCTGATTCTATTACTCCAAGATATACATTAGCGCCATCAATAACGCTGACAAATGCAGGTTACGCTGATTCTATTACTCCAAGATATGCATTAGCGCCATCAATAACGCTGACAAATGCAGGTTACGCTGATTCTATTACTCCAAGATATACATTAGCGCCATCAATAACGCTGACAAATGCAGGTAACGCTGATTCTATTACTCCAAGATATGCATTAGCGCCATCAATAACGCTGACAAATTCAGGTTACGCTGATTCTATTACTCCAAGATATGCATTAGCGCCATCAATAACGCTGACAAATGCAGGTAACGCTGATTCTATTACTCCAAGATATACATTAGCGCCATCAATAACGCTGACAAATGGAGGTAACGCTGATTCTATTACTCCAAGATATACATTAGCGACATCAATAACGCTGACAAATGCAGGTTACGCTGATTCTATTACTCAAAGATATACATTAGCGCCGCCACTAACGCTGACAAATGCAGGTTACACTGATTCTATTACTCTAAGATATAGATTAGCGCCGCCACTAACGCTGACAAATGCAGGTTACGCTGATTCTATTACTCTAAGATATAGATTAGCGCCATCAATAACGCTGACAAATGCAGGTAACGCTGATTCTATTACTCCAAGATATACATTAGCGCCATCAATAACGCTGACAAATGCAGGTTACAATGATTCTATTACTCCAAGATATACATTAGCGCCATCAATAACGCTGACAAATGCAGGTTACGCTGATTCTATTACTCCAAGATATGCATTAGCGCCATCAATAACGCTGACAAATGCAGGTTACGCTGATTCTATTACTCCAAGATATACATTAGCGCCATCAATAACCCTGACAAATGCAGGTTACACTGATTCTATTACTCCAAGATATGCATTAGCGCCATCAATAACCCTGACAAATGCAGGTAACGCTGATTCTATTACTCCAAGACATACATTAGCGCCATCAATACCGCTGACAAATGCAGGTAACGCTAATTTTATTACTCCAAGATATGCATTAGCGCCATCAATAACGCTGACAAATGCAGGTTACGCTGATTCTATTACTCCAAGATATACATTAGCGCCATCAATAACGCTGACAAATGCAGGTTACGCTGATTCTATTACTCCAAGATATGCATTAGCGACATCAATAACGCTGACAAATGCAGGTTACGCTGATTCTATTACTCCAAGATATACATTAGCGCCATCAATAACGCTGACAAATGCGGGTAACGCTGATTCTATTACTCAAAGATATGCATTAGCGCCGCGGTTAACGCTGACAAAAGGAGGTAACGCTGCTACGTAACTCCAAGATATACATTAGCGCCATCAATAACGCTGACAAATGCAGGTAACGCTGATTCTATTACTCCAAGATATGCATTAGCGCCGCCACTAACGCTGACAAATGGAGGAAACGCTGATCCGTTACGACAAGATATACATTAGCGCCATCAATAACGCTGACAAATGCAGGTAACGCTGATTCTATTACTCCAAGATATACATTAGCGCCATCAATAACCCTGACAAAAGGAGGTAACGCTGATTCTATTACTCCAAGATATGCATTAGCGCCGCCAGTAACGCTGACAAGTGGAGGAAACGCTGATCCGTTACGACAAGATGTACATTAGCGCCGCCAATAACGCTGACAAATGGAGGTAACGCTGCTCCGTAACTCCAAGATATACATTAGCGCCATCAATAACGCTGACAAATGGAGGTAACGCTGCTCCGTTACTCCAAGATATACATTAGCGCCATCAATAACGCTGACAAATGGAGGAAACGCTGATCCGTTACGACAAGATATGCATTAGCGCCATCAATAACGCTGACAAATGCAGGTAACGCTGATTCTATTACTCCAAGATATACATTAGCGCCATCAATAACCCTGACAAATGGAGGTAACGCTGATTCTATTACTCCAAGATATACATTAGCGCCGCCAGTAACCCTGACAAGTGGAGGAAACGCTGATCCGTTACGACAAGATGTACATTAGCGCCGCCAATAACGCTGACAAATGGAGGTAACGCTGCTCCGTAACTCCAAGATATACATTAGCGCCATCAATAACGCTGACAAATGGAGGTAACGCTGCTCCGTTACTCCAAGATATACATTAGCGCCATCAATAACGCTGACAAATGGAGGAAACGCTGCTCCGTAACTCCAAGATATACATTAGCGCCATCAATAACGCTGACAAATGGAGGAAACGCTGGTCCGTTACTCCAAGATATACATTAGCGCCAACAATAACGCTGACAAATGGAGGTAACGCTGCTCCGTTACTCGAAGATATGCATTAGCGCCAACAATAACGCTGACAAATGGAGGTAACGCTGCTCCGTTACTCCAAGATATACATTAGCGCCATCAATAACGCTGACAAATGGAGGAAACGCTGCTCCGTTACTCCAAGATATACATTAGCGCCATCAATAACGCTGACAAATGGAGGAAACGCTGATCCGTTACGACAAGATATACATTAGCGCTATGAGTAACGTTGCCAAATGCAGGTAACGCTGATTCTATTACCCCAAAAACACAGATCAAGCCATTTGTTCATTTGTCCAGTGCTGCGCAAGACCTACTGGGATGTATGACTGGAAAGACGGGTACTGGTTGTGACGGAACGCAGGCAGCTGCAACCATCCTGGCCACAGCTGAGAACGGCATTGCACAAACCGTTGCAGATGGATACAGCTGCGGTGAGTACGATGATAAAATGTGTTTGTTGTTTTTGTGTTTGTTTTACGCTGCACTCTGCAATATCCCAGCATTGTGACGGAGACATGTAAATATTCGACCAGAGAAAACCAGTGATTGATATTATGAGCAGCGTAATGCAACATGCTAATCAACCGAGCCTGACCACCTCATCCATTAAGTCGCCTCTTATAATCAGCATATAAATTGATGAGACTAGGCATGAAATGTGAGAGCCCATTGAATAATGCCGCATTTAACGCATAAATTTGTTTCATTTTCTGTTTATTTGAAAAATTCCGAATATCAGCGGGAACGTATGTTGTTAATGTTATTGACTTGTAATATGTCCTATACATCTTAACTAGTCGGTATCTTGCTAACAATATTTCAAACTGTGTTCACAGTCCTGGTGTCCTGGTTCGGTTTCTTTCACTAGATTATTTTTAAAAACCTTGACGTAGCGTTACAAGAGATGCCGAACAGTCGCGCCCTATTGTCCGTGGAAGATAGCACTTTGTTTTGGTATATATTTGAAGGGTTCACGAGAACGTTATTTTGCAAATTTCAATTTTCAGAATTGATCTTGCGATGCATATTTGTCCGTCCTGTAATAGGCATTAATGCAGACCACAAACACTTTGTTTTGGGGGCACGTCTTTTAACAGCTGGCTAGAGTGTGGGAGTAATAAGCTGTCAGTTTTACTGACGCTAACTCCACGATATGTAACATTTGGGACCTTAGTCTCAGTCAATCAACCCTTTCACAATGGACATAGTTCGATAGATAAAATGAAGAAAAAAGCTTCTTTGATTAACACCAAACTAGTCCAAGGGGTGTGACTCAAATGAATAGGATCAACAGTGGTTCAGTGGTCTGAGGCGTCGTATTTGCGTCTCTTAGTCGTGTCAGAAACCTATGATTCTAGGTTCGAATTCCAAATTCACCATAATAATGTTTCTATACTGAACAACAAAAGTTCCTGTGACATTGAATAAGATTTAATGCAAAGTTATGTTTTTTACAAAATCTGAAACAAATTCGGTTTGCAACAGATAAAAGACTCCTGTAAGTGTTCAAATGGTTTAATTTGCCATACTGACTTCAGAAAATGCGTGATTTCATTAAAAAAAACATGAACATGCCAAAATGTCAATTTACAAATCAATAGCGTGTGTATCCACCTCTGGTTGCGATGCAAGCAACACATCTTCGTCTCATGGAATGGAACAGGCGTCGCACAAAGTCCTATGGGATATCTGTCAATATCTGCTGGAGCAGATAAGTTCCTGGAGTGTCTTAGGAACACCTTGTTGACGTCGAAGGCGCCGATCAATCTCATCCAACATGAGCTCGATTGGGAGCGAGCCGGCCAGGGGATGTCATTTACGTTGTTTTGTTGAAGAGAGTCCTGAACAAGTCGAGCAATATGAGGCCGGGCGTTGTCATGTTGAAAGGTAATGCCTGGGCCATGACGACGCAAAAACGGTAGAACAACAGGGACGATGATCTCGTCGCAGTAGCGCTGTCCATTGAGATTTCCCTCTACCACTATCAAACGGGTCCTCTGTCTTGTTGTAATCCCACCCAATACCATAACGCTGCCGCCCCCGAACCGATCTTCTTCAATGACACAATGATTGATGTAACGTTCGCCTCGACGTCGGTACAGTCGAATCCGTCCATCGCTGTGACTGAGGTGAAAACGAGACTCGTCAGTGAATAGAACTTGTCCCAAAGGCATGGCCGTCCAGCGTAGTCGTTGTCTGCACCACTGTAGACGTGCTTGACGGTGGTTTCCTGTCAAAATGGGACGTCTGGCGGGTCTTCTGGTGACAATCCCTGCACATCTGAGGCGGCGACGTACGGTTTGTGAAGATATTCGTCGAAAGCCAGGGATGCTTCTTGCAGTCACTATTTCTGGCTGGAATCGATTTCGTAGGTGTGTTGTTCGAATCCAGTTGTCTTGTCAATTATTGGTTACGCGTGGCCTGCCACTCCGAGGATGGTCTCTGACTGCATTCGTCTGTAGCCAACGATGCCATAAACACCAAATGGTGTTTCTCTGGACGTTAAATTGTCTTGCAACATCACGTTGACTCGGTCCTGCTTCAAGCATACCAATGGCTCGCAGACGCTCATTTTCGGACAGGCGGGGCATTTCGTGATGTTGAATAATTGCGTAATTTTGTTGTTTTTCTGAGTGGCTGTTGTCAGCACGATGCTAAACAATGCATATGGAATCCGCACATTCTTGGGTAGTGGAATGCATGGGGCTTGCATAAAAGTCAACTTTTGCATGGAATGTATGCTTTTCTGTAGCAGTTGCGCTTTTGTGACTTGATTCCATACATGTACTACAATATTGAAAACCAAACTTTACTTGTTTAAATAATACACTAAAATATTGGTGTCACATGAACTTTTGTTGTTGAGTATATATATCGTCAGCACCATACCATTGTTCCTAGGTTTCACCAAGCGGAAAAGATCTGCATCACATCTTTTTTCCTCCCACATCAAGCTGACATATCGCGATGTAACTGAAATACTGTTCAAAGCGGCTTTGATACAAACTCAACCCCACACAACTGAAAAGTTTCAAATCGTTGGAGACAAGTTAACTGAAGTGATGTATTTACGTTTCCAGCGCTGACCGAGAGTTGCAAGTGTGAAGTGACATTCGGCAAAGCTGACACAACGAATGATGCTGCTTACTGCTCGTAAGTTATATTAGCTGTCATGGTATTTCATACTTGGATCACTATTTCGTCCCAAGGTTGTCCAGCAATTGAGTAACGGAAACAACCAATACTACCCACAAATAAATCATTGTCCCAGCATTGTCCAGCCATTGAGTAACGGAAACAACAAATATCACCCACAATTAAATCATCGTCCCAGCGTTGTCCAGCCATTGAGTAGCGGAAACAACAATACTGGCCACAATTAAATCATCGTCCCAGCGTTGTCCAGCCATTGAGTAACGGTAACAACAAATATCACCCACAATTAAATCATCGTCCCAGCGTTGTCCAGCCATTGAGTAGCGGAAACAACCAATACTGGCCACAATTAAATCATCGTCCCAGCGTTGTCCAGCCGTTGAGTAGCGGAAACAACCAATACTGGCCACAATTAAATCATCGTCCCAGCGTTGTCCAGCCGTTGAGTAGCGGAAACAATCAATACTGGCCACAATTAAATCATTGTCCCAGCGTTGTCTAGCCATTGAGTAACGGAAACAACCAATACTACCCAGAATTAAATCATCGTCCCATTTTTGCTCAGCCATTGAGTAACGGACACAACCAATACTACCTACAATTAAATCATCATCCCAGCGTTGTCCAGCCATTGAGTAACGGAAACAACCAATACTATCCACAATTAAAGCATCGTCCCAGCGTTGTCCAGCCATTGAGTAACGGAAACAACCAATACTATCCACAATTAAATCATCGTCCCGGCGTTGTCCAGCCATTGAGTAACGGAAATAACCAATACTGGCCATAATTAAATCATCGTCCTAGCGTTGTCTAGCCATTGAGTAACGGAAACAACCAATACTATCCACAATTAAATCATCGTCCCAGCGTTGTCTAGCCATTGAGTAGCGGAAACAACCAATACTGGCTACGATTTAATCATCGTCACAGCATTATCCAGCTATTGAGTAACGGAAACAACCAATACTGGCCACAATTAAATCATTATCCCAGCGTTGTCCAGCCATTGAGTAACGGACACAACCAATACTACCCACAATTAAATCATCGTCCTAGCGTTGTCCAGCCATTGAGTAGCGGAAACAACCAATACTATCCACAATTAAATCATCGTCCCAGCGTTGTCTAGCCATTGAGTAACGGAAACAACCAATACTGGCCACAATTAAATCATTGTCCCAGCGTTGTCCAGCCATTGAGTAACGGAAACAATCAATACTACCCACAATTAAATCATTGTCCCAGCGTTGTCTAGCCATTGAGTAACGGAAACAACCAATACTACCCACAATTAAATCATCGTCCCATTTTTGCCCAGCCATTGAGTAACGGACACAACCAATACTGGCTATAATTAAATCATCATCCCAGCGATGTCCAGCCATTGAGTAACGGACACAACCAATACTATCCACAATTAAATCATCGTCCTAGCGTTGTCCAGCCATTGAGTAACGGAAACAATCAATACTGGCCACAATTAAATCATTGTCCCAGCGTTGCCTAGCCATTGAGTAACGGAAACAACCAATACTACCCACAATTAAAAAATCGTCCCATTTTTGTCCAGCCATTGAGTAACGGAAACAACCAATACTACCTACGATTAAATCATCATCCCAGCGTTGTCCAGCCATTGAGTAACGGAAACAACCAATACTATCAACAATTAAATCATCGTCCCAGCGTTGTCCAGCCATTGAGTAACGGAAACAACCAATACTACCCACAATTGAATCATCGTCCCAGCGTTGCCAAGCCATTGATTAACGGAAACAACCAATACTATCCACAATTATATCATCGTCCCATTTTTGCCCAGCCAGTGAGTAACGGACACAACCAATACTATCAACAATTAAATCATCGTCCCAGCGTTGTCCAGCCATTGAGTAACGGTCACAACCAATACTACCCACAATTGAATCATCGTCCCAGCGTTGCCAAGCCATTGATTAACGGAAACAACCAATACTATCCACAATTATATAATCGTTCCATTTTTTCCCAGCCATTGAGTAACGGAAACAACCAATACTACGCGGCAATTAAATCATCGTCCTAGCGTTGTCCAGCCATTGGGTAACAGAAATAACCAGTACTAACCACAATTAAATCATCATTCCAGCGTTGCCCAGCCATTGAGTAACAGAAATAACCAATACTACACACAATATAATCATCGTCCCGACGTTGTCCAGCCAATGAGTAACGGAAACAACCAACATTGTCCATTTTCATAATATATGACAGCAAAGAATTATGTTGGTACTCATTTGCAACAGCAACACACTATTGCTTGAGAAATGTGCTAGCCTCTTGTGGAAACAGTTAAAAAACCCATTATTATAACATTTTGATGAAATATTTAGAGATTATGACCTCTTTGAAGACATTATCAGTTCCTCTATCTCAGATACCCCAACACAGCAGGTAAGCGTCCAGGACCTGCATCACCTCGGGCTTTCCGTGACATTTAGCTAACAGACCTCCATGTCAGGAAAGACAAGATGGTTTATGAATGAGAACTGCAAAGAAACGCTATAAGGATCTTAATCGAAACGTCGCATCATATTAGAATAAAAAAGTTGTCATCTATAAAATATGTTGTCTTTACTGTTACTTACCAACTTCTAAAAATGACAATAAAACAGCTGAGGCCTTCATTTAACGGAAACAGGTTTCAAAGCGTTTCACCCCAAGACAATGTATGATTTCAGGGCTGGCTTGAACTACTTTGCTTGCCTCAGCGTTGCGACGGACGTCGGCTGTTCTGGAACCACCAACGCTGCACTTACGACAGCTTCCTTGGCAAAGATTACTACCATAAATGGCTGTGGTAGGTTTTATTTTGAAAGCGGAATTTCGTTATTAATAGATGGCCGACTTAATTTCATTTCGTTTTAACCATAAGGCATGCAAGTGTTCCAACTGAAAAAAAATAGTGTGGGAATTTTAGAGATCATAATAGTGACAGCGAAACATCTCACCTTTTTCTCTAAAAATGGACATCTCTGTCGTCAGAAGAAATACGGAAAACTTGAAAGCTCTGCAGCACCGCCAGCTGCTTGATATTTGTCATTACGAATTAATTCCCAAAGCGAATAATGTAAGGCGTCAGCAACCTGCATTCGTCAGGATAACTAGTACAGGTCCGTCCAAATCAAGTAAGTTTGTAAATGTACTAAAAGTTAAATGCCGTATAAGAAATCGAGGAAAATTGCTGCAATTTGTGAACAGTGACATGTCCATGAATTTGTTAGACAGGTCCGGACAGAATGCGTGTAATGTGTTCATAAGTATGTGTGTGTGCGTGTGTGTGCATGTGTGTGTGTGTTTATTTATGTGTGTAAATATATGCCTGTACGCCCTAGTTTATATGTGAGGGCAAAAGAGAGGCATTTTTCAGTTTGCTGAACAGATCATGAAATGTAAGTTAAGAATGATTTTGTTTATCATTTAACAGTAGTATGTAGTTTACTTACACATTGTAACATAAAATATGCACTTGCTAACAGTTATTCACACAGTTTATACGTGTATACAGATTCACACAGTTTTAATCTGCCATAACTAATGTCTTATATATATGACCAATATATATGATATATTATCGTCTCATGTTTGCTGCACCGGTAGTGAACCCAGTCTCAAATAAGGCCATGTTTTGCATATAGACGAGTTAACATATGCTTGTTAATGGGAATGGTGTCAAACCCTGGTTTGAATATGTTTTGTCATTGAAGGAAGGTCACTGACCCATAGGTAACGATGTATTACATACATGCGATAATACAACAGCATAATATTTGCAATAATCACCGAAATATGCATCCAACAATCAAAAGATAATTAAATCCTAACGTGACAGATAGTCACATAAACTGCTTGGCAAAAGAAAGTGTAAACTTGAAACTTGGATTTGGCCAAAACATAACAAACATTATAAAACGTAAATGGGCAGAAAACAGTCGTCGAAAGACTGCAAACGAAAGGTTCAAAACATAGCTACAACTATGATAGCCGTTTCTTGTTTGTTTCATTTTAAGCAACAATAAAACATGGGTGTATACTTTCCTTTGCCCGGCAGTTTTGTTTACTTAGCTGTAAATATTTTATATCTACTTTATGATATTAGCTCTAATTATAACAGTATAAACTTCTCTTTATGTATTACATAAAGGATATAACGTTGCATTACATAAAGGATATAACGTTGCATTACATGAAGGATATAACGTTGCATTACATGAAGGATATAACGTTGCATTACATAAAAGATATAAAGTTGCATTACATAAAGGATATAACGTTGCATTACATAAAGGATATAACGGTGCATTACATAAAGGATATAACGTTGCATTACATAAAGGATATAACGGTGCATTACATAAAGGATATAACGTCGCATTACATGAAGGATATAACGTTGCATGATTATATTTTTTTCTTTTTAAACTCTTTTGTATCCTTCTACATTTTAATTACTAAACCAACAACGTGCAGAGCTACGGTGATGTGCTTACCTCACAAAATGTTAAAATATATATTCAAAGCTTTCTCCACAGTTAATAGTAAAACGTATCAACACATTACTAATGTTGGAATGTTTATGACAATAATCATATCCTGGGATTGATCACACAATCGTCCTTCAGATAACAGTTCAAGTTTTAAATTTTCCCTAAAAAATAACTTAATATTTGAAATTTGAAATTCATTGAAAATAATATTGCAAGCGCTATTTTACCATAATTACCAAGTATATATTCACCATGTGACCTCAGTACACATGGTATGTTGTATAGTTGTATTCAGTACGTCATGTCTTCCATGTATACTACTTTCCATCCCCCAGCGCTGCCTGACACGTGTCAGTGTCAACAGACGTACACCACTAACGTCGCCGCTAATTCAACTCAAGACTGCAGGTACGTCTTCAACCCTACATGCAACATGACCTAGGTTTTATCTGTTTTTAGCAATAGTCCAGCTTTATCAGGACGGATGATGGCTTCACACATTGTACCCAAGAGTGGCATCGAACTCGTGCTTTCAGCATACGTGTGAACACTTTGACCACTAGGCCCCTAATTTTTTAACCAGGGGGATGTGGGTTTACCCCTTGCGAGTTCATCAAATATGAGTTGAGTACATCAGGGAGGATTGTATACATCCTGTCTCACATACTTCCATGGCAGTCTAGGGTCACTGGTCGCAGTACTTTTGATCGTCGGTTCGAATCCGTTTCGCCTGAATATTTTTCTAGGCTTGTCGGTACCATACCCGTGCTCGTTGGTTTAAACAATTGGTAAACGCCTAATTCCTGCATGGCTTTGGGTGATTTTACACCAGGAAGCTTACACGCCGTGATACCACTAACATAATGTTCAAATAAAATAAAAGCGACCATACCCTTTCCATATTCAAGTTTCTGCTAACGACTCGACTATTTCAACGTTATCAAACTCATACACTCTGATACACTGATAGGCATTGACAATGGCATTGTCGGCATTTACACGATTGTCTAAAAATTCTTAAACTCTTTTGAGATAAACATAATACATGATAATATCATCTGGTTGTGAGGGATAAGAATAGTAATAATTTGTTTACTCTAATCCGGACTGCGGTCTAAAACGGACACGCAAGTCCGCTGTCTTAACCGGACACACAAGTCCGCTTTAGACAATTTCCATTGTAGTTGTTGCTTTGAAAAGAACTCCTTTCACTAAACCTATCTTCACTGATTCTAGATATACGATGAATGCCCTGTCCTGCCTGTCTGCGACGACATCAAAAAGTTGTGACAATACGCAGACACAGTCAGAGGTTGCCAATGGATTTCAAACAAGGCTGGCCGGCCTAACGTCAGGGTCACCATCCTGCTGTACGTATGGCTCATACATGTGTTAATATGTTTTGTTAGGACACTTCGAGTTATTCTACACAGCAAATATAAAAAGATACAAATTTAATTGTGTGACTTTGTCATATGATGATTAAGACTGAATTCCCAATATATTTAAAGGTGAAAACTAACTGTAGTAACGGACCGGCCATTTGATAGTCTTGGGGGCCGGGCCATTTGATAGTCTTGGGGGCCCGGCCATTTGATAGTCTTGGGGGCAGGGGCTTTGTACGAAGACAAGATATGTTTTCAGCTACATATCTGCAGAACCAGATAATTATAATTAATATTTTTTCTTGCACAATGTATTTTTTTGGCAGATACTTTTTTCCACAGTTTAAAAAAAAAAATGTTTTAATCGTACTCTGGTACCATTTCTTTTTGTCGACAAAATCCCAGCACCCCACCTCCACACAGATGTTGTTGGGGGAGGGTGGTGGAGGTAATTGTAATGGGGGCGGGGGTGTTGGGAGGATGGCCGGGGGTGTCAGCCTGGATGAGTCGACTAGGAAAAAGCATGGTGACCAATCTGAAGCCCGCGACACCAGTCTTCACCCCTTTGTGACAAGACAAAACTTGCCATTGGGAGTTATTGCTTCTTAAAGCCTCCTCATGATATCAAAGACAAATAATATGCACGGAGAAGTTATCTCCCTTACACAATAAAGCCATTTGGCTGGAGCTATTAAATACACAATAATAACAGGAAAACCTGTAATATTACTGAGTAATTTATCTACACGTTTACACACGTATTGTTTTTTGTTTGTTTTGTTAGTCCAGACAGAGACCTGCAAGTGCCAGGTTGCGTATGCTACAAGCGACACCACGTCAACAGCAAACAAGTGCACGTACGTACATAGTCCACACCAAAGGAGACAAGTTTCAGCCAGGGCCTTAACATTGAAATTAGCAAACCAATTAAAGATGAGACAAAGTCTCTGCGTACTCCTGGTGTCATCACTGTTTTCAGTGATCCATTCATATAATTCTCCCTGGTTTGTATATTTTGCTATGTTTCGGTGGATAATTCTTTCTCTTTCATTGGCGCTTCTTGTATATTATATGGAGTTACATAACATATTTGTATGTTATAAACTATGTTATGTAACTCTGTTGTATGTGGGCATACTGTCTTTCACACAATAAAGAATTGAATTGAATATATTCTATGCTACTAGGTTGATACACATAATTCAGATCGAGGTATCAAACTAGCAAAATCATGTGTTAGGACTTGAAATCCGCTTGCTTGGGTTGTCGATTTGCCTAAGCCTAGTTCTACTTTAAGGGTTTTGCAAAAATATGCTTTAAAATGTTGTTCTGAATCGTGTTTGTCCGCACATCTGCCTCGTGGTCGATATAAATGTTCACTAGGAGAATCCTATGTAGAAAAGGTTAACGACGTTTAAGTGTATTGAGCGCACAAGTAAAATTAAGAGCTGTGGTGTACTATCCGACTTCAATCACATAGCGCTTCTGATAGCATCAGCTAATCGAAACATCTATTTTTTCTTACCTGTTTGTGTGGCTAAAATGAAACTAACAAGAAATAGTTATCCGATGGTGATTTATTTGATACGAGTTCATAGTTGTGTTTTATAAGTTTGCAATGTTTCAGCGATATTTTTTAGCCTTGTAACAGTTTTGATAACTGTCATTTTTTTTGTTCAAATCCAATATTCAAGTGTATACTTACTTTTGCCCGGCACTATACATGTCTCGTTATCATTATCATTGTCTCGTGATGTCCAACGCAGTGCTCTATGGGATGATTTTATCACTGCTGTATGTTTCCAGGGCTGGCAGAACGTTCAGCACGTGTCTCAGCAGTATACAGAATGACCAGGATGTAGGCTGTGATGACGTCACCCAGAAACAGTACCTGGTGCAAGGCCACGTCAGCCTCGTTCTACAAGCATGTAAGTGTATAGAGAAGAGCTTCAGCTTTTGGCTTGTGTTAAACAACTATTCGTTTAATCGTATACCGATAAATTTACCAATTTATTAACTTCTATGAGACTGCTTTCTGTAAACAGGAGCGAACAAAATGCTACCTGTTGTCTGAAGCATATTGATAAATATAAATCCTTTCTATGATTATTCTTTTTATTTTTTTATTTTTGATAATTATTAAATACAAACATTGTACAGTAGGAGCAGTACTAAATCAGATATATGGGACATATTACAGTGTATGAGTATTACTAAATAGTACACATAAAACATATATTGCTTTCATTATATTACAAATAATTGTCGACCCGTGAAGATCCGGGGTAGAACAGGTCTTCAGCAACCCATGCTTGCCGTAAAAGGCGACTATGCTTGTCTCAAAAGGCGACTAACGGGACCGAGTAATCAGGCCAGGCTCGCTGACTTGGTTGATGTATGTCATCGATCCCAATTGCGTGGATCGATGCTCATGATATCAATCACCGGATTGTCTGGTCCAGACCCGATTATTTACACCGCCGTCATATAGCTGGAATATTGCTGAGTGCGGCGTAAAACAACAAACCAAAACAAGAAAACAAGTAAGTGTCATGTATAAGTATGTATAATGACACGCCTGCAATACAAAATATATCGCGGAAAACTAAATTACATAAAAAACAAAACTCAACGACGGGTGGCCCAGTCGTCTAAGGCGACGCGATTCGCTTTGCCGATCGCGAGTTGCGTCCCTTGGGCTCTCCAGAAACCCATGATTGTGGGTTCGAATCCCGGTTCGCCCCGATTATGTTTCTACGTTTGTCAGCGCCAAACCCGTGCTCGTGGGTTTCGCCGAAGTGATAAACATCGGAGACCTGCATCACTTCGGGCTTTCTTCCACATTAAGCTGACACGCCGCGATATAACTAGAATAATGTTAAAAGGCGTTAAACCCAACTCACTCACTTCATTTGCCATTGGGTATATGCACCTACACTCTGAATCAGCTTCGTTTTGTTTTATCTTTGACAGGTCGCGGATGCTGCATTTCACATCCTTCAGTGGCAATCATACTCATCTTGGCAATCGCGACGTTGCTGTGGAAATACTAAACCGGAAGTGACGCCACATAGTTATCGGATATGCATTCTCATAAAGGACAATGGCAGTGATAATGGCCCCAGTATTGACTGATTGTACTTTTAACAATCGATTGTTTGTGAAGCAATTCATATTTTTACATTGGCACAAATGTTTACCATCTAAAAATGTGTGTATGGTAATATAATTACTCTAATTGAGAAGCACATTACTTCGGTCATTTTATTTATCCCAAAATAATAACGCAACTTTAGTTAATTTCGACGATGATCAGTGATCTAATATTGTTATTTCCTGTACCTCTTTTACAAAGAAAAATATCTTTTTTTATTTTCCTTTCGCGGTCTAATATGTGTGGTGTGGAAAAAAGTATTTGTGAAATAGTGTTAATTCTATTGTGTATTTGTATATAGTGACTGTAAAAATCCAACCTCGTGTGTAGATATACATATGTACAAAGTATATCATGTACTTTAACATGGAATTACCAAACCAATACATTAACAAATGACAAGTTACAATGGTAAAATATAGTATTTTTGCATTTATAAAACTTTATGTATCAAGACAAGAACATGCCAACTTAAAAAGATTTTTTTTTTCTATCAGTTTCAAATCTTTTCTTGAAAAACACGCCTTATGCACTCGTCTTGCTGCTGAGCATTAACGATGCGTGATAACTCCTAAAGCAGATGTATAGCTGTTCTCCTATATACACTTACCTAACCATCCGTCCAGAAGGTGAAGCTTCAGCAGTATTCTGTTCTGTGATACCGGCATGTATTGATGCAAGTCCAGCTGAGTCTGATGCTATTTGCATCTTTTAATGCTGCAAATATTTCCTCCGTTATGACCAATATACATTAATGTTCTACACATTTTCCAATCCGATCCGATGTTATATCCGTCCTGGGAATGTTACATATGTTATTAAGTTAATGTTATTTGTGTTTTAAAGTCGTATTGTGAACTATTTTCCTATTCATGTATTCAGAGAATGTCCAAGATTAAAAATAAGACTCCATAAGGGAGCGACCATTTCATATCCGATCGGAGGACTGGGACTGTCTGTGGTTTTATCGAAAAAATTAATTGTTCCAGAAAATTCTTGAAAACAATGATTATGCTTCGGACTGTTGAAAAAGAAAAATTGTCTGCCACAAAAATGACATTTTTGCCAAGTGTGTTTCTTAAATAAATCATTCAGGCTACCTCCAATATGAAATGGTCGGCACCTAAGTGAAAAAATGTTATTGAGATAAAGCCTTACGATCTCACAATAATGGTGTTAATATAATATGTCAATGAAACGAAGTGTATCAAAATAGTATGATCAATTTTCCAATGTGGAACTTTTGAGAAACAATAATAAACTTGTTTGGGAGTCAGGCGCTAGGGCTTTATGTCAAATACGAATTTTACCTGTAAACAATAGTCTGTAGAGAGAAGCCTTACACCCGTGACTGTTGCAATGTTTGCTGATAGATTAGCAACTTCCAAAGGGTTGATTAAAACAAATGCAAATTTAAAAATGAACATATTAAATCCATTTAAATGATTATGGAATCATTCTTTTGAAATTAATTGTATCGTGATTAAAGTTAATTTTGTAATTAAATTATTCATATGTACGTTGTTGTTGGTACGTTACGATGTACATCCCCGGTAAACGTGTTAACAGCTTTAACACTGACATTCCATATATTATACTGTGGCAGTCTCGAATGACGTGATCACTGAGGCAGTCATTGTTGCAATGTTTTCATTCAAATAAACTTTCTCTTTCATATATCAGAGGTTTGTTGTTATTAGTGGACCGTCTCCGTGGTTTAGTGGATAGGGCATCTATGCGGAGACCGGAAGGTCGGTGTTCGATCCCCTGTCCGCGTCTTACGTTTAAAGACGGTATTTGCTGTTACCCTGCCTGGCCTCAGCATTGAGGAGTTGGTATTATGTGTCTAAGTGGAGTATCCATGTTAAAATTGCATATCAGTGGTAAGCGCTCAAATTACCTTTCTCTTTCATATATTAGTGAGGCGGTCGGGTAGCCTAGTGGTTAAAGCGTTCGCTCTTGACGCCGAAGACCCGGTTCGATTCCCGACATGCGTACAATGTGTGAAGCCCATTTCTGGTGTCCCCCGCCGTGATATTGCTGGAATATTGCTAAAAGCGGCGTAAAACCATACTCACTCACTCACTCACCCATATATCAGTGGTCAGTAGTTAAAAGTAATAGTACTCCTAGTAACCATGCGATCCCAATTAGTCGTGTTGGGGCGATTACGTTGCCTGTAGGCTTGTGTCCATTGATCGAACTGTCGCTGTTATGTGTCTAGGTTTGTCAACACCATACCCCTGCTTTTGGGTTTCACCGAAGTGGTAAACGTCTAATGCTTGCATCACATCGGACGTTCCTCCCACATTCCCACATCATGATGAGACGCCGCGATATAGTAGTGTCTGGAATACTGTTAAAAGCGTTAAACCCAACTCACTCGAATAATCTTGTCTGGTCCAGACTCGATTTATTTACAGACCGCCGTCATGTAGTTGAAATATTGCTATATTGCGTCGATCCACACAATTTGGATACGATGACATGCATCAACAAAGTCAGCGATCCCGTTAGTCGCCTCTTACAACAAGCATAGTCACCCTTTATGTCAAGCATGTGTTGCTGAAGACCTATTCTAACCCGGATCTTCACGGGCTAAAAAGTTTTATAAAGTAACTTATTTCCCAAATGTTACTTAACAGTGTTTTCTGATTTGATCACATTGCCCAAGCTACCGTTTGGTAATTTATTGACACGTATTTTCCGAAATTCTGCATGCACTTTATACGTGATTTTCGGAGAAATAGGGTGTAAAAAGGATGGGATTCTTTCGGTAAAACGTCTACTGTTGCATGTGTAATTTTCGATATGCCACGTCTAAACCCTGCAACTCGAAATAATCCCATCGGTCATATAGGTGAAATTCTCCAACGTCACCAGCTTCTCGTTATCGACCCTCAAAGAGAGATTTTCAGCAAGACAACGTCCGACCACATGTTTCACGTGTCACTCTTGATAACCTACTGAATTAGAATATTATTGCGGCGTATGTTTGATGCGGGTATCATAGTTGTGTTTTGGACCTTAAGTTTGCTGCGACTGTTTTCAGCCAAGTAGCGTTTTGATAACATGTGTAATCGTTTGGCCAAATCAAGTGTATACCGCCTCTTGCCCGGGAGTTTCTTATTGCAATATTTCTACTGTAGGTAGTGAAGGTTTGGGAAACACCAAGGAAAAGAACTGGAAAAAAAGGATGGAGGAGAAAAAGAAAAGATTCGTCACCTCACGGCAGACTTTAATCTCATAAACACACAAGAAGGAAATGGGAGGGAAAATGTTTCATTTGCGGTTTACTCAGAGGTTGAGATATAAATGAATATATTATGACAAATGTGAAATGTAGAAATTCTTTAGTTAATTTGAAATATATGTAATACCTGATCCGTAACATTTAAATACATTCAAATTCAAGAACTTATATATAGTTTTCCTTGTAGATACGTCGCCCATGCCTCTGACATATTCATGGTCGAGATGGTTTCGTTCTTAGTGCCAAGGTTACAATTTTGCGACAACTGGTATATCACCTCCCGGCTTGTCTGACGCTGATCGCAGCTTCGCAACGAAAATGCTCTGTAAGATAAAATAAAATACAAGCATCAAAGTTTTGCTCAAACTAAAACTAAATGTTATGAAAATGATGTAAGATGCAATTAGTCGTTAATTAGTGTAATCATTATATATCATCACGTGAAGAATATAAATGATATTGAATGAATATAATCGAGTTTGTTCAGACATATGTGAGTGTGTGAGAGCACGCGCGGCGACCCAATCAGTCAATCTCATCCTCGTTGTTCGGCTCTAACGACGCGCATGGGTACTTGGGAAATATTTTCCCCAGGAATCCCCACGGGTCTATGGTTCGAATCCAAGATTCGTTTCGATTATGACTCTTGGTTTGTCAGCACCATACCCGTGTGTAGATCTGTGACGAATTTGGTTTTCTCCCGAAGTAAGCTGACATGCTGTAATATAACTGAAATATTGTTAACCCCCACCACCCACACACCCCTCACTGAATGTAAAATATGACAAGTATGACGTTACAAGTACTATTTCACTCACCAAGGTAACAGCAACAGAAGCCCCAAGAAAAGCGCCAAATATGACGTCACCAGGATGGTGCCAGTAGTCGAAGACACGTGACAGGGAGATGTAGAAAGCCACGCTCAGCACCAGAGCCATGGCAAACGGTTTTAGGAGACTTGGGCCTGATTTTGGTAACCGGGCGTACAGGAACACCTGTAAGAACATCATCAACTGTTAAGTAGGTTCCCGTCGTCTATCTTTAAAATTTCTACTTTGCCCGGATAGCCGAACGTCGGATACCAGCGACAAACCTAAAACACACACACACACACACACACACACACACACACACACACACACACACACACACACACACACCTCCCACCTGCACGACGCGCAAAAATGTACGACATTCATAGTAGTTGAAATAGGAATGATTGTAGCGAAAGGAGTACCTAAAGGTGTGGACCGATAACAAGCAATCAAATGGCAAGAATGACTGAGAACTGGGTGGGGCTACAAATAGCTATAGGACGTTGGCAGCATCTTCGCAGAAAGACACAGTCTTGTTATTAAAATTGATTGATAATGAATTTCATGTCACATTAAATGTCCATGATATAAAAAATGAAAAAATATTATATACCAAGATGATATATTGCTAAGTGTACATTCAATTCATTTCGTGTTTTAATGTATGAAAGTCGCACCTCCGTTGTAGTGTACCTAATGAAGTTCTATAAACTAGCGTTATTATTAAGAAAATCACTTTTTTAATAATGCCCTTTCAACTTTTAAATGGCATGTACCTCTATTGCCTACTGTAAAGATATAAGCCTTTGCATGTGGGCAAACCCCTTGGGTAATAAGCATAACATACCGCAAAATATGTCATCCCGAAGAAGGAAATCGATGCATGTCCGGATGGGAAAGACACTCTGCAGAAATATGATATAAATATAAATACAAATACATATATAATAATTCTTTATATACAAATATCACTCGAGTTACCATTGTCAGGACCCGTGAAGATTCCGGGGTAGAATAGGTCTTCAGCAACCCATGCATGCCGTAAAAGGTGACTCTGCTTGTCGCAAAAGGCGACTAACGGGATCGGCTGGTCAGGCTCGCTGACTTGGTTGATGCATGTCATCGATCCCAATTGCGTGGATCGATGCTAATGATATTAATCACTGGATTGCCTGGTCCAGGCTCGATTATTTACAGACCGCCGTCATACAGCTGGAATATTGCTGAGTGCGGCGTTAAACAATAAACAAACAAACAAACCATTGTCAGGTTTGGTATGCACGACATTTGTCAGTCACCGTGAATACACACGACTGCTATACATTGTTATAGTGGCGTCTGTCAATTTATTCCGCCTATTTGGATCAGCCAATCAAATGATGTGTGAACTTAATGCGAACCCTCCTGAAGTAGAGCAGATGACCGCAAAGTGTTGAAACTTGTTGCAAGAAAATATAAAACGTCAACGCCCGAGAAAAACCAATCTCAATTATCCGACGAAACCGATTCCTTTGGGTGTAAATGGGCAAGTAGCGGAGACAACTGTACGTATGGATTACTGAAAATCAGTGATGACCACGAGGCGTGTTCAGGAGGGCGGGCGCTCGTGATATTAAGCGAGCGCGCGCGCTGTTGAACGCGACTGACCGCGCGAGCGCACGCGTGTACTCGCGATCCAGCGCGGGAGGTAGTTCGCCTCGCCATTCAAGATGGCTTCCAACATTGCCCGAAAGATGGAACTTGCAACAAATACTACCTTTTTTAGACCCGTGAAGATCCGGGTAGAATAGGTCTTCAGCAACCCATGCTTTAAAATGCGACTATGCTTGTCGTAAGAGGCGACTAACGGGATCGGGTGGTCAGGCTCGGTTGAAGCATGTCATCGTATCCCAATTGCGTTGATCGATGCTCATGATATCAATCACTGGATTGTCTGGTCCAGACTCGATTATTTACAGACCGCCGGCATACAGCTGGAATATTGCTGAGTGTGGCGTCAAACAACCAACCAACCAACCAACCAACCAACTTACCTTTTTAAGCAAATCGTATGAGTGTCAGGTGCTACTCTATGGTAGGTCAGGGCATGCTTACCCCAGTGTCATCACTGATTTGTAATGATCCATTCATATATTTTTCACCAGTATTTTGCCTTGTACGTCTAGTGGAATCTGTTTCTTCAGATAATCGAAACTGGTTATTCTCTGGCGTTCTATATTACAGAAACCAAAACCATGGCAACTTGTGAAAGCACGTTCACTACCTTTACAACAGAATCTTAGTATCAGTATGTAGAGATATTGTGTTAGAGTCTTGTTGTTGGAGGGATACTTATATACACTTGGGTACACCGTACACAATTCGACCCACGAGAAGGTCCGGGTTAGAATTGGTCTTCAGCAACCCATTCTTATCGAACGGGATCGGGTGGTCAGGCTCGCTGACTGCATATCATCATATCGATACTCATGATGTCAATCACTGGATTGTCTGGTCACGCCTAGATTATTTACAGGTCGCCGTCACATACAAATGTAGGTGGAGTATTGCTGAGTCCGGCGTTAAACAACAAACAGACACAATGCCAGTGTTGACTGAGGAAGCATACTGTCGCGCCGCAATACTCACCTGGCTTCTGATATTGCCTGAGTATCGGATCCTTGACAGGTATAGTCCTGGGTATATCCCCCCGCGCAGACGGTGCTCAGGTTGGGCTGACACACGGAAATAAAGTGCGGCCTGAGACGCCCGATGCTGAACTTCCCGATGTCGGTGATGAGGAAGGTGAGGGCCCAACCAAACAGGAACACAAGGGCAGCGTCATAGACGCCTCTCAGCGCCGCTTGGCCGGTCATGGCTCCACGCAGTTTATAAACTTTGAAAAGTACGTCCCAAATTACCATCTGCGAAAGTTGAAGGTTAGACTTGATCTCACATACATACGTTTTTGAGTTTCTTAACTGGACTGTGTGTTATTCAGTATAATCAACATGAATTGTTTGACAGGCATTCCTTAGAAGTTGTCGGTTGACGAAGTAGAGATTACTCATGGAAAACAACTTTTGTTTTACTGTAATAGCGACGTGTCAGTATAGGTCGTCGTACCGTTGTCAAGAGTGCAAAACAACAAGGATTGTTTAATTCTTCTAATGAATGCATCACCAAGTCCTTCCGGATATTTAAATTAGCCAAGGTCAAATATAAATCTTTCATTTGACTGAGAATACTACATGATAATAACTGACTTAAACAAATTTGAGTGAGTATGAATTTACGCTGATTTCAGCAATATTCCAGCAAGATTACGGTGTGGACTCCAGAAGTGGGCTTCACACATTGTGCACATGTGTGGAATCGAACTCGGACCTTCGGCGTGGCAAACAAACGCTTTAACCACTAGGCTACCCCACCGCCCCACTAGAGACGTTCAGCGTTCATGTTTCAAAAATGAAGTCAAATCCCATTTTCGTTATTTCAAGTTCGTTTTTAAAAATGGCTTGCTCCTTATAATATTCCTTGCATGAGTGAGTGAGTGAGTGAGTGAGTGGATGTTGGTTTACGTCGTAGTCAGCAATATATACTCTAAATTACGACGGCGTTTCCATACTTCCTGGGTCAGGCAAACTAGTGGGTGATAACATGGGCATCATGTCAACGGTGCACGGTAACAAGCAATCAGCCGAGTGACAGCGCCTGACCACCCAAACCACTATTGTCAGCTCTCACAACAAACATGAGGCACCATGAACATCTTCTTCTTCAGAATCCCAACGGGACGAATTGGTTTGATTCCCAGATTATGATCCTTGGGTTTTAAGTAGCATAGATGTTCGTATGGCCTTGAGTGGGATGTGTAGAAGACCTGTTTCACACTGATTTCCCATCTTCATGAAGCTGTCAGGCCGTGATATAACTGAATTACTGTTCAAAGCGGCGTGAAACCCAACTCACTCACTTCCCTGCTGATGCATTTTAACTTCAGTTAGAGGCAGTACCTTGAACTGTTCACGTTTGTGGGTATCTTACCACTACGAGAGGTATAGCCAGCGACACTATCATCAACAGCGTCACCGATATCGTGCTTTTTTTGTACGGGTACTTGATAGTGTCATCATCACAGAAGAAGCCTTGCTGGAACGGAACACCATACTTCTCAAGGATCCCGAGAAAGAGTAACACTGCAAATGAAAAACGTTCTAATTGAAGTATTCAGGCAATCTCACGTCTTCTTATTCAGATACATGTATATAAATAGAAACAACAAAACCATTTCCATGATCATAAGAAATCTCTGCTGAAAGGAGATTCCGATGTACGATCCCGACTGTATCATAAGCATGTGTTTATGAATCACCATCAAACAGTAATAAATATACAAAGTTGTCGCGAAAAGGTGAGCACTCGTCACAAATACATGCAAAGACAAGTCAAGTGTTCACCTGAAAAACACGGGAATATATGGTCAAAATTGGGAATTGCATAGGACATCATTTTGGTCACTGATGCGTCAAATTAGGAAATATCCTCCATATGTCTTCCATTACAAGCTTTGAAAGCTTTACTGAAGCCTTGTACATACTGTAATCCTGTTATAACACCTTTTGAGCAAGAGTCGCATGACGCTCTTTGAAATCTTCGTACAAAGAGAATTCTCGATAGTACCTCAAATTTTGTGAGATGCTGCACCTGCTTGATAAAGGCGAAGTTGAAGTTACGAGCAGAGAAATGACAATATGTAACAGAAACAGGACACTTGACTACCTGCTTAATAACCTGATTACACATGAAAATAGGCCTTAAATATGAGTGTGTGATCTGTTCTGATTGGTTGAAAAACGTTGTTAAATGGGACTGAATCACGGAAATCTTTGGACTTTTCAATGTGTATGAATACTATTTCTCACTCCCAAATTGCTAAACAAATGTTTGGGAATTAAATTCATATAAAGTTTGATCAATAATTATGTTGGCAACTTCAGTTTAGTTGAGTTTTCTTTTGCATTCTACTAAAGTACTGTCGGAAATGATAGAAAAATGCTTTTTGCCTGTTGAAAAAGGATATAATTTTTCACAGACTGTTGTTATTGAAATATCGAGTAACTACCGATCGACCTACCTGTGGTTTGAAGTACTTCAGTCGCAAGGAGTCGTATCGACAAGTTTACAGGAGTCAAATTCGAACGAAAACAGTAAGTTCTCATTCATTCTAAGTCCAATGATGACACACTAAAACGGACTATAGAAATATGCGCACGTGACTCCGTTATAATGATAATAATGTAGTCTTCATAAAACATCTAATCCACACCTAAAAATCATTTGGAGAAAATTCTAGATGTGCATCTTCTAAAATGATAAAATGACACTGCGTTTGCTTTGTCAACGTTGCTCCCATGATGCATATTACATTACACTTGCATCGCCATGGCCATGGTACATGACATGGAGTCTGTTCTAGGAAATGCATACAAGTGCTTTATACTTTAGAGAGATGGAGAGAAAACATTTATTAATTTTGATAGGGTCAATTTCCGAACCAACCAAGCTATGGAGTTTTCAATTCATTCATGATAAATAAAACCAAACAGGTGTAGGGGTGGTCTCCGGGACAAAACCGGGACGTTAAAGGATATTAGACAGCTTTGTTACAGGGTGATAAGGCGTATAGTGTACAAGCTTTACGAGCAGAAGGTAACCCTGACTTGTCGTAGAATTTGGGACGAAATTAAAGATACAATTAATGTTTCCCGGACTGACTATTGCTTTCCAAGAGATGGGATTTCGATACACCGCGCCTGCGATGACCGAACAGTTTTAAGGGGGAAATATTCCATCCTGTCTATGGGGTCACATTATCTCCGGAACATTCATAACTATCACAGTCAGGTTGTCCAGATAATTTTCCTTGATGAATCATTCCACTCACTACATGTGGCTATCGGCAGATGGACACAAAGCACCCATAGACCATCAGGCAAAATAACCTTGTCATTGTTTTGCTCGCCGCAACCCATGAAATGAGGCTTATTGATGGATGTGTGCTAGTTTTCGAGTCGAAAATGAAAACTGGTGAATTTGTTAAAGACATTATAGGAGGTGATGTGTTCATAGAATAGAGTTATAGCCCATTTTAAACGACGTCAGTGTCATTGTCATGGATAACGCCAGTTAATATAACGTATCACATACTGTCGCCCCTACTATGAGTAGTCTGAAGGCGACCATACAGGAATACATGACATTGTCGACTTCAGACCATCTGAAACGAAAGTTCAACTCATGAAGAAAAATTCGGCTGAATAACAATCTCATTAAAATCAGATCTTAGTTCTAAACTTATCGCTAAACCAAGATCTGAGGACATCCCATTACGGGTCACGTCAGAACGACCTTTCATCCGACCAATCAAAGCGTCGCTTACCAGATCATGAAAGTGGCAGTCGGAATGTGTTTTCTAATCATGCAACCTCGGAAATATGAACACGAGGTATTCCTAACGATTGTAACGGCCCGTACGACTGATTCCGTCAAAATTATCGCCTATCTCTCGCTTCCGTGGTATAAACATTTGAACGGAGGAGGCGTTGTACAGTACGTGGGGAGCACTGCCATACAATCTCAACCATATATTAGACATTCCGGAATGTTCGTTTGTTCAGTTTTCAATATTTGAATCGAGAACTGTGTCAACATATGTTTCAAGCGTAGTCTGAAATGGAAGTCGCCAGGTTGAAACGAGTGCCGTAAAGCTCGAGAAAGCTGCTTTCTAATTGGCTGATGTCGACTTCTTGTCAGTCATTTCAAGTTCGCGAATGTTCGTTCTGACGTGACCCGTCATGGGATGTCCTCAGATCTTTGTTTATCGGCAGCCATAACTTAGATCTGATTTTGATGAGATTGGCTGAATAGGAAACCTGCTGGCGGCACAACACGGGCACGTGGTCTCACGCACGCCAGTCAGACATTGTGAGCTCAACACTGCTGTTCCTATCTTGGCTATGCGTAAAGAGTTCGTGGCAAGACATAACACAACATTCAATTGTACAGATTCATATACGTCATCAGCGGAGATAGATGCTACCTCAAGAAACCACCTGTAGAACAACAAATACCTCAACCTTCCAATACTACTCCCGTTTCATAGCTTTTAACTGGTCCATCATGTTTCCAAGTAAATATAATGCTGTACATATCCACAATTGCTACCCCATCAACGCACATTTCAATCAAGTACAATAACAGCAATATTTTGAGACCCACCCCAACTCGGGTGACATTTGCACCTGTCAGAACGCACGGGGCGGTGTGAGGTCATCACCTCGAGACAGGTGTTAGGTTATAGGCCGTTTCATACATGCATGACAACACACGAATAATTAAGTACATTTTCCGGGTAAACACAAGGTCAGTTAGGACAGGCAAGATTAGGTCAATTTGCGTTATTTTGATATATGTTCTTCTTATAGTCCTATCACTTGTATTTATTAGATGAAGCCAGAAATGCATTTATCTAGCATTTCCGACAGTACTTTAACCTGGCAGGTTGTCACGGAAACATATGACGTCATCCATGTTATTACCGACGGAGTAAGGAGGCAGGTGGTAAGATATTAAAACTCTATGTCACACGTGTGCCGTGCAAGGTTGACCTCGTTTTATTCATTTTCATGGGATAACCGGTCGTGGATAGAGGTCATGTTTCCACTGTACAAGTTATATATATATATCTTAACGGAGATATACTACAGGCATATAATCAAGCTTTATCCATTTGTCATGTCCATAAATAGATCGAGGTTTTGAGGACGACGCCTTTGAACGTGATATGCTCCCAATGACTTGATAAATGTCTGATCACTTTGAGCTGTCCTCCCAGATCAAGCTGTGTGAACGTTTATGTTAACGTAAGAGGATAATCTAATTAATATCTGTTCTTCTGCCATCAGTTGCAAACTTTTATGCGTCTATACATAGTTGAGCTGACGTGGTTTTCTTTTGGTTTCAAAAAGACAAATTTGTGTGTACAAATTAAATCAAACACATGTAGCTTCAAGCGAAAATTTTCGGTGAAGTAAATCTCTTCTCATTCAACTTTGATTGGAAAACAACCTGTTTTGTGTTGAAAGTCGTCATCAGACGAATATGTGTACCTTACACAATTTACATACTATATTTACACACCTAAGTTGATTTTCATGTGAACGCATAGTAAATTTACATATACACACGTATGTATAGTTACACCTGTGCAAAATTACTTACGTTAGTATATGTTGTGCATGTGAACGGGGTATGAGACCATCATGATTGCCCTGTACTAAATGGCAAGGAAAGGATGTACAGTCAAGACGTCCAGGAAGCCGAACCATGTTGATTGTTTAGCGGGGATGTGGGAGTGTGATTGACCGACCGTAGGTCCGAGATTCAGAGAGCGTCTTGGTTTGACATTTTACGAGTTCTTACTGCTGTACTGCGTACTTAAAACTGCGGGGGCGGTCGGGTAGCCTAGTGGTTAAAGCGTTCGCTCGCCACGCCGAAGAGCCAGGTTCGATTCCCGACATGGGTACAATGTGTGAAGCCCATTTCTGGTGTCCCCCGCTGTGATATTGCTAGAATATTGCTAAAAGCGGTGTAAAATCAAACTCACTCACTCACTCACTCACTTTTGTTGCTTGCCACCACACAGCAGTAATCGATACATGCGTCATATGATATTGTCCCCGCCTGTCCAGTGCATCACTGTAAGTATCTGTTTAACACATGACCATTACTATCCAACTTCTACAATAAAGTCTACTGCCACTTACCGAGTAATGTTATTACGACATCTCCAACGAATTTGATGACGTTGATGACCCTGCAACCTCGTCCCGAATCCATGGCGTCCACTCGTCCCTAACCGTGGCGGCGTTCCTGGCTGTGCTGTTTATGTTAACAGATCAGCCACAACAGGAACAGTTATCAACAATCATGTGACGGCGTTATAACGAGGGCGTAGTATATTCCGTGTCCGTGTATACATTGTGTGAACCGGAACTACTCAGATAAAAGGTTTATATATTAACGTTATGGTTTAAACAAACCCGACATATAATCAGGGTCGAAGTGACGTAAGTTGATATGCTGGTATATATTTATAATGGTTACTGTCGTTGTTGTTGTTGTTGTTATTATTATTATTATTATTATTATTATTATTATTATTTGATGCAAGATATGCGAGTTTATACACACATGTACACAGGTGTCATTGATCACTTGATGTGTCATTACTGACGTCATTTAGTGACTTACCATATATCATTATTCATTATCGGTGATTTTCTTTAATTTCTGCATTCATTATTGTGACCCGTGAAGATCCGGATAAAAATCGATCTTCAGGAAGCCATGCTTGTCATATGAGCCGACTAACGGGATCGGGTGGTCAGGCTTGCTGACTTGGTTAATGCATGCGTTTTCGAACTACGTAGATCGATGTTCATGATGTCCATCCCTAGATTGTCTGGTCTAGACTTAATTACTTATAGACCGCCATCATGTAGCTGGAATATTGCAGAGTGTGTCGTTAAACAAAAAAACAAAGGAAACATGTATCATTTTATTTGATTTCTGCATTATTTTTCTGTAGTTTTCTATGATTTCTGCATTCATTATCTGTGATTTCCTTTTATTTCTGTGTTCATTATGTGATTTTCTTATATTTCCATGTTCTTTATCCTTGAATTTATTATATTTCCATGTTTATTATCCTTGAATTTATTATATTTCCATGTTTATTATCTGTGATTTCCTTTTATTTTTTGTGTTCATTATCTGTGGTTGTCTCTGATTTCTGCATTTATTATCTGTGATTTTCTTATACTTCCTTGTTCATTATCTGTTATTTTCTTTCATTTCTGTGTTTCTTATCGTCACCCATAAATTTAAAATAATTTACAAGTGTCTTTACGGTATTGTCTTTCCTTCTAGGTGTACGTGTATGTAAACGTGTACCTCATATCTTATCTATATTATCTGTAGTGATGACACAGTATGAGGTGTCACATCGCCTGTGTAGATATAGGTATATGAGGTCACTTTCACTGCTCTAGAGTGTCATCGTTAAATAGATTTCATATAGAATAAAATTACTAATTTTCAAAATTTTATCATAGGTACCAAGAGCATAGGTGCTCCGAGAGCTGGCTAAAATGAGTATCGGGTGGTCACAATGTGTCATCTGGCTCATGTTTCTTCGTATCCCGATGATGATCTGTTTGATGTGTGAGGCAATGTGATGTCGAAGTAACGGCATGCAACTATTGTATTACAGTATTGAGGACATAGCTATGGCCAGGGGCATCCTTGTTTGGCTAAACAGTTTCTAAGATGTAAGATTATTTATTTAACTTCGTCAACAATGGCTCAGCTTCAGTGATGACGGAGACGCCGAATGAATGAGTGAGTGAGTATGGTTTTACGCCAATATTCCAGCAATATCACGGCGGGGGACACCAGAAATAGGCTTCACACGTTGTATCCATGTCGGGAATCGAACCCGGGTCTTCGGTGTGACGAGCGAACGCTTTAACCACTAGGCTACCCGACCGCCCCCGGAGACGCCGAAAGTAACATGCACACATTATTAGCTGCACAAGATGCAGTGATTTCTTGGCCATACAAACACGATTTGATTGCATCTTTCAGAAAAGAAATACAATGTAAAACTTTATCCAAATACTATATTTCATTGTCTCAATGTCAAACAAAATACCAAATATCTGGACTTTTGGCTTGCACAACTAAGGAATAATCATAATGAAGTTAGTTGGGAATAGATTCTTAAACATATTTGTTTTAATTCACCCAAAATATAGGTTTTAACAAAGTCCCCTAAAGTTTCACTCTTACCTCTTCAGTCGGTAAGGAGACCAGTCGGAAATTGAAGAACGTGGAGACAACGTACAACGCGCCATGATATTAACTGACGTAGCCCTTCACTCGCATGATCAAGTGCCATGTATCTCTAGATGTATTTATATTCTGTTTATTTGCAGTTACCGTATTCGACGTAATAAGCGCCCAGGGCGCTCTCAAAATTAGAAATAGGGGGCTCTTATTAGAATATTATTTTGGTGAAAAAAACAGAGTTAAAGGATAAATTTCGTGGTTTATGCTGACAGCCTGAAATGTTTATATACGACAGATATATTTTTCCAGAATTTAATTGCCCATGATTAAGGGTGCATGTAAGACACGAGTGCGTATTATACGCGAATAAATAAGTTGTGTGTACATTGATCAGTCGGAAGATGTGCTAATTGGGATTGTTCACTAGCCAATATGTTAGCAAATATCGCCGTGGGCGCTTATTAGAGCGGGGCGCTTATTACGTCGAATGCGGTATGTGGATAATTTGTGTTCCAGATTCATTGGTTTCTAAAACGGGCCATTACCATTTTTAACAACCTCTCTGGCCTGCGTTATTGTGAAAATACACTGACTGGTCTCTAAATAGTCATCCCAAAATACGCATACCATGACAATACAAAGCGACAAAAAACATTTTCATAATCATAAGAAATCTCTGCTAACAGCAAAGTCCATTGTACGATCTCTACTAATAGCAAAGTCCATAGTACGATTCCAACAATATCATGAGTATATGTTTATGAATTATTATCAAATTATCATGATACCGGATGTTTGCGAAAAGGTGAGAGTATTCTGCCCTGCTTCACAAGTAGCACCGTCATAAACACATGCAAAGGCAATGCAATTGTTCACTTGAAAAAACACGGGAACATATTGTACAAGTCAAAATAGGGAATTGCACCAGAAATATGGTGTAAATATTTCATTGTCTAATTATAAAACAAATGCCAAATAAATGGCTTTTCATGTGAATAAAATCCAGAGGCCAAATACCAGAACCAATGACAGACCCTATCATTAAATACCATTATTACGGATCAAAAGTGTTTGTTTTGCTAGTTATTACACTGGGCGTTCAATAACTCTGCTAAACCAACCACTTTACAATGGGAGAAAACGGGACATAATCGGCGACATTTGCGTGATCAGATTAAAATAAAGATGCTCACGGTATTTCATGGACGTGGTCGTTTAATTCCATGTATTATGTATACGATTTCGTGACAACAGTGAGCTGACACGAAATATTTACGCACATATCACCGTTGAAAATGGGGTGTGTGTCATTGTTTACATTTCACCGATGTGACGACCACTTTCGAGTCTCGAAACAGCTTAAATAATGTTTTCCTTCACTAAAAGTGAACAATGGACGTTATTCTCGTGATATATACATTGCAAGAGCATTGATGAAAATGCTAAGAAAAAGATTTAACCACCCGTTCTAGCGTTTTTCTATAGTAAATACATGGCTTGTCCGCCATGTTTGTTCGTCCAGTGGAGGCGGCCATTGTGCAGTCATTGCCTGGGTCAGTGTAGCGCCAGCGCTGCATACCCAGGGAACCAGGCTGTAAGAAGCGCAACTCCGCAAAGCTCCTTCGACGATGAAGTCATCTGTCTCCCCACCATAATGACAATACCTAGTTCTGACCTACTATTGGCAGTGTGCTCAGCATTTGAGTGGTAAGTGTTCAATGTCATGACCACACAGTCATATTTATACACTGAAAGAAATATATGGTTATTTTAGTATTTGTATTGACCCATATGTTTTATATATGCTCAGTGTGGAAATGTTTGTGTACACGCGTTGAACACTGAGCACTTCCACTCACTGACGCTAACAAGCAAGATGTCACGCCGTTTCATTAATATTAATTTCCCCAAGCTCCACACATTGACATTGATATTCCGTTCCCAACAGCTGTCGCGAACGTTTTTAACGGCTGTCTTTGCATTATGTCACTTTTTTAGACTAACATCTAGTTTCTGCAATGAACATATCTTACAGAAAAAACAGTTGTTAAATTATCTTTATAAAAAATATCATAAAAATGAGCTCATTTCTTGATACTGCAGTAATCTAGACTTGCCAAACATTATAGACTTGCATGGGCTGTATTGGATATATTTGTAACGGGGTCTGTATGACAGACTATCACTTTTTATGAAAATGTAGAGAGGGGTCATACACTTCGCAGTCTTACCCGATGAATCAGTTGACGCCCAGTTTGGAAGTCTCAGCTGAGCAATGCCTGTCATGTATGGGTTTGTGAAAAACACGTCCTCTATTTAACACAGCGATCTGTTACCGAAGCATAATTTTGACCCCCGGGGTTTGAGCTAACAAAGGGCGACTGTACGTTATCTGAGCCACCTTATGATCATACAGGACCAAGCAACAAATGAGATGGCTCGTGACTGAGTGAGTATGCTTTTACGCCGCCTTCGGCAACAATCCAGAAACTGGAGACATGGTGTGACAGTAATGAACTACTACGTTAACTGCGCGTGTTTTGTGAAAACTCCTCTTAGACAGAGCATCCAAAGCTCCATAAAAGTAAAAAAATACCACATCCATGTTACAAATGCTACTATTGTTTTTTTTATGTTCGATTTAAACGAACTATGTCAGTTTATAAAAACCTAGAGGAATAAGATGATAGAAATTTAAAAAATTAAAATCAGATGTGTCACTTGTTCTGACCACGTGGTAAGGTTGATATGCCTTGCATCAGAAAAATACTAAAACTGGCATAAAAATAGGAAATTTCCATGTTGAGCTGTTCAATAAAAATAGTGTTTGAGGCTATCTGTGTTTGGGCTTGAACTCATTCTGTCGAGAATCCATAGTATTCTCCGAGAGCCAGGTATATTTTAGAGTGACCTCCCTTGTATCGTGTTCCGATATTTCTTCGGGTTCAAGGCATATTTGACATCTTCGTTTAAGTATTGTCAGTGTATTGCATGCTACTTTCTTTGTTGTGCTTCCTATAGAGCTGTATATCGGAACGGAATATCTGGCTGAAAAACTAAATATTGAATGGTATTATATAAGAGGAATAAGAACTTCGATCATTACCAAGGTGACTTTATTTAAGGTCAACACCCAAGCGTGAAAGTGTACGTATTTATCCAGAATGTCTGGCAGTTGGGATGCAGGCATTAGAGACATGTTGCAGTACATCATAGAACTGGTCTGTATTTCTGCAGGTGAGTCTCGAGACTTACGCTAATTATTTTACTGCCTCTTCGTTCAATTGGTATTGCACGTTCAGGATTCAGAGGTGAAATGGGGTTTAACGTCGCAAGATTATTGCACTTATATAGCGACGTGCATGTACGTGTGTGTGTTTGTGTGGCTGCTTGTACTAGTCCGGACTGATGCCGATTTATAGTGCTAGCTCACTGAGATACCATGCCGCAGTTTAACATGAATATCCCACTCAGACACAGTATACTGACTCCGAGCCGACCAGTCCTGGTTTTAGCCCCTTAATGCCGAGCGCCAGACAGGGTAACAACAAGTACTATCTTTTAACGTCTTTTGGTATGACGCGGCCGGGAATCGAACCCCGGACCTTCCGCGGGGGGCGCTCTACCACTAGACCACGGAGGCGGTCTCAGGATTCAGAAATCGAATACATTCTGTCATGTTTCTTTTCAATTTCAGTTGTGGTGGAGGCATTATTTTACTTCATTTTGGACCACCTCCGTGCTGATTTTATCCCCAGATGCGTCATATCAAAATACGTTTAAAGTACATTGTCCCTTATGATTGTTGTTACCCTGCCTGACGCTCGGCATTAAGTGGAGGCACGGGTGGCCCAGTCGTCTAAACTGCCGCGATTCGCTGTGCAGAGTTGCGTCCCTTGGGCACGCCAGAAACCTGTGATTGTGGGTTCGAATCCCGGTTCGCCCCGATTATGTTTCTAGGTTTGTCAGCACCATACCAGTGCTCGTGGGTTTCACCGAAGTGGTAAACGTCTGAGACCTGCATCACTTTCCTCCCACATTAAGCTGACACACCGTGATATTACTGGAATACTGTTAAAAGCGGCGTTAAACCCAACTCACTCACTCACACAATCGGTATTAGTGGATAAAACAAGGACTGATCGGCTCGGAGTCAGTATACTGTGTCTGAGTATGGCATTCATGTTAAAACTGCTGCATGGTATCTCAGTGGGGTAGCACTATAACGCCGCCATTTAACCATGCACGTCGCTATATACCGTATTACCTCGTTTAAACGCCTAGCCTGGATTAACGCTGAGCCTCGATTTGAAACGTCGGACCTCGATTTAACGCCGGGTAGTTTAATGCACGGAATTCCCCAGTTATTATTTTTTGTATTAAACGCCGGGAGTAAAGAGTTTCTGAAAGAAATATATGCCAGGGCATTTTATCGAGGAAATACGGTAAGTGAAAAATCTTGAACACGACGTTAAACCCTTGTTCATCACTTGTTATGACTCGATCAGCGTTATTACGTAATCGCTTCAGACATATATTTCAGGATTAACTGGTGCCTTCGTGTAAGAACACCACAACAATGGATAATTGATCGTAATTGTGCATTAATTTGCTAAACCTGTAAATGTTTTATCATGGAATGCTAAATTTGAGTTGAAATACATTTGTCTAAACATTTGACAATGAGAGAAGAAACTTAAAGACTTGACCCTTAGTTGAAGCCTAAAAGCATTCGAGACCAAAAATGCTCTGTCTCAGTTGTCTAAAACACCACAATTGTATCCTTGGTTTGTCACCACACCCGCAGTCACGTCTCTTTGGTCGCTGGGGGTACGGGTGGCCCAGGCGTCAAAGGCGCCGCGATTCGCTGTGCAGAGTTGCGTCCCTTCGGCTTGCCAGAAACCTATGATTGTGGGTTCGAATCCCGGTTCGCCCCGATTATGTTTCTAGGTTTGTCAGCAAATTCCCGTGCTCGTGGGTTTCACTCCGGGCTTTCCTCCCACATAAAGCTGACAAGATAACTGTAATACTGTTAAAAGCGGCGTTAAACCAAACTCTCTCACTCTTTGGTTTCTGCTTTCTAAGCTAACACGCCATGACACAGCTCAACTTTTAAACCCAACCCACTCACTCATTCCAGTGTGGGCCCCCCTGTTGTATCTAGAATGGTACGGGACAGCAACAGTTCAGGGGTTCTTCTGTGCTGATACAAGTCTTCAGTACCCATACCGGGAGTCAACCATGACAGCCTCCATCATGTACCCCGTCAGCTGCATCTTCCCCTTCCTCGGGGTAAGCGTCGTCAACTGTGTTGGATTGGGTAGCTAACAAACTGACTTTACTTCTTGTGCCGATTGGCAAAACACAAAGCTACATGAATATGATCGCTGCTCTTCCCATTACAATCAGTAGTTTAGATAGTCTAGCGGTTCAAACGTTGGCTTATCACACCTGCATTCGAATCCCCTCATGGGTACACCATTTTGAGGGCAGTCTCGGGTCGGTCATGAAATGCTAAAAGCGTCGTAAACCGTTCCCACTCACTCAGAGATGCATGTTGGCACTGTGCTGGCAGGGCTAGTGCAAGTCAGTTCATCTAATGTTAAGGTTATCAGAAGGCTGAAGCTGTTTTATAGGGTTTCCCTATATTATATCACTATTTCGGCTAGTAGATGTTTCACTGTGGCGTACGGGGGCACGGGTGGCCCAGTCGTCTAAGGCGCCGCGATTCGCTGTGCAGAGTTGCGTCCCTTGGGCACGCCAGAAACCTATGATTGTGGGTTCGAATCCCGGTTCGCCCCGATTATGTTTCTAGGTTTGTCAGCACCATACCAGTGCTCGTGGGTTTCACCGAAGTGGTAAACGTCTGAGACTTGCATCACTTCGGGCTTTCCTCCCACATTAAGCTGACACGCCGCGATATAACTGTAATACTGTTAAAAGCGGCGTTAAACCCAACTCACTCACTCACTCACTCACTCACTGTGGCGCACATGCAGCTGTATTGTCTACACGTTACACATAGTGACGTACGTAAATCTAGAAGAAGCTTGAAACAAAACGATTTTTAAACTTGATCAACTTAGCACAGCGGGACGGGAGGACGGGAATATTAACCTATTTTTTATTTGAATTTATGACACTTTTACCCTGTCGGAATTTTCTTTATATTTCAGGTAATAATTAACATTTATTGTGGGTGGAAAACGAACAGCCTTTCAGTAAAGTCCGTCTACAGACAAGTGCTTGTGTTCGCGTTTGGCTTTGGTCTGGCGCATCTCTTGGTGGATGTGGGCAAGTTTTATGGCGGGAGACTACGGCCTCATTTCTTTGACGTGTGCAGTCCTGATTGGTCACAAATAGACTGTTCCGTCGGTTACATCACTAATTATACGTGTCTTGGAAGCAACAAAACTCGGCTTAGAAAAATGAGGTCAGTACATAAATTTAAATAAATATTACATAAATAAACTTCAAGGCTATATCTAATTCTTTTTTCTGTATTGCTCTATGGTTTTCTCAACTTTTGATATGTTTTTTAAATATTCTGATCAGGAATAAATTATAATATTTACAGGAATCATTATCATTTCATTAAGATATGTAATATCTACGTTGTCCGCAACATATCGAAGATTCTGGAGTAGAATAGGTCTTCAGCAACAGTTGCTTGCCGTAAAAGGTGACTATGCTATGCCGGCAAACGGGATCGGGTGGTCAGGCTCGCTGACTTGGTTGATGCATGTCATCGATCCCAATTGAGTGGATCGATGCTCATGATATTAGTCGATGGATTGTCTGGTCCAGACTCGAATATTTATAGACCGCCGTCATATAGCTGGAATATTGCTGAGTGCGGCGTTAACCAACAAACCAACCAACCGCAACATGTCGCTTATAAATAGGAATTTGAGGGCAAATAAAAATCAAAGAAAAATTAAAAGTTTGTCGTGCGTGCCACAATCTCATTAAAATCAGACCTTAGTTCTCGCTACCCCTAAGCGGTAGCGAGAACTAAGATCCGATTTTAATGAGATTGTGCGTGCCATTGCATGTAAATTTGAAGGGGATGTCCAGTGGCCAGAGATTAAACCTTAATATGGTTATGTCGACGTTTTAGGGGCAAATTATCTTTCAATGTCATTTCAATAAATCAGTTCTTCCTCTGTTGCATTACTTTAGGAACTCAAGCCAAACAAAAATCCAAACAGATTCAGAATAACAGAGAGATGTTTGACGCAGAAAACGAATGATTGACCCCGAATGTTTAACGCCCCTTTGAACATTGTTTCAGTTCAAACACAGAATTTGTGTATTTGATTTGTTTGTGTAGTTCTCATTTAAAAAAGTTAAAATACGGTCGACATGAAATGGTGTTATATGTGTATGAAATATTGTCTTAAGGAACCTGCTATGGTATGGTAACCTGATATTATCAATGCAAAATGTTTGATTAATACCTTTATTATACAGACTGTCGTTTCCGTCCGCTCATGGAAGCTGCATATGCTATGGCGTCGTCTTCTTCATAGTGAGTACTACTGAACAACAGTTAACAAGCATTCGGCTAGGTTAAAACTGCTCCTGAATTTGTATACTGAGCCTGAAGACAAAATGAACTTTTCTCTTGTTATTGGTTGGGCTAAGTCGATGCAATAACGCAGCTCTCTCTATTTCCAGTAGTTTGTATGTTAGTGGGAATTAGGTAATTTTTTTCAAAATCATACGCCCCACAACCATGCCAACATCCGCTGGTACTCAAATTCCAGATTCGCTCTTATTATGATCCCGTTTTGCATTTTCCCACATCATGGCATTCGTCACTACTCGCCCCTTTCCGTAACCTGCAAGAAGATCATTCGTCACCACTCGCCCCTTTCCGTAACCTACAAGAAGACTCGTCCCCCTATCGATGAATGTTATGTGCGAAAATACGACAAACCAATCAGAATGCGCGTATGATTTCAAGTTCTTCGTCAAAGAAGCCCTCAGAAATAATATTTGATTTTACATATGTCTTGCATCTAAAAATATACCCAAGACACAGTTAAATGTGTTCAAACATATTGTATAATTCCGCATGTCCAGATGTGCTTTAAGTTTTAGGTATGCCCGTTCGCAAATATGGCCACGAGAGGGGCACGAGTCGCTATTCGGCTTGTCCCGGAATAACACGAGTTGGTCACGAATGTGCCCATGGGTTAACCAAAAGGTTACGCCTACGGCCTACGTTACGTTGGGCTTTCCCCCAACAAAAGGACTTTACAAAAAGATGAATGGGGAACAAGAGATGATCTTGTTATTTCTTTAATAGTTAACAAATGTATGACAGAAAACAGTATTCTTTTAAATACCACGTGACTTCTTTTGAACACCCCTTCCGTAGCTCGACCGCCTCGCTTGTCCAGTGGAAAGAGCGTCTGCCCGGAGGGTAGAAGGTCGATGGTTCGAGCACCGGCCGTGTCATACGAAAATACGTTTAGATATGGTACTTGTTGTTACCCTTCCTGATGCTCGGGGATAAAACAAGGACTGGTCAGCCTGTGGCATGTTATCTCCATGGGCTAGATCTATAAAACAAGCATTAGTACAGACTCGTAAAAGAAGTCACACACACGTGCATGCACGTCGCTATATATACTCAACAACAAAAGTTCCTGTGACACCAATATTTTAGTGTATTTTTCAAACATATTGGTTTTCAATATTGTAGTACGTGTATGGAATTAAGTCACAAAAACACAAATGCTACAGAAAGGCATGCATTCTATGCAAAAGTTGACTTTTATGCAAGCCCCATGCACTTCATTACCCAAGAATGGGTTTAAAAACATGTGCGTTAACGGGATTCCATATGCATTGTTTAGTATCGTGCTGACAACAACCACTCAGAAAAACAACAAAATTACGCAATTATTCAACATTACGAAATGCCACGCCTGTCTCAAAATGAGCGTCTGCGAGCCATTGGTATGCTTGAAGCAGGATCGCGTCAACGTGATGTTGCAAGACAATTTAACGTCCACAGAAACATCATTTGGTGTTTATGGCAACGTTGGCAACAGACGAATGCAGTCAGAGACCATCCTCGGAGTGGCAGGCCACGCGTAACCAATAATCGACAAGACAACTGGATTCGAAAAACACACCAACGAAATCGATTCCAGCCATGCAGCAACAGTGACTGCAAGAAGCATCCCTAGCGGCAGCGTTATGGTATGGGGTAGGATTACAGCAAGACAGAGGACCCGTTTGATAGTGGTAGAGGGAAATTTCAATGGACAGCGCTACCGCGACGAGATCATCCGCCCTGTTGTTCTACCGTTTTTGCGTCGTCATGGCCCAGGCATTACCTTTCAACATGACAACGCCCGACCTCATATTGCTCGACTTGTTCAGGAATCTCTTCAACAAAACAACGTGAATGTCATCCCCTGGCCGGCTCGCTCCCCTGATATCTCACCAATCGAGCACATGTGGGATGAGATGGATCGGCGCCTTCGACGTCAACCAGGAACACTCCAGGTGCTTCGAAACATGCTCCAGCAGATATGAACAGATATCCCATAGGACTTTGTGCGACGCCTGGTCCATTCCATGAGACGAAGGTGTGTTGCTTGCATCGCAACCAGAGGTGGACACACATGCTATTGATTTGTAAATTGACATTTAGGCATGTTCATGGTTGTTTTTTTTATGAAATCACGCATTTTCTGAAGTGAGTATTGCAAATTAAACCATTTGAACACTTACAGGACTCTTTTATCTGTTGCAAACCGAAATTGTTTCAGATTTGGTAAAAAGCATAACTTTGCATTAAATCTTATTCAATGTCACAGGAACTTTTGTTGTTCAGTATAAGTGCAATAGACTTGAACGCGACGTCTGAACAAACGAAATTAAGCTGACAGACTGTGATTTAACTAAAATACTGCTCCAAGCAACCTTTAAGCTTTACTAAAATACTGTGATGTCAATGTAGGTGTATATCCAGTCCCGGAACTTAAAGAAGCACCTGGGAGTGATGCCAGCGACCCTGCTACAAGCTGCAGCCGTCTGTCTCGCATTCTACACGTGCATCACGCGAATAACAGACAACAAACATCACGCGACTGACGTCATCGCCGGTGCTTGTGGGGGCTCTGCTATAGGTTATTGGATGGTACGTATGAGTGAGTGAGTGCGTTGAGTTGAGTTTAACGCCGCTTTAAAGGTATTCCAGTTATATCACGGCGTGGCAGGTTGATGTTGGAGCGAACATGGATTCGGACACACAAGCACAGGCGTTTGGCTGCCCAACAGACGCGACTCCGCACAGCGAATTGCGATGCCTTTAACGACTGGGCCACTGGTAATTGTTGTGGAGCCTCGATGTATGGAGTTCTGAAAACTGATTCAATAAGAAAGTAATGAGCCGATTAAAACAGCATCGGAGATCGTCCTCATGATGGACACGTGAAAGTGATCACATCTTTACACTTGCGGAATTGATATATATCAGGAGCTGATACATATGGCTATTTAGATTAATCTCTTGGACACACCTTACAGACCAGGGAATCTGTTCATCTCTCCTATGAAAGAAAGACCATCGAAGTTTGCTGTCGTTTAACAGTTAAATCACAAATATGTTTTTCAAACCTTGACGTCTGAAGGGGAATTCAAACTTCAAGTGACTTATAAAAGAGTTAACAGTATATTAATGTTCTTAATTGTAAGATATTTCAGATATATTAATATGTGTTTAGTCCCTGCTTGTAATGCTGTATTGTTGATATATAACCTGCGGAGAACAACACTTGCTCCCTCCACCCTTGTCAACGACTTCACACGGCTGATGATAAAATAGTACCTGGTTTATTTTTCAGGTCAGCTTAAACTGATTTCGGAATCTTTGTCATTTTCAGGCAGCGCTTCTGCAGAAACTTCCGGAACCATTGTCTCACATGAAGAAGAAATCCTAATCCACAATAGTGTGTTATGTAGTGTTGTTTTGGGTTTTTTTGTAAATAAAACAAGAAAATGGTTGAAGATTATTTGCGTTTTCTTTCAACAGAGAATGACAAATTTGAATATTTGTATTCTCTAATTGGAGTAAGACAAAGGCGGCAGTGTTATCGTTCGATGAACTCATTACTAATCCTGAGAACAAATTGATCAATAACGTATAGGACGTGTACTTATTTTCTATCGATCATCACGGTAAGAGTGGACGAAACTGAAGATCAGTCTGTTTCTTTATTTGCTTGTTTGTTTATTGGTGGTTAACGCTGCACTCATATTCCAGCTATATGATGGCGGTATGCACATAATCGAGTCTGGACCAGACAATCCCGTGATTGACATCATGAGCATCGATCTTCGCAATTGATACATGATGACATGCATCAACCAGGACAGCGAGCCTGACAACCCAATCCCGTAGGTCGTCTCTTATGGACCGGTCATTTATTACAGGGGTGGGTGGGTCGGGAGGAATCGGGGAGCGACCCCAAAAAATATGACAGTTTATAGGGGAGGATCATCAAACACAATACACATATTTTGGGAGGGTCGTGAAAAGAATGGTCATTTTATAATAATATATTATTGCTTTTGAATTTTGTCTTTTCAGGGAGGCTCATGAGAAAAATGTACAAGGACATGGGGATGATCATCCACACATATGACAAGCATTAGGGGGGAGGGGGGTAAAACAATTTCAGTACATTAGCGCATCAAACACCACTGACCCCCGGAAATCAGAAAAGGACTCCTTACGATTTACCAATGTGGGAACTCGAACCCGGACGAAATTGGAACCCACTTCCAACACATGTGACACCCGATCTGTCCGGAATGTCCACGTGGGTCACAACATCGGACTTGAAATGAGGGTAGGGAACGTTTCAGGACAATACTTATCATTTCTTTGTGAAACTTTGTTTTGAGTTTCCAAGGCAAAAAGTTGAGGAGAAATGGGGTTTAAAATTATTAAACTTACATAGCGACGTGCATGCGCGTGTGCGTGTGTGTGCACGCGCATATTAGTCCTAGTTTTAACCCTTAATGCCGAGCGCCAGGCAGGGGAACAAAAACAAGTACCCTCTGTTAGCGTCTTTAACTATGCACTGTTGGGGATCGAACCCCCGACCTTCCCCTCTCCAGGCAGACGCTCTACCACTAGACCACAGAGGCGGTCAGTTGTACTTGAAGGTTGAACTGAAGTCTTGGTTTGCTTCCGTAGTGTAAGTGATCAACATTTCTTTGTGAAACTATGTATGCCCATGCAAGTGCTGAATTGCTGTCTTTTGCTTTTCTGGTGTTTTTAGTAAATTGTTAGATTTTTTATGTTTCTAGGGCTATAACAAACTTCTGGGCGATGGGGTAGCCTAGTGGTTAAAGCGTTCGCTCGTCAAGCGGAAGACCCGGGTTCGATTCCCCACATGAATACAACGTGTGAAGCCTATTTCTGGTATCCCCAGACGTGACATTGTCGAATATCGCTGAAAGCGGCGTAAAACCATACTTACTCACTCACTCTAACAAATTTCACTGCAATAAGGGTTTTAATTTGCGGAGCATAAGTCATAAACCATTTCGTATATCAAATGCCATACAATCGGCTTATTTGGGACGCCGGATTAGAATAGGTCAGAGGCGGCTGAATGGATCGGGTGTTCGTACTCTGCGTGGGTGCGTTACTCATAATGCATTCACAAAAGGCATGATACATCAATTCTGGAATTGTGTTTTGAAAATGTATGTAACATTGCTTTTGAATGAAAAGCTCTGTAATGAAAAGAACCATTACTAATTCACATAATTGGAAGGCATAGCAATTACTTAAGAAAAGAGGGAATCATTTGGTTTAATCACCAATCAAAATGTCAGTTGTACCCTCAAGGTTTAGGATTAATCTGTTTTGATAAAATGAAACATATGACATATGTTTATGCACATATGTAATAGGGAAGGGAATTTTGATGGCTTTGTTTTATTAGTAGTTTAACAATCTTTCAGGCATCGAACAATGTCGTTTGTTATTAATCCTATACACAACGCCCTTCGTGTCCTAATTTCATGAAGAGAATCCAAAAACGACTTGATTTGGCTACACTCGACAATATGGATCCTATTTCCACAGTAGGTCTAGACTCTGAAATTAGTATTGTGTTAAATTGAGACATACAGACTGTGTCATTAGAATAATCGTATATTGTCAGTTAAGAGAGGAATAATTTGTCTAAATAGCCTCATCAAACATTCCCAGACTCGCCGCTCTTTAAATAACACAATAAGCACTCGGACAAGTAAAACGTGGCATTAAATCTTAAAGCTATCAGGAGTTACAGGTTGTGTCATAAAGGAGTCATCAGACCAGGACAGGGTATTGGGGACCAATGCCGATCCAGAATACTACCATGGGGCAAGCATGGGGTACTGAGGTCCATGTTGATCCAGAATACTACCATGGGGAAAGCATGAGGTACTGGGGTCCATTCTGGTCCAGAATACTACCATGGGGCAAGCATGGGGTACTGAGGTCCATTCTGATCCAGAATACTACCATGGGGCAAGCATGGGGTACTGAGGTCCATTCTGATCCAGAATACCTACCAAGGGACAAACATGGGGTACTGAGGTCCATTCTGATCCAGAATACTACCATGGGGCAAGCATGGGGTACTGAGGTCCATTCTGATCCAGAATACTACCATGGGGCGAGCATGGGTTACTGAGGTCCATTCTAGTCCAGAATACTACCATGGGGAAAGCATGGGGTACTGAGGTCCATTCTGATCCAGAATACCTACCAAGGGACAAACATGGGTTACTGAGGTCCATTCTGATCCAGAATACTACCATGGGGCGAACATGGGGTACTGAGGTCCATTCTAATCCAGAATACTACCATGGGGCAAGCATGGGGTACTGAGGTCCATTCTGATCCAGAATACTACCATGGGGCAAGCATGGGTTACTGAGGTCCATTCTAATCCAGAATACTACCATGGGGAAAGCATGGGGTACTGAGGTCCATTCTGATCCAGAATACCTACCAAGGGACAAACATGGGTTACTGAGGTCCATTCTGATCCAGAATACTACCATGGGGCGAACATGGGGTACTGAGGTCCATTCTAATCCAGAATACTACCATGGGGCAAACATGGGGTACTGAGGACCCATACTGATCCAGAATACCTACCGTGGGGCGAGCATCAGGTCCTGAGGACCCATACTGATCCAGAATACTACCATGGGGAAAGCATGAGGTACTGGGGTCCATTCTGATCCAGAATACCTATCGTAGGGCAAGCATGAAGTACTAGGGACCCATACTGATCCAGACTACATACCATGGGGCAAGCATGAGGTACTGGGATCCATTCTGATCCATAATACCTACCACGGTGTAAGCCTGACCACCCGATCCCGTTAGTCGCCCCTTATGACAGGCATGGGCTGCTGAAGACCAACTCTTCACCCTGATATTCACAGGTCTCCCATGTGTGAACCAGCTATGATCCGAAATATGCACTATGGGGTGTTACTCATTCCTTGGTTGTACGACTTCTTTTGACACAATTACTGATTCATAGAACACAGATAGTCTCGTATATTTGGATCTTCTCAAAATAAAACACCAAAAGAGGACTAGGAAGCAAACGCCACAAAGTAGACAATGAAGCGTACGTAAAATCGTTACAGTATGCGTATAACAGTACTTTTGTACCCGTGTGGCGAGCTATACCACCGTCAAAAACAAGTGCGTTTTGTCAAAGCCTACAACATTGGTTACAATGAATACCATGGTGAATTGATATGTAGTATAAATACATATTCAGGTATGACTGGACCTCGTTAACCGCATTCATCATCAGCTCAATACATGTGATATATGGTCTTCAGAAACCCATGCTAGAATTGGTCTTTAGAAACCCATGATTATCGTACGAGGCGATTAATGGGATTGGTTGGTCAGACTCAACAACAATTGCGTGGATCGGTGTTCGTGATGTCAGTCACTGGATTGTCTGGTACAGACGCGATTACTTACAGACCGCCATCATATACTTGTAACGGGAATATTGCTGAGTGCGGCGTTAAACAACAAACAAACATGCGAGATTGTTGGTCGGGCATTGAGTGAGAGCACGTGAGTGTGTTGGTGGACCAGTAGACTGTCATACAGACCCTGATACAATATATCCAATACAGGCCATGCATGTCTATAATGTTTGGCAAGTCTAGATGAAGAGAGTCTCTGGGCCCCTTTTTATTATATTTATATTAAGATAATTTTAAAAATGTTATTTTCTCGGTAAGATATGTTCATTTTCAGAGACTAGATGTAAGTCTTGTGGGTCAGTCAATGCGTCGGTTCGTTCGTATTGAGCAAAGGTGCGTTCCTAAGAGAGGTTAAGAAATTCCGAATTCTCCAGAGAGGTTAAGAAATTCCGAAAGACCAATAATTAATTTATGTTTTGCCACGAGAATTATTCATTCTGAATCCATGATCTGATTGACTCATTTACCCAATTAAATATGAGATTTTGTTGAATTATAAGTCAAGTCGATCTATTTGGTCACAGCTGAAAAATGGGCCGTCGATTGGCTAATTAATGCCCTGTGTTCAAAATAGAAAGAAAGATACGGTTACTATCTTATCAAGCCTCATTATTGAGATCAAACTAAACAGACTATGTTTTAATTAACTGGGTTTTTTTAACAAATGTGGCACTCTTTGAAATAAACATTCCAACTACTCATAAACATGTAAATGTATAATTGATACATGTGTTACTGTGTGGGGATTCCAGGTTTGATTCTGGTTCTCATCAACCCATGATTGTGGTGGGAGACAACTAATGGATCGAGTGGTCAGGCTCCCTGACTTATTTGACTTACGTGTCTCATGTCCTCATGCACAGGAAAACGTATCTGTACAAAAAAAAAGTATAAAAATATTCGGCCTCATAGGATACATATGGGTCAATATAAATATTTTTATATACGAAGTTTTGTGCCTCGTGATACCATACAGATAAAAAGAACCTTATTAAACTGGGGGAACGAAAAGAAATAACTTCCGCATTTCATGCGAGCCACGGAAAAAAATAGTCATTTTCAGACTGGCTTTATTTCCTTGATGCCAATGTAAACAAATCAGAGTTCATTCCCCTGAATTAATTTACTCGTGTATAGATGGCGTAGTTCGGTGACTTCCGTATTATCCAACGTGATTGGCCGAACCGTCATCCATCGTAATTTACTACCAAAATACCGCCAGAGGTGGATCACACTTCTCGCGCTGCCTGCTTGACAGCTGAAACGTTAGACATGCAATTCGACCTAAAATGACAACAATCTACACTTTTGTGTTTTCGGGAGTGGATATTATATGTGACTTGTATTGTAGGAATGTGAAAACGAAGGATTTACTTCACCCACCTTGTGTCGTCGTTCAAAGGGGTCGGCCAGTGTGCCGAGCGTTTGAACTTTAGTCACTTGCTAAAAACATGACAGAAAATCACGAGAGGAAAGATGACAACACTAGTGTCCGAGTTGCAATTAGGTACGTACATCTGGTAACATTTTGATAGTCATATAATATCACATCTGAATCCTTACTGGTCGCAAAACGGTCGTTATCTAACGCGACCAGGTGATGTGGAGACTTCCAAATCACACCTCCCGAGTCGTGTTTGGTTTGTAAACAAAGCAAACTGACTCCCAATTATATGTTGTGAGACGAAAGACAACTCTTAGACTTATCATTAATATATTTATCAATAGACTTGGGATAATTTTGCGTCAGCTAGTGTTACGTTTTCATAATCCTTAGACTATTTTTTGTTAGGCAAGTCTGAGTCAGCCGAAATATTATGATCTTTGTTAGGTTAAATTAGTCCTTAGGCCTAGTTATTTATCGATGAGAGAAAGATTTCATCAGTAGATGAAAGAACTTTCATGGTTTTGCTACCATGTCTGTGCATCTACCTAATTTCAATATTTTCAAGCTTTTGCAATATGGCTGTTAATTTTGCTGACAGGCGTAAAAAGACACTCTTGTTCAGCCCTGCAGGAACTGAATGAGGAAATATTCCCAACACAACACAACAACGGAAACAGCTATACAGCATTACAGGTCACAAAAAGCACAATTGAAATGCCTTGTCCTCCAGTGTCCTCCAGTGTCCTCCAGTGTGTAGCTTATAAGTTATATAGCAGAATCTTGGACAACTAATTAGCCTGTGATATAACAAGTGTGTGGGGGTCATAAAGTTAACGAGCATACTGTGTTGATATTAATAGGCGTTAAAGGCATATTGCACTACCCTGCAAGTTAATTCAATGATACATACATGTGCCGTTCATGGAGTTGTGAAAGGAACTTTGTTTTTCATGTGCTGTAATCTTATTCATGCAATACAGGGTTATAACTTAACACCAGCCCGCTAGCCAAGGTCTCGCACAAATTCTTGAGGGCAAGTAAAAATTTCCCCACTGTTTTAACATTACAAGGGCATTTTAATCTTTACCCTGAATTGCTTTTTAGTTTGGTTCTAACCCTGTTATATGACATCAAACCATTTGATGTCTACGATAAATAATATCTCTGTTCAATTGTAAGAGACAGGGTGAGAAACACTAGCCCGGAACAAATTCCTGCAGGCTAGTATAAACTTCCCAATTTGCCCACTGTTTTAATTTTACAAGGGCATTTTGTCTTAACCTGGGCTAGTAGTTCTAACACTGAAGAGAGTATTACATTTTTTTCCTGTCCAACTATAATGATGTACAACATGTTGTCAATTATCAACTGGGTTTGTGAAGTGGGATGAGAGGCAGTTGACACACTTCCGAATTTGTGTATTATTTTATTTGCATAATTTGAACTCTTCTGTTATGCTGAACTAACATCTCCCTATCGATCACAATGTCATGGGTTCCTTGTAACAGCCCTAATGTTAAGGGTTTAGGAGCCCCCAACATTCAAATACTACAGGAGTCAACCTCAAAGACCCTACTTTATTTCTGATATGGTGGTACTTGTTTTTGATGCTATGTGATATAAATTCAGCAAACTATGTTGAATCTAATAGAGGTCCCTTTGCTCTGTACACATGTGAACAATAACACCATACCAATGATTAACAAAGTAATTTCAACTTTAATTCCAAACACAAGACTGTTAAATGAATTACCAGTAAGAGTACAGCTCCTCTCTTCTCAAAAATGACATGGACAAGAAGAACTCCCTAAGTTTCATCATCCTTAGTTTATAACACAAGGACATGACATGCATTGCTGATAAATTTGCAGAAAGATTTGATAATATTGTCGTTTCCAAAGTTTTATTAAACCCATATAATTTTTTAATTTCAAAATTATTTCTTGGAATACCAACCTATTTGATAGACATGGACTAGCAAACTGAATGAAAATGTGTGGCAAACTGAGCATGGCAATTACAAAGTCAGATTCTTAACTAGCCTGTGGTAGAGTAGGAAAAGAAACCCCCACAAACACTGAATTATTATCCAGTATATGATCTCTCATGTGTGTTGTTGGTACCAGTAACCACTCAAAAGACAGAATTTGCATCCACACATATCGATAATCTTATGCATAGGATCCACTTATCAGCAAAGTACTGCCTCCGTCGTGTAGTGAATAGAACATCTGCCCTGAGAGAGGAAGGTTTGTGGTTCAATCCCTGGTTCAATCACGTGTGATACCAAGACATTAAAACTAAGATGGTACTCATTTTTACTGTGCCTGTTGCTCGACATTAACAATGTTAGAAGTTGGCACTAGATTTAAAGTCCTTGCCAAACTGCCCAATAGTTATGGTATCGTAAGGACTAGTACAAATTTGCCATTTTTAAGGGATTTGCTATATGTTATCATTATTAGGACTAGTGAGCTAAAACTGTTAGTTTCTTTCACTGCTTAAAGGGGATAAAACGAGGACTGGTTGGCTAGGTGTACTGTGTATTCATGTTAAGCTGCTGCATGGTACCTCTGTGGGTTAAACAAGCTCAATATTGTTGCCATCCCAGTATTACACTATTAAAGACTCCAGCAGCCACACAGACATACACACATGTGCATGCACATCACTATTGAAGTCCAATCATCTTGAATGTGACGTTGAACCCGATTGAATGTTGTATTAAAGTCTACAGTCAAAAGAATGGCAAAGGTCTCCACTTGTATTTGTAGATGATGTTTCCATGTGTTAGCAATAGACATTTGCCTGATTATTGCCATCCCAGTATTACACTATTAAAGACTCAACACAGCATCCACAATATATTGTCTGGTGTTTCTGACACAGTATTAGCAGATGGATGATTTATGAACATGCTATTATATAGATTTATCATTCATACATCGCCTCATGATTAAGATGATGTAGTACTATTTTTTCCTTCTCAGTGTTCAGAGGCTTTTGAGAGAGATGTTTAGTGACCTACATTCATGATTTCTTTTATGTACGCCCCCTTTCCTTCCAACACAAAGACTGCAAGTAAGTTTTCGACCATGATGTGCAAGGATACAGCTCCCTTGTATCACCACATGAATAGGCAAGCAGAATAACTGAACTCATAAACTGAGAAGCCTGTTACCCTTTCTCAAATTAAATACTTATGAAGGAAAGTTGAAATGTTTGAAATATTTTAGGTCAACAGGGTCATGGTTGAACAAACTCATTCAAATTTCTTTACCAGTTGAATGAAATTGTGCAATTTTAGTCGAATCACTTAATTTTGTAAAGTCATTGGTCAGTTTGTTGATTCAGGATTTGAATGAGAAATTGTGTAACTACCCTTTCAGCCAATATTGTGACATTTCCTGAAATGTACCTTTAAGGCTTTATTTGGTTATTGATGGTATAGAGAAATAGTCAAGCCTCGGGGCTCACATTTTCAAACAAACTGATAGTGTGAAGGTAAAATTAATGCTATAATGTCAGTTTGTGTTGATTGCAGGGGATTGACCTGTCATACTGGACATTTCTAGGTTGTATGTATGAGGTATAGTGGCTGACCTTGTGTCTCTGGCTATGAAAACATATCTTGACAGCCATTTCATGCATGGACAGATCCCCTTTGCAGGTTATAGCTTCTCCAATACCACTGACAGTTGGTTGGTAAGATACTGGAGTAGATTTCTCTTGTGTCTGTCATATTAAACGTCAGATCAAAATTAGTGTGTCAGCTTTTCAGTAGCCATTGGTGTTGGGCAAGGTATTGCTAGAATTTGATGTAGTTGTTAGAAATAATGACATAACCGGCCCAGATGTATTTTTCAAAAGTGATCATGCCCTATTATTGTAGGCAGTAACGATGTTAGACTGAAAATTTTGGCTCATAGTCGGCAACGTTAGTCACTGGTCTGAGTCTAATAAAATTTCTTTCTGTTTCGTAAACTCAGCTAACACTTAATAGTACATTGTAATATATATGTGCATGTGTGTGTGCATGCATGTAAACACTGCAATCTATTGAGATGATGCAGTAGACAAAACAGTTGAACTTAAAATATTTACAATGGTCCAATTCACTTTTGAAATGTGATGGTCATAAGTAAAAGGACACTGGTTAACATGGCAAATATATCTACTTTCAATTATTTATTTTTGTGATACAAATTATTACCTTTTGTTTGTATCATTGTAATTGGTTTCAGGCAGCGAGTTGCTTCAGAATCAAACATGAATCATCAGTGTTTAATTTTTGCTATTTGAATACTAAAAGAGCACATGGCACAATGATGTGTCCATGGTGAAATATCTGTAGTCTATAACCATGTATTGATTTCTTTAAAGTCTTAAGATTTTTCTCCAGTTTAGAATGAAAGGGAAATGGGATTTGTTTAGGGCTGTAATGATCCACAGAAATGTCAGTGCAACACTGTTACTGGTGCTATGATGTCAGTATTGTAACTAGGCCATGTTGCCAATACAAAGCACTACATCTGTTACAAAGAAGAAGGAATTGTAAAATAAATATTTCTGATGGTTGCTGCAATATATCTCAAGCCATGGTTAGTTTTACCTGACTCAAATTCATTGCAGTTAATGATTGATGTAGCTCTTTATTGGGTGTATCATGACATGGTTGAACTTTCATGTGTCTTATCACAACCTTGTTATTGAGAAACAAATCTTGAAACAAAGGGTATTATTACTGGCCAGAATTGAATTAAGCCTTAGGAAAAAGCCCGGATATAGATATTTTTGCGACTACCTGTAAGCTTTAAATGTATCACTCTGTTAGACTTACCAGCTTACAGCTTAGGCCAAACAAATAAATACTTGTGTCCAGTGTTTGAAATAATTTTAGAACCCAACAAGACAGATGGACAGGTGACCCATAAATGTTGTCTGCCCATCTTCAAAGTGACCTGTCTGCTTTCAGACATTAAAAGTATAGAAAAATAAGAGACAAATCGTATCTTGATTTAGTTGAAATAATGCAAACATTTACTTGAGAATCTACTAAGAGTTGTACAAAAACTGAATACATAAACCATCTTAAAATGATCTGCCAGACAGTCGTGAAG